AAGCACGATCCACCCTGAGTTGGACTAAAGTTTGGTGTGTATGTACCTCGATACATCAGCAACACCCTTTGGGACAACAAGGACACTCCCTCAGGTACTTAGTTTAGTTCTTCGTCTTCAATCATACATTGTTACTTGTGTTTACCCTTGGACTCTGTTGACTCCTGAACTATATTATTGTCAGGGTGCGGGCTGGCAGGACGGTATGATAGGAGATGACTGGTAGGAACAGGTCATAACAGATCAGATTCCCATTGACAGGTACAGGCAGGGGCAGGCTATTATACAAGACGTAGCCCGAAGAGCTACAACAGGATCTAGAACTGAAGTTCAGATAAACAGGTCGGAGATCACGTGTCGTGATCTTCCTCTTCCTAAGCCTCACGGTTCGCACCGTGACACCCATGGACGGGCGATGTCGCAGTCTAGTTGGTACTCCGCCTGTTACACTACGTACTTAGCTACCTAGGAAATTTCCCTATATCGGTCACTATGTAAAAGGCAGTTTACTCCCTAGTATACAGGTCGATATAGTAGTCGTGAACGGACTTTGTACACTTTTATATATAAAGGCAGCCGGGACAGCAAACCAAGGGAGGGCTTATCAAGAGAGGTGTAGGAGTGTGTACTGTCAATCTGTGAACCACTTACTACTCATAACCTCTGAAGCACTAATTTCACCAAATTACTTACATTTTCCGCCTACATAAATGAGAGGACAGGTGCAGGCGAATGGTAGTGGGAGACCACGTCCCCCACTACAATAGATTAAACGATAGGAATTTAAGGAATAAGAAAAAAAATCGCTAGCTTAACACGTAGAAAACAGTTTGACTTATCACGAAGCCCGAAGACGTTTTCCATCTCCTTCCTGCACTCGTCGTAGTCGTCGTTTTGCATCCCCCGATCGCTGCTTAGCCGGTCGGCATCTCAGAGTCGAACGATGAAAATCGATAATTAGAGCACGCCCGAGCTCTTCACACCAAAGGACATTGTCTTGACTAGGGTCTTCATGTATTATCCCGAGAGCTTTTATTTCCTTGTTCGATTTGTGGATCTCGCGGCGAAGCCGTTGCGTTAGCTCCATTTTCGCAGTGCACTCACCCCCCCAACCCATGATGAGCATGTGGCGGATTTGTCCAGCGCCATGAAGAAAATAGATTTTTGCCAAGTCAATCGTACCTAAGAAAATAGGCACAGCAGATCCCTGGGCCCTACGTAGCACTCGATACACCTGCGCTTCGCGGGAAACTTCTTTCCACAACCCCGAAGTGGTGCCTTTCCCGAGAACTGTGTAACCATGTTTCATGCAGGTAAGTTTGAATGGAGCGCCGTATGAGCCGCAACCGCCGAGGGGTATACAACGATCTATGTCTTCGTCTAGCTGGGTTTTCAATGAAAGTATCAATTCCTCGACCGATATCGGATGCTGAGTCGGGTCGGTCTGGCCTAGGCAATGACGATCCACGTTTGGACATAACGCATCTAGAGCATTCCGGGTTTGTAAACCGAGTAAACATCGTTGCGTGCAGAATTGCGCGGCGCGGCGCTGGGAATGGTCATCTTGGTCATGCCCTGCCTTTTGCTGGCGACCTGATTGCTGAGCGGACGGCGAAGACGTGACCTGACTGATCCTCCGCTTATGGCTAGCTGCTTGGTTCGTGTCGGAGCCGGATGAGCTAGGTGACTGCGACCGCGATCGAATCTCCGAAGGCGCACAGCTCGTTTGAGATCGTGTAGGCACCCGACGGCCCTCTGAGGGAGATGGTGGCGGAGATGAAGATGGTAGTACAAAGGATGAACCAGAATCTGGACTCGAAGATTCGGGGTTGGTGCTACCGGAGTGGTGAAGCTGCTGCAACTCCTTTCCTGGGATTTGTGAGTGTGTGTGATCAAAGCTTGTGTGCCATGTGTGAAGATCCAAGTGCACTCGGTTTCTCCATTCTTGCCCCCGGATAGGCGAACGGAATGCCAGTAAACAAAGGCATAATACCCTCGCAACGGAGGACTTCCATAGCTGAGAAGTAAGTCTACCTTCTGGGGTTATTTCGCTGTCAGGATCACAGAAAAAGTAGTAGAGCGTGCTAGGCTGGTCACGCGGAACACGGAGGAGAACGCGTGTAAGCCCATTTGTTAGATATGAATATTCGAGTCCTTCCTGGATCATCAAATGGTATTCTTGAACAATGGCAGAGCAGACAAGTCGCGTTGCACTATACTTCAGCTTCTCTTCCTGGTCGGTAGGTATTTTATTGGATTGAACTACATCTTTCCAAAGATCCATTGGTCGAAGTCCCATTCGAAAAGTTGCACTAGGCAGCTTATCAGGCGGCTTATACTCGACAGTCGCTAGAATGGTGGTCGAGGTACCATCGATACGATTTATGCAGAACTGGTCAGCTCGTGGTTGACGTATGCTAGGTAGTTCGTTTGCCTCATCTTCCATAGGTTCATTCTCGCTCAGGGAATTCTTATGATTGCCGAAGTGGATTCCATCTCCGAGCCCGAACTCCTCACGAGCAGCTGGCAGTTTGCAAAGCTCAGATATAATTTTGTGGACCTGGAATTGAACGCCAAATCGCTCGTAGGTCTCAAGTTGTCTCTCGCTGCTTAGTGGGTCACTAGCAAAATGACGGCCAAACCATTCTAATTCAGCCATGGACGAAAATAGACGTAACTCCTGTCCTCGCTCCGGGTGAAGATATTGGTAGACGGACTTATAGACCTCTGAGAGCTGTTTTGGACAGTCGGTCCAATGTTCCAATCGAGTGGGGCAGTATTTTCCTTTGGGAAGAGGTATTTTTCCAGTTGTTGAGTTGGATGGTGAACCAACTTTCATCCATCGGGAGAGAAGGACATGGCAGTGCTGAATGAGCTCAGTAAGAGTGGTCTTTCGGGTGCGCTCATCTGCCTGCTTCTCGCGCTCATCTGCCTGCTTCTCGCACTCTTTTGCCTGCTTCTCGCGCTCTTTTGCCTTAAGATAAAGATCTTTGTAATCTGGAGAGCTGTGGTCGGCCATCGTTTTGTTGGAAAGGGTAAGTCAAGCCTAGACGTAAGTGTGTGAGAACACTGCTAACGATCAGGTCTGATCAGCGTTCTGCAAGCAGATCCCGGCTCTCGGAAAATTACTCTGGCCTTACATTTCAGGTATTCGGACCAACCTAAAGCGGTTAGCTCTTGGAATGCAGGAATGCTGCGGAATGCCTGCCCCTGACCCGAAGTACAAATTTATGTTGGATGTGTTGCGTGTCTAGAAATCGTGCTCTTATTCCCAGAAGCTGAACTGGCCTGGGATTCATGCTTAAAGCTCATAAGAGGGCAAAGAGACATGCCTGCATAATTAAATCCATCGTCAAGATAAGGCTCTGTGGGTGATTAAAAAAAAACCCCCGCCTTCGTTCAACACCCTACATAAACGCCTCAAAGTCCTCCTCTCACGATAAGGTGGTCTCAAATATACAAAAGAAAAAAGTACAATCAAACCTGGCCGCTAGTTGCTAGATCGAAAGCTTGAAGATTTGTCGTTTTCATTCTGTCAAGCCTGACTCGATTGAGCAACTTGCAAATCAGAAAACCAACGTCACAAATTGCAATATTTTTCTGGCAACGGTTTCAATTTCTTTTTTACGTGATTCAAGTTGAGAACACGGTCCGTCTATCTATGCTCGCAAATGACAAGACACTGCTTGTAAGAATAGTAAATGCCGTGCGCATAATGCAGAACAGAGGCACTGAAAAGTGCCCCACAAGCATACCTCCCAGGAGCCGGTGGGCGGCTTCCTAGGAGCATCCAAGGCTATGTCCTGGGAGCCCCGTCGCTTCTAGGAGTACGTCCTCACAATGCTAGGAGCCTGCTATGCTATACCAAGTGGACCATCTCATGTCCTCGTCTCTAGATAATCCACTTTCACACATCACCCCACCTACTGGTTCTCCGAATATGGCCACCTTTGGGGAGAGGGAGAGAGGATCGAGAAATGTGCGTCAAAGGAGCGGTATGGCCAGCCTCACTGCATACGAACACTCAATTGCTACTCCCTAGTTTAGCACAGCGGCTTCGGGCACTTACGTCTCAGCTAGAAGATCAACTCGTCACTGCAATGCCCTGCCTACTCGGGCCAACGGTCTCTAGCACCATGTGTCAAAACCTCAAATACGGCCTCCCTAGGCCATAAACAGGAACCTTGGTTTTTGTTATGGTCGAGTGGAAAGTACGCTGTATTTCGTTCAACGCCATGCACAGGAATTGAGCACTGAGCCTTGTCCATCCTTTCTTTAATGCGTAGTTTTATAAAAAAATTTATTGAAGTGCCTTTACAAGTAGCAGATGGATCTAGAGAAATACATACCTCTAGACGTGTCGGAATTCACTTCTTGAACAGGGTACTCCTAGTTTCTTTTATATGCAAGGTCAGACATGAAGCTGAATTCCGACTGTTGATTCGGCCCGCATGTCTTAGAGCAGGCGGCCTTGAGTATTCCCCTCTTCAATGTGTAGTTACGCATTGGTATCTGCATTGGTATCTACTCAATTGGACCTGCTCCCGAAACGTCCGGCACACCTTCCCCTTCCACCACCTTTGCCCCCATAATCTCGAACACAGGAACCTCTGCAAGCCGTGAAATGATATGATGGAGCGTCGGTAGTTGCTGCCAATCCAAAGCATCAATTTGTATGCTTGCCTTATTACTCGTGAACACCCTCTGTGGTCGTGGCTTCAGCACCGCCTTGGAGAGGGGGTCAAAGACGACATATTCTTCCGCAGCAATGTTCTTATTTGCCTGACCACTCTTGGGAATGTATTTGTAGGTCAGAGTTCCCGCATCGGCCTCACCACTTAATGCGGCTGTGGTGGTTGATGGGTCCACTTCAACCAGGTCCTCTATTAAAAAGTTCCCCCAGAGGGCTCCCTCCCACCCGGTGCGGATGCGATAGGAACTGGAGCGACGGTACACATCGATGGAGGTGTAAAGCTTGGGCATGCCGAGTTCCTCCCGACCTGAAACAATGGGGTCCGCCAAGGACTCAAACAGGATGGGGAGGTAGGTGCCCTGGACCACCGAGCCATCTTCTTTAACATACTCAACCCCGTGCACGTACAAGCCAATTAGCTTGTATCCTGAACCACCCAGCCACTCCATCTTGTCCAACGTAGTCTGTGAGAAGGAGCAGTAGGCAACAGTATCTGGAGCCGTGAACCGCCAGCCTTTGCGACCAGGCGGAAACAGGTTCTGCAGCACGGTTCGCGAGGTCTTAAACTTGATCGACGCCGTCGTAAACGTAGATTTGGTGCCGTCATGTGGTAAACCAAGATGGGTCTGTCGCGGTCCAGGCATCGGGCCAAAGGCGATGGGCATACACCAGTAGGGATTGGGAATCTTATTCCACGTCCACTCACGCAGACGCTGGGTCGAATGATCCCATTCGTCATGTCCAAAGTTGAAGTTGGTGAAGCCGCTCACTGGAGTCAAATGGGTTAGCCTCGTTCATGCACAGGTCGTCCACACAAGGGAGGTGGGAGGGGGGCTTCAGCTTACTGTCCAACCGCTTGTCTTCGGTACGATCCTCGCCGATAAGACGCGAGAATCCTTGAATGCGAGTGGCCCGCTCGTGGCGGATGTCATGGTAGAGTTTGAGTCGCTCGGGCACCTCGGCGACTGGTGTCCCTGGAGATAGGACCACCGCCAGCGAGATGGCATCCTCGATCGCGACTCCGCCGCCCTGGCCCTGGTGTGGCAGGAAAGGGTGGGCTGCGTCTCCGAGCAGAGCTAGACGCTGGTGATGCCATTGGGGGACAAGGTCCATGTCCAGGAGCTTCCATACCTTCACACTTTGAGGGTCGGCCTTGCCTATGAGTCGAAGAATGGCCGGATCAAACTCGCGGAAGATTTGCAACATCTTCTCGAGATTGCCCTGTTGACCCCAAGAGTCACCGGCATCTGCCGCGGACTCATGTTCCGGATGGATCAACACGAAGTTCAGGACACTATTGTGGGAAGTAGGGTACATGATGATGCGCGACTCGGTGCTGTACCATATGCTGAGTTGACCCGGGTGCTGGACCAGCTTGGCTGTGATTGGGTCGTTCGCGGCCGCCTCCTTCGAGACCAGGAATCGAAAGGCGCTCTTGCCGCGACACTCTGCCTTAATCTGGCCACCAGGCACCGCATGTCGGGTAACCGAGTGCACACCATCAGTACCGAGCACCACGTCGCCTTGGAACTGACTGCCATCCTCTAGCGTGATGGTTGCTGTCTCGGCATCTACCTGAGCAATACGAGAAGCCGTTCGAAGGGGGATTGCGTCGTGGGTTTTTGTGGCAGTCGTGGCGACTCTTTTCAAGTTGTTGTGGAGGTCAATGCGGTGTGCGAGAAGCCAGGGATGTTGCCACCTCTTGTTCGCCTGCGTGAGGTCCATCTCCCGTTTCAGTTCTCCTGTCGTGGTATACTCTGTGAGCTGGAGACTCAGGTTAGCAACGTATCAACGAATCACAGCATCTGAATAGTGAGGAAGGGCTTTACTCTTTCCATGGGGTTGGCGCCAAACTGCTCTGCAAAAATCCCCAATCGCCGGAGGAGGCCATTTGCGTTGGGGGCTAAGTGGATAGCGGCCCCCGTCTCCTTGGCTAGTTGCGATTGCTCAAAAATTTGGATATCATGGCCCTGGTTGCGCAGAGCAATAGCTGCGGTCAATCCACAGATGCCAGCACCAACGATCAAGATCTTTAAGGGTCTGGTCTCGTCAGCGGCATAGGCGTCGATTCCATCCGTAGTCGTCATCGTGCGAGTGAAGCCAATCGAGGCAGGGGGAGGTGATTGATCAGGCGGTGCTTAGCAACGCCAAAAAAAAAGGAGTGAGAAAGCAGCCCCTTGGCAGTTTTAAATGCCTGGCGTACACTCCTGGTCTGACGTGGATCGTCGATATCCCCCTCCCCCGGTGGCACAGACTCTCCATACAATCCGGGGCCGGAATGGCGGGGTTTCGGGACCACATCGGCTGGACCCACTTGCTCTGAACTCCCAAGCTCGACAGAAATTGCTGCCTCGGGTATTTCCCAATCCAGGGTTCTAATGACTTCAAAGAGTGGCACATTGTGGGGTAGTCTCCCTTCTGTAGGCTCTCGTTCCGGTGCATAACCTAGCATAATGCATTCACTCTGGTGTGTCACGAATTATGAATCCCGGCAAACTGCGCGTCCTACCTAGAAATCGTATACTAGGAATGAGATCTAGCATTGATGTCTGAGGGCCTTATTTGTAGTCCTAAGACAGGGCTTAATTATACGTCAGATAGGGGATCTGATAGAAATTGACATAAATCCAGGTGTATATGTACTTCGTCTCTGAGGAAATTTGCGCATAATTTCAAATTTCACCGGACAATCTGACTAATCGGGGATCCATTTAAGACTTTCCGGGGCTTAGCACGGAGTTCGGAGTGCGGAGTACGGAGTACGGAGAACGGAGCACAGAGTGCCATTTGAAACCTCAGGTGCACAAAGATTAGTCCAAGATGCATAATTCACACTAAAATGACTCGAGGAGGACCCATGTCCTTTTGACGGCCCGTAAATTTTCCGGGTTCAACACCGTATACTCCAAAACCATTTGGAGCTTGACACAAAACAATTGAGGGCTGAGAAACTTTTTTTATGTCCGTGGTGACTACTCATGACTTGGATATCCTAGTCATTAAATTAAAAGACAAGAAATCGTTTGCGGATGCCACAACTCTGATACATTTATCAACAAACAAAGCCAGGCTCTACACAGTTTTCTGAGCATGGGATGGACTTCACAAGGTGCTGTTCAGGTTGAAGAAACTGTTTCCCATGTTGTACGCCAGATGATAATCCAACATACTAGTAAATGATCAAAATTGAACATGAATCTGTATTAAAAAAAGATAGTCTTCTCTGACAACGTCTCTATTTCACATTGTGTTGTTTCTAAACATCTCATTTCGACGCCTTTACGTCATCCATGCCAATACCGTAATCCTCCCCCAAAGCCTTGTCATTGATTTCCAGCGGTTTCGCCTCCTGTAGAACATATAGCATGCGCGCCCACGTCGTTGTACTCGGGTTCTTCCATGCATGGTTGGTGCCACGCTGAACCGCGATATCCCCCCGTTTGAGTAGTCGTGTCGCCCCGGAGTCGAGTATCAGCTCGACTTCCCCTTCTAAGACAACCCCGTAGTCTAAACTGACAGTGCGGTGCATTGGTGAGGTTGACCCGGGGTTCATGTCAACCACACGCAAGACGGTGCCACCGGGGATAGTGATACCGGGCAGATCTTTCAGATAGGACTTATAGACTCCGAGGTCCTTGTCATCACTGAGCTGGACGGGGATTTCATTGGTCGCGTATCCCAGGGAGAAGCGGGCTCCGTTGGCCAACTGCTGCCATTCCAGGGCCTCAGGAATCTGCTCTTGGAAGCCCGTCACGCCGTTGGCATCGTGATTGGTGATGTAGCGGTTAAGGGGGCGAAGTGCGCTGTTTTCCATTTTTGCGGGGATGGGCTGTTCAAATTTTGTAGGATGAAGAATCCAACAGCAAGAAGAAATTGTGGGGGTTTTCAAGTACTCGCTCGTGTGCCGGGGCTTCGTGGGGGGAGGGGTGACGGGTGTAGAAGACCCCGGGTTAGTGGAGCCGAACGTCCCCTGCATCGGCTTCCCGACGACCAGATTATGCATCTAGCTTATATTCCTCTAATCCCTGGAGACAAAAAAGAATGATGGATGTACCCGGGGTCGCGACACAACTGGTGCATCATCGACGACCTACCAACTGCAGCAAACGGTGGTCTAGGCAGTGACTCCCAGCATAGGTCAATGTCCAACTCAGAGTCTCAACCTCACGATTATTCTAATCCTGATTAACAGCGATGAGCAGGCCATTGGCATCAACAAAGATACAGACTATGGACAGAGCGGGGCAGTTCATACCAACAGCATGAGTGTGGATGATGAGCCTAGTATCCCTCGCGGTGGAATATAGAGCGGCAGATGGGGTTAATTCAACGCCGTAGGCATGGACGAATTTCTCTGGACAGAGGAAATTCCGTTCAATCCTTGAAATGTCGGTTGGAGCATTCGGAATCTTTGCAACAATCCCGAGTGGTCTCCACGACCGGGAAAGGGTGGAGGTCACACGCATGAATGCGATGTCTAGCTAAATGGAGTAGAGGTATTGCCTGGATTAGATCTCTAACTGCTCTTAATTTTGTCTGCTTCGGTCCTTGGGCCATGCCCATACATCCTTGTCAAAAGCCCATTTAATTCGCGATATTCAGAAGATCGACATCACTTCGCTCCCTAGTAAATTTGAGCAGAATGTCACTATTCGATGTAAAGCGGTTCGGGGTCTTGGCCGCTGCATTGTATATCGACCCAAGACCGACGCACCATAAAATAGGGAATGTGCACACGAAGGTGATGGAGGGGATTGAGAGTAGGGACGGTAGAGAGGAAGGGAAGGTACCATATAAATCAGGTCTGCACAAGGCAAAATCTGTATTTTCTTTGTTAGATTCTTTTTCACTCCAATTCTACAGAAGAGGAGGCTAAATCGCTTAGATTAATCCAGCTTTGACAAGTCAAAAATCTAACACAGTGAAACTTATATACATCTTTCATTCATCCTGGGAGAAAAAAAATACAGCCAAAAGCAGCAGCGCGATCCACCGTGGTACAGATTAAGTGATGTGCAAGACAGCTCTCACTAGGTTTGGCCAGGAGCCCATTTCTGTGTCGCAATCCGGATTCTTTTACCCCAAAAGTATATGGGAACAGTCAATAACCCAACTATCCCCATGAACATACCGAATATTCCGAAAGGCTCCGCAGCTCCACGCGACTCAACCCATGTTCCGACGAAAAAGGTCCATGCGAAGCCGATGATGGCTCGCAGACAGGTGATCATCACAAGGCAATCATGGGAAAATGCGGAATAGGACTCGATAACCTGCATTGTGCCGAGAAATTAGAAAGGTGCTGGCAGGCGAGAAAGACTAGACTCACATAGTTGAACCCAATCGAAGGGACCTGCATGACACCGAAGGTGAGCATCCCGTACCCGAATTGGAGGCCGAGCCACCCGACTTTAGAAGGGTTTTCCCCACAGAAGCCAAATGTGAGTAGGCCCATCGTAGCAAGAAACAGCCCCGGGATAAGGGCTGGCAGCCGGGCTTCAGGCTCACTGAGCCCATTCGACTGGCGCAATGCCTGCCGCTTCATGACGTAATCCGCAAGGAAAAAGGTGAAAGCAGCTCCAGCAATGCTACCGACAAAGCCGCCGACATTGATCAGGCCCGCATTTGCACCCCAGTTGTATGGGGGTGCGGACACAAACTGCGGGCCCACAGTGGAAGTCGTGACCATGCCACCCACCAGACCCCCGTAATGCAACATGACTAGCCATACAGCAGGAAATCGAAGGGTTTTCCAAGGTGCCATGAAATGCTGCAGCAGCCCGCCACGATAAAGTCCAACCTTTAGAGAACTCGCAAATGTGTAGGGCTCATACACCTGTACTGGAATGGGTCGGTCTATCTCTTCAATGTTGGGCTTCTCCATTTCTGTCGGCTTCGTTTCTTCTAGTCCTCCATCCTCGGTGGCGGCAGCCATGGCGATCGCAGCATCTCGGTCAAAAAGGGTTTCTGGAAGGAAGAAAAAGCACGCGAGGAGTGAAACCCCGGAGATAATGACGTTGAGCCACTGCGTCCACCGCCATCCCCAGGCGTGAGCAATATAGCCTCCAATGATACCACCGATAATAGGGCCGAGAACAAGGAAGATAGTGTATATAGCCTGCTCATAGATTAGTTCTTGCAATGGAACGACAGAAAAAAAAGCACAGCGGGCACTTGGAGAGTACTCACCATCGCTCTTCCTCGCTGGTGACGAAAATAGATTTCGCCTATCACACCTGGACAGATTGTCTCCGAAGCTGCACCAGCAATGCCCTGAAAGAGCCGTGCAACCAAAATACTGTTAAAAGAGGTGGCTTTGGCTGTCCAGACGGAGCACACCGTGAGCATCACCAGACTGCAAAGGATAATGGGTCGGCGACCGAACACGTTCGAGAGAGGAACCCACCAGATGTTGGCACAGCCCAACATCAAGACGTTGACCTGCCAGGATCTTTGTAAGCGGGACTGACAATACTAAGATAGGGTAACGTACGGCAATCAGGTGGGTGAGGTCTGCCTGAGCCACTGGTGGGTGAAAGTCCATGGCGAGAAAGACCAACGCACTGGACAGGGAGGAGGATGTAATGTTGGCTATCAAACAGTAGAAAGAGGCACTGAGAAGGGCCATAGCCTTCCTCCAGGGACTCCAATTCAATGGATCGGACGGGCAGCTTGATGGCGTTGGCGATACACGCAGTTGGGGGCTGAAGGCTGACTCGGATGTTGAACCTCCCTCATAATCTTGGATGAGAATTAGCCTTTAGTTCAGAAGACGAATTGATGCATCTTCAGGGGGGAGACTGTACCATAAAGCTCGACTGTTCCAGGAGGCGTCGCCTGCTGGACAGCCGATTTGGGCAATGAGAAGGCATAGTGAAAGCCTGACATGTTGCTTGCTAGAAGGACAAGTTTGAGGGGGAAAAAAATGAAAGGTCTGGATGGAACAGCCCTCTTCAATAACGCCGAGTTAGGTCAATGAGAGATGACTACCCCGGACTGACAACGTGGAGGTGGGGGAAAATACCGGGGAAATGTGCCCCGAGGTATAAAGTGGAAGACATGGGGAAGGTTTTATACTAACTTTGCCCTAGAACGAATTGGCAGAGGGCGGGGAAGGGCGTTCATTTTGGGTCTTAGTTTTTCTTCTATAAGTTACCGAGACCAGCATTTGCCCCTCACATGTTGGGTTACCCTGTTACTGGACTCTTCTTTTATAGAACGATTTTAAATTGAATGTTTAATATTAGCTACAAAGCTGGACTGAAAAGATTCAAAAGTTCAAAATGTGCATTAAGCAGCTTGTGATGCCTGGGGCCACTGCCCGATGGTAAATTGGGAATTGCACATGTTCGTCAGCTCCCAAGTTTCTGCCATAAGCCTTCCGGTTGTTCCCAAATCGGCTTCACTGCCGGCTGCCCCAGCCGCGAATACGGCAGCCATGTAGTGGTCATCCGTGGCATGGGCGTCTCGGAAATGAGGATGCTTCATAAGCCGAGTCATGGCTCGGCGGAGAGCAGGCCCGCTGTTGTTTACTAGGGCATCTTCTACTGCCTGGCGAAAATCTAGAGCCCATTTCTCAGGTGGCGTTTCCTGGGAGAAGTTGTCACTATATCGCACCATGGGCCTCCAGACATTTCGATACAGGTTATGTACCGCACCGCCAGTGCCAATGATCAGGTAGTTCTGCTCACGTAGTGGCCGAAGAGCTGCGCCAGCACGCATGTGGAAGTGTGGATCATACTGCATGTTGGTGGATATAATGGTTGTAGGGGGGCACCGATCAGGAAACATGCGAATAAGAATAAGATAGGTATCGTGAATCCATTCCAAGCTCTCGTTGGCGTGCACGTCAAAGCCCTCAGCGGATAGAAGGTCGATGCACTTGCGCCCACTCTCAAGATCCGGCACAAGCTCGTAGTCAACGTACTTGGACGGATGCACATACGCCACGGGAGACTTGGTGGGACGGGGATTCATCGCAACTTCCAAGCGATTGTTTCCTGAGCAGCCCCAGTGGGCACCCTTTTCCGGCGTCAGTACATAGTCTCGCTGGGGAGCGGGGAGCGGGGAGCGGGGAGCATACCATCATGATTACACCCTTAATACCATTGGCCAGGGCTTCATCGCCGCATTTTTTCCAGTAGTCGGCCGACTCGGACTCTTCCCCCAGCATCATGGTTGATCCATGGGAAAAGAAATGCACCGGTGTGATCGCTGAATACTGAGGTCAGACAGCGAGTTTGGATAGAACAAGTTGGGGCTACACGTACACATAGTGGAGTGATTTGATGCCAGCGATGATAATATTCTAGGATTTCTGGTTAGGATGTAGCTTGTGTTTGGCTTCTTTTTCTAACACCTATCATTCGGCGGTGGAGTCTACCCTCCACATCCCGAAAGGGGCGCAGACTCATTCGGGACCACATTCCCCGCATGACGCTGCATACTTATCGTCCTCCCCCCGTTCAGCCTTGACATGATCATACCATGTCCGTAGTCTGATCATTGACAGCTTCCCCACACGCTCACCCGACATCCATACTCACCAACATGTTCCAGTGTGGAACCTGTTCACAATCATTCACCCGCATTGACCATCTCGGTCGCCACGTTCGCTCCCGTAGGTTCACTTGTCGGGCCCTCCTGTCCGACGTGCTGGCTGATTTGATCGCGTCCATGTAGACACCCAGGAGAAGCCGTATCGTTGCTCCGTATGCAACAAGCGGTTCGGTCGCGTGTGAGGTCCACTCCCTCGGTCGTGTCAGACATGGCCTGTCAACATACTGACGTAAGGATTGCACAGTGACCTGTTGTCCCGCCATTCAGCTCTTCATGACCCCCACAGAGAGTCCGCTTCTACGAAGCGGCGGTGCACCGAGGGCAATAGTGCGCCAATTCGGGCGTCGCAGGCCTGCGAGGGCTGCGCCGAGAACCACCTCCGCTGCGACGATGACAAGCCCTGCCGTCGATGTCTACGGAGAGGGATCCGCTGCACCTTGCCCACCAGGTCTGTGGAGGGTACTCCACTGACTCCGGTAACCCGGTTAGGGGCAAACACTCCCGGCACTGATGAGAATTCACGACCCTCGCCATTGCTACAGCCACCACAGCCACCACAGCCACAGGTTGTCGGCGGGGCCTGCACATCACTGGGCTATAGCAATCAAACAGAACCGGTGAATGCGGGCAACCTGTCCCAGCTGGCAGCAGGTCGGACGACTGATGTAGGAGTAGACTTGACGGAGAGGTCTGATGCATTGTTGGGGGCATATTCCGCTGTGCTACCTCCAGACCAGGAGGACTCAATGTCCGATCTCTCCCCGATTCCCCGGGGGGGACTGGTGGCATTTGGCCTAGAGACCAATCTCGATTTCAGTATGGTCGACCTTAGCTTCCTCGAGTCTTACAATGCACGCGCACCTTTCGAGTACGAAGCGGCCACAGTGTCCACTCTTGCACCAACGGTGCAGACTGTCGAGAACGAGGCCACACATGCAGATCACGCAGCAAGAGAGGACCGGTCAATGCAGCGCCTCCGATGGCGCTTTGTGCCCGTTCCTCAAGACCATGGCTATGCTGAACACGGTAACTTGCTCCTCAGCAGCCAGCCTGGACCGGATACGCCCCCAAAGAGTCTCCGGAATCTCGACATGGGACTCGGTCCTGACAATTGCCTCGACCTGGCGTCTCGCGACAAGATCTTGAGCATCGTGTTGAGCCAGATGCCACAGCCCTTCTCGCTAAACGCGGCCTCGTTCCCCTCTCCAGAGCTGCTGGATCGCCTTATTCGATACTTTCTAACCGTGCCATTCTCCAGCGCGGGCGCTTGGATCCATCGAAGCACGTTCACACCCAAAAAGTCTCGCCCGGAACTCTTGCTAGCCATGGCTGCGGCGGGCGCGGTGCTTACTCCCGATCCGCCCTTGCGGAAGCTCGGATTTGCAATGCAGGAGGTTGTCCGACATCGACTTCCCGCCGCATTCGAGGCCGACAATACCCTAGTCCGGGATCTTGAACTGCACCAGGCGTTTCTCCTATCTCTCGAGATCAGCTTATGGAGTGGCAACAGTCGCAAGATGGAAATTTCCGAGAGTTTCCGCTACCCATTGATTACCATGCTGCGACGCCAAGGCCGGTTTGATGCGGCCAGATATCCGCCTGTCATTGTGCACCCAGTCGACTCAGGCCAAACGCTGGACGATAAATGGAGGCTCTGGGTCCGTGAGGAGTCTATCAAGCGTCTAGTGTACCACTTATGGCAATACGACGCACACTGTTCCATGGTGCTTCTGACCAGCCCCCTTATCTCCTACGCCGAGTTATCACTTCCTCTTCCAGCTTGTTCGACTCTGTGGAACGCCCCTGATGCAAAACAATGGAAAGAACGTTTCTGCGCCCAGCAGGCTGGGGGGCAATCCGTTTCATGCCCAGCGCGTCTCACGGAATGTGTGTTCAACATGGATCTACTTGAAAGTCACCGCCACGAGGTAGACATGAGGTTGTCCTGCACCGCCGTTCTGCACGCTCTATGGGGTCTTATCTGGGAGTACCGGCAAATGAGTCTGCTTACTAGCAGTACCAACAGCCACAGTACCTCCGTATTCGCTCCTTCCCAACCCTGGTCTAGCGGCTTGCTCATGGCGTCGCGGTACCAACAGCTCACTGATATGCTAAACTATTTCGGCATCGGATACCGAAATGAGAACGCATTATACTGGCACAGTACCCTGATGCATATGCACATGTCCCTTGAAGAGATTCAACTTCTCGCGGTCACACTTGAGCAGTCTGAGTCAGTAGACCGGGTTCCTCCTGCAATCGAGGCGTGGTCGGGGAGCAAGGAAGGTCGCCAAGCTGTGTGGCATTCCGCTCAAATTATCCATGAGCTTCGAGCCCTGGCGCCGCAGTGTTTGCGTGAGTTCGCCGCCGTTGCGCTGTATCATTCAACCCTGGCACTGTGGGCGTATGGAATGGGAGTAGCGAACATAACCGGCACGTCCACTGCGCAGGTGCCCATTTTCCTTGACTCCCCGGAAACCGAGCATGTGCAGATGTTCATTTCCTTTGGGCGAGGTCAGCCAATGCTGCACGGCGAATCCCTTGAAGACCATGCCGTAGACTTGTGCGATCCAACGAAAGTTTTGGCTCTGGCCCTTCAGTTGATGCACCGTAATCATAGCGGCCCCGATGCCTATGAACCTCCTCTAGTGATGAACATCGTACATGCTGTGCAGAAGCTACTTGAGGTGACCACATGGTCCCGGTAGACCAAGACAGTCATTGAATACATGCCACTAATCACTAAGAAAAAAATAACGGCTACCACTTTCAGAGTACTACACTCGAGATCCATGCCTTGCCACTATGCTCCACGTCCAATATCCCAGAGCACTCACACCCGCGAGCATTGAGATTGAGAACAAACCCAGCCCTGTCAAAATGCCCTGCTCGAAGAACCCTACGCCTCCACCCAAGGGCCGCTGAGTTCTGGAGACCAGTTCCCTCGACCGCAAGACCAGTGTACTCTGCAAGGCCGAGGACGATTTGGCACGTAGAATATCTGTGACTGACTGCGACAGCCGAGTAGGGCTGATGAAATGCGGGCGAGGAACGGAGAAGAAAGTGGTGGGATATCGCATTGATCGGTCAAAGGCCACTTGTTCGGGGGCCGAGGGTCCCACTGAAGGACACAGAATTACATTAGCGGTGCATATTTTGGTTAAACGTTTGGAGGGTTACTCTCTTACCCAGGACTTCGACAGGAATGTGGTTAACAAATGAGACACGCGCGTTAATGAACTGCGTCAAATATTTGGCAGACTTCTCGTGAGCGAAGACGTACGACGCCTGGAGGCTTCCGACCCTAGTAGGCTAGTCAGTGTCTGTCTTTCCACGACGCGCTATTCACTTACAGGTTTGACAAGTCGATGGCATGATCCAACGAGCGCACAGTATGCACAAGCAACCGGCCGCTCGTAGTCTTGTCCGGCAGCGCCTCAGGATCACTATTTCCCGTTCTTCATTAGCAAAAAGTTATCAAGTTTGGGAAGAGTGATGATAGCTGTACAGTTGGTCTGCTTCCATGATTTTTCCCCTGCCCAGGGATGATACTACCCGTAGTCCGCCTTTCTCGTCTTGGTCTGTCTTTTCCGACCGGCTGTCGTCCCCTTCTATTGCACTCGCGCTCGGTGAAAAGGACACACTCGCTTGCACCAGGGCCATCAGAAACGGCTCCTTGATGTATTCGTTCACAAGTACTAGGTCGGGCGCGTAGGGCGACTGGCCACCGAAGCTGAACCCGGCCGCTACGAGTGCTTCAGCTGCTTTGTTGATGTTTGCTGTGCGATCCACGACAGCTACTACCTTACCAGGTAGGTGATCATCTTGCTGAAGCCGCATGTGTTGCGGTCCGAGATCCTCGTCCTTTGCTGGAGTCGGGACAAATGCGATAATACTGCGATCAAGCGACGACTCTAGGAGCTTCTTGATCAAGACAGGAAGGGCTCGAAGAGAATTGGGCAACTTTGTTGATGTGAGGGTCAGCAAGGTTTACTTTATTGACGGTTGAGATTGTGCCGTACTTCAATAACGATGCAATTGCCAGCAGTGAGCGCGCCGGCGACGGCGACTAGGACCGAGTAGAAGACTGTGTAGCTCGTCGGAACAATGTATACAATCCCCACGGGGTCCCGTCGACTAGCAGCATCCTCTCCTCTCGCAATGGCATACTCGTCTTGGAGTGCGCGGTCAATGTCCAAAGACTGATGGTACTCCTTTAGGGTGTTGAGTGTGAGGAGATACTCCGCAGCGGCCTCGGGAGCGACATAACCAGTGTCAGCGCAGATGGCATCCTGAATGGTATCGGTGTTGTCAAGCAGTGTTTGCTGAAGGGCCTCCAGCTGGGTCCGACGAGTGACTACGTTGTGCATGCGGCCATCGAGGGCAGCCTCACGAACAGCTTGAAGGGATGCAGCCATGGTAGAATTTTGTAATGAACAAATTGGTTCACGATCAAAGATGCGAGCTTTGAATTCTATGACCTCCTCCCCCCGTTCTTGAGCTCGGGGTAAGATGTTCCTTCGGGAGGAGGCGGGCCACATTCCCGAAGCCGGGGGTGAGCCTACGCCTCCGTCTCCGTCTCCGTCTCCGTCTGACCCTTTATATCACATTTACTTTGTAGCTGTTCTTACCACGGGGACAAACAGGCCAATATGCTTTCATCCACATCAACCTCCACCACCGATCCCGCTGCCAGTATTCGCAATGCCCGACTTCGGGCGCGGGGATATCCAGCAGACTACGACATTTACGAGTCCAACGTGGCCACCTCGAATTCCCCCTCGCAGGTTGGGACTGGAGCCAATACTGGAGTGACTAGAGCCCATAATCCTCCCGGATGGCCAGATGACTATCGCCGTATCCCACCGCACCGGCCGACTAATCGGCAGCTCGATCAAAGCCAGCGAAGAGTGTACACAAGTGTTGCAGAGCGAACATTCTTGACCATGATGTTTACCGGATTGGAGATCAATGTGGTGAGTTCCTGCTTCTGCACTTGAGGGTTATCTGCTTGCTAATTATCACAGATTGCAAATCGCTTGTGGAAGGCCACCGGGGGGCGGGTCTCTGAAAATCTGTTTACATACAAGCTGGGCGGCGAATTTTGAGTGAGTAGCCAGTCGAAAGAGTATTATATATCAGTTCGACAATGTTTTGATAACCTCAGTAATGTTTTGGACTCGTCAAACCCACCAGACAGGAGGACTAGCTGCAATAAGCACACGATTTTAACTGTGGTCTTCTGGGTAGGATACCCTGTCTTAATAGGCCCTTGCCAAAATCTGCCCTCGTTAGGTGGGAGTCTAAATTTCCATCACTCATATCACCACGGAGCACCTACGTATATTTTGGTGTCGCTACTGCGTATTTAGGATAAAAGATCTCACGAAAAGCCAATCGCTTATGCGGCCTTGTCATATCTTTTCAGTGAACCTTTAATAGCCGATGTTTTCAATGCATCCGGAAATATCTTTGTAGATGTAAACGACGGTAGCAAAGAATGCCTTGTGCAAGAGGCCTTTCTATATCCTTTGATCGCCTTATAATAGTTTCGCAACAATCTTAATACTACCGTGGGTAATGCTATTACTTCGCTACCCACTTTGTATAAATCAATAGTAACACTGTAGTCTTTCTCTTTGGAGATAACTCGGCTGTCCTATTTCTCTTTCGACACATTTAAACGATGCGTTTGAACATTCTTGCCCATTTGCTTCTTCTGGCAAGACTATCCCACTCGTGATCTTATCTTTTCTCGACAGAGGTACGCAAGACGAGATGGTATTCCTCTGCAAGCAACTGAGGTCGACAAAGAACGACTCGAAATTTTGGGAACAAAACTCTTCGACATTCTTTGTTGGTCCCTATTATTCTGGTGACATAGTTCAGAACAATACCGTCTTTGATCGAAAGACTTTCAAATGTGTAGGCATACCCTTTGTTTTCTCCTCTTCTTGTCCAAGCTTAACGATAGGAACCTTTATTATATAAAAATGGACCAAGAAGCATAAATACCTGAAGAAGTCCGTAAATCTCGATCGACATACAAAACTTTTGCCAAGTGCAGCATCTCTTTTCAGAAACAAAACATTCCTCCCTTGAGTACATTCTTTCACAAAGTTTACCTCAAAGATGTCTCCAACAGGTAACAAGTTTCTCACTAACTCTCATCTCAGCCGCTCCTACAAGGAAGCTAGCACCTGTCGGTGGCAACTACAAGCCCTCTTCCAGTCATTCTTGGAGGACAGACCAGCCGATACGATACTTGCCGTTCAAGAACGCCGTCTTCTTATTTCCTGGGACCTCAGGGCAATTCATTACTTGAGGAGATGCCTGAGGATGTGGATTCGGGACAAGGTCCCAGGCGACGCGATTGGTGCCTTCCTCGTGACGATCTTGTACGAACAAGACTTTCACCTGGATTACCGACTGACCTTGATGGTTCGGAATGGACAATCCCAGCTGCATATTGCTCGTCGTTTGTTAGCATTCTACCAAATCCGAGACGAAGCAGACGCCCCAATCTGGGATAACCTAACCGTCTATGACGAAGACGCTCACTCGAAACAGCCAGCTAGTCACTGCAAGATTGTTGCTGGAAGCTCCGCCACTGCCAGAAAGGAAACTCCACATCGTATCCCTACACCACCACCTGCAAATTCCAGATGGCCCCTCTTCATGGGTGCGCTTAGCGACCCGGAGATTGAAGACATCATGAACAAATTAGGCGACGATGACCAGTATGCAGAGGAAGACATGCTTCCCTTGTTCACCGGTGTGCGTGAGGAAGATCTTCCCATTATCCAGGCGTTCCGGAGATTCACTCTTCACAAGAATGATTTCCCCGAAGACTTTCCTCTGCCTGAGGCTGGGACCGATCGGATTGAAGATACATCGAAACCGACTAACACATCACAGGCTAAGCCCCTTCCTCCCCCTGCCATGAAGAAGTCTCTCCCAGCCCTACCCACTGACAAGGCTCTTGCCCAAAAATCCCTCCTCCCCCTCCCACCTCTGTCACGTCCCTCAAGCCTAAATCTTTCCTCAGTGCGTGTGTCGACTTTTAAATCAGGAAAGATACTTAGAGTCGGATGGGCAGATTGTGTGCCAGGCAAACTTGCTAACATTGAACAGGGAGATACAAAGGATGACCTTGGCTCGTCCGCGCAAGCTCGCCCGAATCTTCCCATAAACAGGAACCAGCCGCAGCCTTCTCGCCCTGAGCCCACGGTTTATGCTGAAATTCGTAGTCCTTGGCATAATAGTATTCCTCCACCCCCTCCTCAGCTTAAGAAGAAAGCTGGAGTCGAAGACTTGCGCATGGTTCAAGAGCGTGGTGATTGAACTTCTGTTGAGTCGATAGAGGAGGAAGTACGACCTGGTCACGATTGTTAAGTTCTTTCTCGCTTATAGAATATTTGTTTACGAATCTACTTTTTAGATATCTTCTTGTCTCATGAACCGGACTCTTTGAAGGTACAACGCCTTAAGACCAGCTAAAGGAATAGAAATGTAACAAAACAAAAAGAATCTATGTGTTCATACAGGAGAGTAGAAAGTTGTATCTTGATCTTGAAATACAGGTCCCAGAAAGTCACAATGTGATATAGTGCCATGCGTAAATAGTACAGGGGGGGATGTTCGTTGATGAAAGAAGCAGCAGGGATGGAAAGCAAAAGGCACTGCTTCTTAGATCTGGCAAGAGCCTATGCCAGGCACTGCCTGGCTTGGGTTGCGGGAGTGGTCGGAGTTGGGTGGGGGTTATTACATATTTTATCGTTCATTTCTTGTGTCTGTCGGCCTGGGCCTTCTGGTACTTGGCAATGAGTTCCTTCCTGTAAAAGAAGACGGTTAGTAATGACAGTGTATGCAGGGGAGGTGATTCGAGTTGAAACATACTGCATGTGAGGAGGGGCCTTCTCGTAGTGGCTGAACTCCATTGTGTATTCACCCTTACCCTGAGTAGCGGCGCGCAGGTTACTGCTGAAGCCGAACATGCCGTTCAGACTGCAGTCAGCGTAGACAGTAAATTCGTCAACACCAGTCTCGGTGTCATTGATAGTGGCCCCGCGCTTATTCAGCAGACCGATGACATCACCCTGGAACTCAGTCGGAGCGGTGACAACCGTCTTCATGAGAGGCTCCAGAACAGAGGGCTGACTTTCCGCGAAAGCCTTGCGGAACGCCTGCTGGGTGGCGTTCTTGAAGGACATTTCGGAAGAATCAGTCATGTGGGTGGCACCATCGTTGATGACCATGCGAGTGCCGAGAACCTTGTGGCCGATCAGAGGACCCTTCTCACAAGAGAGGTTGAAACCCTTCTCGCAAGCGTACAGGAACTTCTCAGAAATACTGCCTCCAATAACCTGCTGCTCGAACTTGTTCTCCTCGAGGGCACCGGTAGGCTCCATGAATCCCATAACACGGGCGAATTCACCGGGTCCACCAGACTGCTTCTTGAGCAGGTGATCGAACTCAACACGGTTGCCGATGGTCTCACGGTAGGCAACCTGAGGCTGGCCAGTCTCGCAATCAACCCGGTACTCACGGCGCATACGCTCTACGTAGATGTCAAGGTGGAGTTCACCCATTCCAGAGATGATGGTCTGGTCACTCTCGCTATCGTAGCTCACGCGGAAGGTCGGGTCCTCTCTCTGGAAGCGGGCCATGGCCTTGGAGAAGTTGGCCCCGTCCTTGCTCTGCTTGGGCTTGATAGAGAGCGAGATGACGGGCTCAGGAACGAACATGGATGACATGCTGTAGCCGAGAGTTCCATCCGTAAAGGTGTCACCAGATGCACACTCAATACCAAACACGGCACAGATCTCACCAGCACCAATCTCGCTGACTTCTTCCATGTCGTTGGAGTGCATGCGAACAATACGGGGAACCTTGACCTTCTTATTGTTACGAGCGTTGAAGACATTGGCGCCCTTGCGGAGGGTACCCTGGTAAACACGGATGTAGGTCAACTGACCAAAGTTGCTCTCTTCCAGCTTGAAGGCCAGACCAACAAAAGGAAGAGAGTTATAGGGGATCAGCTTGACAGATGCCTCGTCACGCTTCTGGTCAAGTGCGAGGTTCTCAACTTCAGCGGGGTTGGGAAGGAAGTCAACAACACCGTCCAGCATGGGCTGAACTGACTTGTTGGCCAGAGCAGATCCCATGAAAACAGGGGTGAACTTCAAGCCAATAGTAGCACGGCGGATGGCAGCTCGGATCTGATCCTCGCTGGGCGTGATCTCGTCCAAGAACATCTCCGCGATCTCATCGTCGACATCCGCAAGAGTCTCAATGAGCATGGTACGGCGCTCCTCGGCGATGGCCTTGACCTTCTCAGGAATTTCATCTTTCTCTATGATCTCCTCTCCGCTCTCGCCAACGTTGTATAGAGCTTTCATGCGGATCAAATCAACGACACCCTCAAACTCGTCTTCGGCACCGATGGGGACCTGAACAGCAGCCGCAGGAATCTTAAGCTTGGTGTTAATCTGGTCAACCGCCTTGAAGGGGTTAGCACCCATACGGTCCATCTTGTTCACAAACGAGATGCGGGGAACGTTGTAGCGGCGCATTTGGCGATCGACGGTAATCGTTTGAGACTGGACACCCGAGACAGCACACAGAATCATGACAGCACCGTCCAGAACGCGCAGCGCTCTCTCGACTTCAATGGTGAAATCAATGTGACCAGGGGTATCAATCAAGTTGAGGTGGTATTTCTGATCAACGCCCTCCTTATCCTTCTTAACCCAGTCACAGAAGGTGGCAGCGGACTGGATAGTAATACCCTTCTCACGTTCCAAGTCCATGGAGTCCATCTTGGCACCGACGCTGTCACGCCCGCGGACCTCGTGGATAGCCTTGATACGACCAGTGTAGAAAAGAACTCGCTCGGTGCAGGTAGTTTTACCGCTGTCGATGTGGGCCTGTACAGGGAGACTTCATTAGACAACTTCAAACATAGGAACAACTGGCATATGATTTACCGCAATACCGATATTGCGGCACTTGTTAAGACGAGCGGCCTCGACCGGATCGAGACTGTCGATAATGGCCGCTTGGGACAGAGACTCCGGGTCGGCCTTAGCAGCCTCGAGACTAATAACAGCGTTAAAAGTTTAATTTAAACAGATTAACCCACACAATAAACTCACACTGCAGAAGCAACAGCAGAGGCATTTCGGCGCTGGTCCCATTGTCCCAGCTTCGACTGATATGCCGGCGCAACAGCGGCGGACCGGAACGCGGCCGTAGAAGCGCATCGCTGGCGCAGAAGATTCTGGGGCTGGAATCGAGCTGATCTGATCAAACCAGACACCGCGCGGGATTGTAACCGTACAAGAGAAGGAGACCGCATGGTGATGATCCAACCACAACCAAAATTGATTTGATCAACGCTAATTGAATGTTTGGTTGGCTCCCCGAAAAAAAAGTTCGGGGAAGCCAGGAACCCATCACGTGACTAATTCCGTCGGCCCATCAGAGCCGGGAGATTACAATTCAGTGGATGTATCAGTGGACGTATAACCAGAAAATGAGCTATTAGCCTCGAAAACGAAGTTCTTTGTTGTTTGAAGGCTTGAGCATGGTGACAAGCCGTTTGTTGGAGGAAACTGCACATTTTTCCAAAGAAATTGGCCGTACTTGACAACAAGACTGGAGATCATGATAAAGTTGAATTGAAACGTGAATACCCAATAAACTTGATTGCCACACTAATATACAAGAAAAATACACAAGCGCCGTGGTTTCCAACCACTGTCTGGTTTTGGAACAAGAATGCAAAAGTATGCCGCCGATCCGATTTCCGCAACGACTCGTGTATTCAAGAGATTCAAAGACGACTTGGGTATCGAGAGCATGTTTTTATTTGCGAAGAAACATTTCAAGAATCTCAGATTGTTCGAGTAGGGGCTGCCGCGGAAGGATAAAGCGACATAGGCTGTCGGAGAAAATGACGGAAGAGCAACGACTCTATTTCCCCTGCCGTTGCTTGTGCTTGGGGTTTTTCGAGCTAAAAGAAGCAAGAAAAAAAAGGTTAAACCCGAACGAATTCATGTGTAGCCTTCAATGGCACAGGGTAATCACCACTTACCAGATGATGTAGACACGGCCCTTGCGGTGAACGGGCTATCCAACAGTCAGCACCAATCGAAAACGATTTTCTGATGATTTCAAAAAGTGTTCCATGTCTTAAATCATACCTTGCAGCCATCACACAGTCTCTTAACAGAAGATCGAGTCTTCATTCCCCGAAGCTGCTCCACCTGTCGAGCAGACCCATTCGCCACAGCAACAACATTGCCGGACTGAACTTGTCCACGGAGCCTTGTCAAGCTATTGTAAATCAAATGCGAGAAAGGCCGTAATGAGGCGGTCCGGGTAGTCACAGAGGGGAGGAATTGGCGGAGAGCCCCGGAGGAAGCGCCGAAGACGGCGCGGAGGGAGAACATGGCGGCAGTTTTCGATTTTGAACTATCTCCACAGAAGACAACCAATTGCAGGCTGCGCCTCAAGTATCACCTTATGATAAACAAGAGGTATCGGGGTGCGGCAAGAGAGTGATGTTTGGCTCCAAAGGTTCTCTTGTGCTGCGATCGCAAATGTTAGCCGGAGCTTTTGTATCGCCGGTCGGCCGAAGCGTTTGGCTGCTGTGATTGGTCGGGTTTGCACGACAAGTATAAAGACGGCAGAAAAATAGCAAGACAATGCGAAATGAGCGTTTGTTAAGTGACTCACTAGAAAAGTCGATCTTCTTTTTGGTGATTATTTAGAGAAACTAGCTAGAATCTACTTGCTGAGCTGAAATGAAGGCCTGATCCGCAAGACAGATTTGCGTGCATGAATGATCAGAATTTGAGGATTTTTGTATCTATGTAAAAAGTATGTAGTAAGAACCCGGAAAAGTAGACTATAGGAAATATGATACAGAGGGTCTATCAAAAATCAACCAAACGCCAAACAAGAGACAAAACAGGCCTGGACCTCAAAACCGCTTAAACCACAACAAGCTTTGAACAATGCAACTTCTCGTTACCCACTTTTTTCTTCTTTTGCGACTATAAAACAAAATCCTTACTAGGAGCGTAAAAATGTCTTGTAAGTGGGAGAGTCAGTGTGCTCACTGAACGGATATCCCAGATCCCGAAGGAAAGCCTCCAAGTCCTCTTTCTCGGGCGAGGGGCACTGGATTCCAGCCAGAACCTTGCCCACATCACCACCATAGTTGCGGTAGTGGAACAGAGAGATATTCTGTTCAGGACGAAGGGTGGTGAGGAACTTGGCAAGAGCGCCTGGACGCTCGGGGAATTCGAACATGAAGATGCGCTCATCGGCGACCTCGCAACGGCCACCGACGAGGAAGCGCACATGACGCTTGGCAAGTTCATCATCACTCAAGTCTCGGCAGCTCATGCCACCCTTCTCCAACTCTCCCATGATCTTGGCTAGGTCTTCGCGACCAGTAGAGGCAGATAGTGAGATGCCCATCAGCACATCGGCTGAGTCTTCGCGAGCATAGCGATAGTTGAACGCGGTCACAGCGTGCGGCAGGACAGTCTCAACAAGTTTGGCAAACGCACCGGGCTTCTCGGGGATCTTCACGCTAAGAAGTGCTTCCTTCTTCTCACCAAGGGCAGCGCGCTCAGCAACAAACCGCAAACGGTCGAAGTCCATGTTGGCACCAGAGGCAATGGCAATGAGTTCACGATTGGGGTCAGAACTAGGATTCTTAGCAATATACTTCTTGAGACCGGCAAGAGCGAGAGCGCCAGCGGGCTCGACGATGGACCGGGTATCCTCAAAGGCATCCTTGATGGCCGCGCAGGTCTCGTCGGTGGAGACCTGAATGACTTCGTCGATGACCTCGCGACTAAGACGCCAAGTTTCCTCGCCAACAGACTTTACTGCCGCACCGTCTGCAAAGAGGCCGACCTCCTTGAGGAAAACTCGGTTGCCTGTATCGAGGGACTGAGCCATAGCATTGGCATCGTAAGCCTCGACTCCGATGACCTTCACCTGGGGTGCGATGCGCTTGAGGTAAACTCCAATGCCGGCAATCAGACCACCTCCGCCAACAGCACAGAAGACTGCCTCAAGCTTGTCCAAGTTTGCCTGGCGCAGAAGCTCCATGCCGATGGTACCTTGGCCAGCAATGACATAAGGGTCGTCGAACGGTGGGATGTTTGTCAGATCATGCAGTTTCTCCAATCGGTGCGCCTCGTCCTTGGCAGCATCAAAGTCCATTCCGTGAAGAACCACACTTCCTCCCAGGCGAGCAACATTCAGGTGTTTGATGGCGGGGGTGCCGGAAGGCATGACGATGGTGGCGGGGATTCTCAGCTTGCGGGCAGAAAAAGCCACACCTTGAGCGTGGTTTCCTATACTGAGTGAGTAAGAAGCATTCCCCATTTTTTTTTCCTATCAGCCAGCTCTAAACTCACCAGCAGAGCAAGCAATAACGCCCTTCCAGCGCTGCTCATTGTTCAAATGAGCCATCTTGTTGTATGCGCCACGAAGCTTAAAGCTGAACACCGGAAGCAGATCCTCGCGCTTGAGAAGCACACGGCTTTTTAGCCGGGCACTCAGATTGACAGCATGGGTAAGAGGGCTTTCGTCAATAACATCGTAAACCCGTGACGTCAAAATCAACCGGAGATACTAGAGTTGCGAGGCAATGTTAGAATTTGAGGATCTCAGAGTGTATAGCAAAGTCTGAATTACATCTGGGTAGCCGTTGGGAAGTAGGAAAGCCTCAGGGATGCCCCAATTAGGAGGCAAGCCCGGGGCCCTTTGCTCGCGTTCAGAGGGCGGCGTCGGAGCGGCGGTATACTCAGTCAACGCAAACCCACTCATTTTGGGAGTGACGGGCGTCGCAACGCCGCTGGTAGTCTCGTCAGACATAGTTCGTTCGGGTTGATTTCTGCCAAATGATGGAGATAATCAATCCCTAAGCTGCTAGAGAAAATCTGGCAAGTCGGCAAATTCTAAACTCTGACTCTTTTTTCTTGTAGCCCGATGATCGGAGAGCCTTATGTCATCAACTCTGAGTGCTCGCCCTAAATAAAGCTTGATTTGGGAGTGTCGAGGGGATGAAATAAAGTGTGTAGGATCAAGACGAATGGCAGTTTTTTTTTTTAAAAAAAAAGCGAATCTTCGTGCCACTTAGACTGAATAGAAGAATTGAACGTTGGGTGTTGGGTAGCAGGAGTGCAGCTACAGGTAAGATAGTATGATGTACGGAGTAGATAGCGGTCAACAATGAGGGGCTAATAATAGATGAATAGAGTATTTATGTTTCGTTTTACTTTGATTTTGATTTTATTTTATTTTAGGACAATGGTGCGATCAGATGTGAACAGAGGCATTCAAGCAAAATAGGAAGCCGAATGGTTTTGTAGCGTTGTAAAGACGCGGTAGATGCTGAGGGCCTTGGGAGGGTTGGGTAGTTACATAACCCGACGTGTTTGAAAACTTGTCGTCATACCACAGCTTGACCCTGTGCGCCCCAGCATCTATCTTGAACACTCTATTCCAACACCAAAACCTACAATTCCACGCCCTATTAAATCGTCTCCACATACTACCCCATTTTTTAGCTTCGACCGAATCTTCCGACTCGAAAACTCCGCATCCCGTGGACGCAATTGGACTCCACACGGCCACCGGCAACACACCCGACTACGATCAACTTCACGATGAACCGGGATCCCGTGCCTTCGTCTTTTGACGATGGAAACCCGTATGTATCACTTTTTATCCGCGTGTCTTGCAAACGACACCCGACAACACCGCAGAGAAAGCGAGGGACAAGCTCATCTGCTAACACTCGGCCTCCAACAGTCAATTTACAGAAGAGACCGGCGTTCAAAAATTCACACGACGGCTCAAGGAAGAGCCGCTCGTTCCACTCGGTACGACATCTTTTATCGTCGAAGCCCTTGCCTAGTTCCTCGGGTTTCCTTCCCAACTTAAAGAAGGAAAAAAAAACTAAGACTTACCACCACAGGATGCGCCGCAACATGCTATGCCCTCTACCGTGCCTACCGGTCGATGAAATCCGGCGATTCGGTTGAAATGAACCGAATGTTCCGAGCCCGTATCTACGCACAAGCCTTCACACTAGTCGCCCTAGTCGCCGGTGGAATGTACTTCAAGACGGAGCGGCAACAGCGCCGGGAATTCGAACAGGCCGTGGAACTTCGGAAGAAGCAAGAAAAGCGTGATGCGTGGTTGCGCGAGTTGGAGATCCGTGATAAGGAGGATCGCGAGTGGAGAGAGCGTCATGCTTCTATTGAGGCTGCGGCTAAGGAGGTCGGAAATAAACCGGCGCCGCGCAATGAGCCTGAAGCGGCGCGGTCATCGATCGAGCCTGCCGACGAGAAGTCTATTGGGATTATGGATGCTGTGAGAGCTCTCATTTCACGGAATTAATGATGTGCGCTCTGTAAAAAAAATCTCATTTTTTTTTTCTTTACTGTACATATTCATCGAGCTTCTCCAATCGTATTTTTGATTTTCAACTGATGATTTGTGATGTTCTAGAGTGTGTAAGCATGGGTGATAGAAGCACGGTCAGTTCATCGGGTGGGCGTCTCTGGGCTTGTGTTTTCTGCGGAAAGTCCGACGATCGTCGTGCCGAGGTCGAACTGACCCGATGGCAAAAAGCACGGCACTAGCGAAACAAGGTAAACTACGTTCTTGGCAGGCTCGAATGTTCCCGAAAAAGCAGCACGTTGATTTTGGGTCAGCTTGGCCGAAATCTTTTGCTTGGTGGAGGCTTTCATGTGAGATCGACAAGGCTAGCGGCAACTCTGTGATGCCCAGGGCATATCATTGAGTGTGCTTTTGAAATGACACTCGTGAAGTCCCAAGGATACAGGAGACTACAGGATGGATGTGCCTTATATCTTCGGAGACTAAGATGGTCAGGCGCATGGTGGGAGGAGATGATCCAGAGGCGGGGAAGATGAGCTACTCGACACTAACCCCCTAGTTTGGATATCCCCAAGGTCTCTCAGAATGACCCTGGGTCAAACTTTTCAGTCGCAGCTCAAAGCCTCCGCCTTTCATTCAACGGAAATCTTGCAAATCTTCCCCAATGCACATTCGTCCCCCAGTCGCAATGCCATCACGTGTGGAGCAAGAGCGAACCGGTGCTGGTGCTTTTGCCGATGCTGCAGTCTAGTTGGGGTATCCATATTCTGAGGATATGTGCATGTACCAATGAAGCTTGCACAACTTGTAAGCCATGATACGCACGCGATTCGGTTTCCTAAGCTAAAGCGAGACCAGAAATGGTCTTGACGTGTTTCGTTCTAATGTTAGTGCAATGATCTAGTCTTGCTCTGCTTCCTTCATTTCATCTCGACGGTGTGTCTGCATTCAAAAGGATCGTCAAAAGAAATCTTGCCGAATTTAAATAGATGTCGTGAATCATGTGTGTGTACTCTAGCATTTAAATACTTCTTCAACGGGAGGCTTCAACGAAAATCAAACAACCTAAGAGACCCGAGAGAAAGGAGACCGGTCAATCGATTTCCATTCCATCCACCTGGTGTATTGCTTTCATCGGTCCACTCTGGCCACTTTGATTCGTTTCGGCGTGGAATGCCAGAACCTCGCTGTACCTAAAACCATTCAGCAGGATATATGATATACTGGCTTATGCTGCATTCAGGACTTACATGATGGTCTTCCAGATATCAGCTGGGAGATTTGCCTCAAGGAATGCCCAGTCGAATGTTTCTGCGGCGACTGGTTCGTCATGGGGATCGTGGTATGGTGCGAGATACGGGGACGCGAGGGCTTCCGTTGCGGACATTCGCACTAAGGGGTCGAATTGAAGCAGTTTGTCGATCAACGCCGCCGCTGAATTGGTTAGTATATATTACTGTGTTAAAGGATAGCTTGAAACGCACCATCTGCGTTCGCCTTGGGAATGAGCTGTGATATTGGCTTACGGTCTCGCCTCGGGAGCGAATTGACAAAATTCAATGTCTGCAGGAAATTGATGCAATCAGCAAACCTCTCTGGATGAAGTGTTTCTACTTTCAGACGGACAGTCCTCTCACTCACATTTTCACTTGTAATATTGTTGACGACTTCCTCCGGGGGGTTACCAAGGAGATCGGTGATAACACAAAACTGGTTGATATGGTTCGTTCCGGGAAACAACGGCTCGCCCAAAAGCAGTTCAGCGAAGATACACCCGGCACTCCACATATCAACTTTCTCGTCATACTTTCTCCATGTAAGCATAATCTCCGGGGCGCGGTAGTACCTCGTCGAGACATAGCCGGTCATGTGTGTTTCTTGGATTCGGGCCAGGCCAAAATCACATATTTTCAGGTCGCAGTTCTCATTAACCAGAATATTGCTTGGCTTGAGATCTCGGTGGATGACACCGGCTGAATGGAGGTATTTCAGGCCACGCTGGAATTGTGGATGGTCAGAATATCGTGCTTGCTGCGGTCGGTGTTGGTATAGATGGCACCAACCATGATTTGGTACATGAAGTATTGAGCAAATTGGTCTTCGACCGTTTTCGCCGTCAAAATTGTATTAAGATCTGTTGCCATAAGTTCGGTCACGATGTATCTAGAGTTGTCAGTCCTTTCCATGTGCGGAGAGCAAGGAGTCTCCATACATGTCTTCCGAGGGAGAAATGAAAATGTCCGTCATGTTGATGATCTGGCGGATCATTAGGCAGGTGCTTCACGCTCGGTTTCTAGATCCTCACATTTTCATGTCGTAACTGTCGTAATAATTTAATTTCTCGGAACATATGTCTTGCAATAGCCGGTGTTTTGAAAGGTTCCGCGAGTTTCTTCACGGCCACAGTCTGATGGGCGAGTTGGTCCTTTGCAGAACTATGTTGAAAAAGTTAGCTTCAAGTGGTTGTGAGTCTGCTCCGAGGGAGGAACACAGTACCAGACAAGCCCGGATACTCCAAGTCCAATAGGCTTCCATTCCGTATAACTGATTTCATACAATCTCAGCATAGAAGAGGTAGGAAATTACTGGCTTTGGTTGTTCTAACCGTTCAGTTGTCTCGAAAATTGTGCCCATTACTGATTTCCGGGAGAAGGTTGCCATTTGCTCCCCATAGGATGGCGTGGGTAAGTCCGTGGGCATCATCGGAGATAATTTAGGAGTAAATAATAAGTTGCTAGAATACAAGGATCAGTGATCAGTGAGATGGACATAGAACCAAGTCATAATAAGAATGATCTGAATCGTAGGATTAAAAAAAAAGGAGGAATCCATAGAAAAGATTATATACAACAGTTCGATGCCGTCAGAGTCGGGTAGTGACATCAGCGGCTGTGTGGATCTCCCCACATCTCTCCAGCACATCCAGAGAAGAATCTTACATATTCCATTTGCTGATGTGGATCTTCATGCCTATCCACCCTGTGTGATCCGAAATGTGGAATGATGGTGGTTCGATCCAGATCGGGGATCCTAGTGCTTTCGAGGCTTCTGCACGAACTGTCACAATGGTGGCATGCGCCTCAGCGTCATGGGAGTATCCTTGCCGAGGGTCCGACTTTTGTGGAATGTGAAATAAAAAATCCATGTCACAGGTAGATTCGTAGTTTCGTTGATTCGTTGATCCGTATGAACGGTTACCAACAGGAGTTTTAGTTAAGGTTCCTCCGAGCTCCAGCGCTCGCGGTCCTGAGATATTAATGTACATAAAAGTTGACGCCCAACGCTAAAACAGAACAGCGTTCCCAAAGGCAAGTTTAGTCTTTAATTATACCCGTTGTCCGCATTGATAAAATTTTCAAACATCGAATCGGTAACCCCACTATTAGGCTCGTAAGGGGTAAAGTCGTTCGTGATTGCAGGCAACATTGACCAGTCGTGATTGAAATCGCCCGATCCAATGGGGTTGGCACCTGCACCATCTGCGACTGACTCATCGGACCACGTACTCGTCGAGAATGTGGGCGATGACCCTATGGGAAGGTTGGGATTGGGATTCTGGTTGGAAGGACTTTGCAGGACGGTCTGGGTCATCCTGGCGAGTTGGTGGTTGATTTGATGATCTTGGCACTCGGCGTGCTGGAAGATGAGGTTTTTTAAATCCCACACTTCTTCTTTGAGACAACTCAATTGTGCGAGGAGAATATCTTTCTTTTCGGTTTCGTCCGTAAGACGACGTTCAATTTGCTTATGTTCTCTCTTCTTTCTTTCGCGGCATTTGTTGGCGGCGACGCGGTTTCGTTCGAGATGCCTTGCCCGCCCGGGGCTGACAGGTTGGGAGGGTGAGGTGGGTGGTACCGATTTCATCTTTTTTATTTTCAAGTCCCGCTACCAATTGTAGAGTTATCGGAGGCGATCAGGAAGTAATATAGAGTAACTTGGAAAAATCGAATGAGTGTTAGGGGGATTCTTGGGCATGGGGAGATCCGACTTGATATAAAACAACCCTTGGTAGACTCTGGCAAGAAAAAAAAATTCAAAAGGTCTGGACCGATATCGATGACGTGCCATGTCCAGGATTTAGACAGGATTTGAACTAAAAAGCAAAGCTTCGAAACAGTTGCAACCTGGCCGTTTCCGGTTTCACTACTCCGTAATCGTCGATGGATTTGGATTCCTCAAGTCCACATGTAATTTGTGAGACATGGATGTTGGAGTACACCAATGAAGCGTGTGGGGAAAAGGTGGCAACATTTTATGCATGTTGTAGCTAGATTGTGGATATCTATCAAGATGGAACTAAAATTAACAATCAGTTCTAGTATCATCATCATCTCCATCAAATCAACATTGCTCACTTAATTCTCTAGGCCATCTATGCGTAGAGCTACAGCTTAGTAGGAAACCACAACATCTAGAAGAAGAGACTTGAACTGCATCAAGCCCCACAACTTTGCTCGAGAAACTTGGCAGTCCTGTTTGATGGAGACTCGGGGACAATAACAGGGAAGCTCTCTCTAGTTACCGAGAAATACCTAGATGCCTTACCAATCTGGCAAGCCGAGAGATGTGCACCAGCAAGATCATACCACCCACTCGGAACCTATAGTCTTTGGTCAAGTTCCTAGATAGGCTTCTAATAACCACCCAATAGGAAGACACTTCCAACTCGGATTCAAGCAGTGCAACCCACAGTATGGCGATCATCCCTCCACTCCAATATCAACCGTTTCTTCAACAAGCACTCTTGGTCAACATTTCTTGGAACAAGACTTGATTTACTACCGAAAAGAATGTTTACATGAAAACCGACCAACCCAGATCAACCAGCGATCTGTTCGTCGAGATAGCGTCTCATCGTTTCAAATTCTGATTTTCCTGTCTTTGAACTCGTTAGCAATCCAAAATAATTGGCATCGTTGGCCGAAAGTGAGCGGAATCGACAGTAAATCTGTAGATATTCATACCGAAAGCAAGTATCTTATGTGTTGCTGCAGAGCCAAAAAAAATAGATCAGTCAAGTAATTCTCAAACTTTAACCTTCCCATCGAATCAAGAAAATCCACCTACCACATCCGATACTCCACGATGACGCTCGAACTCATCACGTGCATATCTGTGCAGCTCCATCCGTGTTGATGAAGGAGGGACCTCTGAGCATATCTGTTAGTCTCATATATGGCCCTAGCAATTAGGCTGGTAAGCGGACTTATTAATGCTCGAACGATTTCCCGCCATAATGACAACACACGTTGTCTTTGGATAAACTGTACGGTCGATTAGTGGATTTACTTCGAGTCAAAATTGCTAGGTTACTTACATGGTCTAGACTGATGGAAGGCTTCTTCAGCTTGGAGGGCTGGCTGCGCGAGATCGCGGCGAGAAAACGATGTGAGGGGCGCATTGGACCAGATCAGAGCATGGCCTTCTGTATCAATCAAAAGATTGCACGGGCCATAAAGTTTTTCATAGTGATGATAGAGATGCCGATTAGCTTGTAGGAGAAGGGATACAGAGGGCGGTGAGGCAGTGTATATTTCTGCCGGTGTTGTCTTCACGGTCAGGTGATCGGCATGCTACAAGTGACAAACCAAGGGTGAACAGAGGACTGCCTGGCTTCTTTTGAAAAGGGTATACAATCTAATCTACACCAGGTAATTATCTTTAACCGCGATATTCAACAACGGGCATGGAGGGCATATGAAGGAAAAATGTTCAACCAAATGCGAGGTAGAGTTTTGCCTTGTCGTGATCACATGTAGGTTACAACCAGATTATTCTTGTTTTTAGTTTTTTACCCCTGCAGAGGATTACTCATGCCACCGAAAGTTATACTCTTGATAGTCATGAACTCCTCAATACCGTACTTGCTGCCCTCACGGCCGAAGCCACTCTGCTTGACACCACCGAATCTATAGAAAGGTTAGAGTTTGGAGTTCAAAGGCCGGGAGAAATATACTGACGGAGAGGCAACATCACTAATCAACCCAGTGTTGACACCAACCATTCCGACCTCCAGGGCCTCAGCAACACGGAAAATGCGGTGGACATTACCACTGAAGAAGTAACCAGCTAAACCGACCTCCGCATGGTTAGCCAGGTCAACAACCTCCTTTTCGGTTTTGAAGGGGAAAAGACCAGCCACGGGGCCAAAAGTCTCCTCGGAAGCGAGAAGCATGTCTTTAGTCATGCCGGTAAGAACGGTGGGGTGGTAGAAGTTAGGTCCGAGCGCGGTAGCCCTCTGCCCACCAACAACAATCTTAGCGCCCCTGGAAGTAGCATCCTGCACATGTTCATGAGCCTTGTTGGCAGCACGCTCATGAATGACAGGTCCGTGGGTGATGCCGTCCTCGAAACCACCACCGAGCTTGAAGTCCTTGACCTTCTCGACAAAGCGTTTGGCAAATTCCTCATACACGCCCTCCTGGACGTAGATGCGATTGGCGCAAACGCAGGTCTGGCCAGAGCTGCGGAATTTGGAGTTGATGGCACCCATCACGGCAGCGTCGAGGTCCTCGACGTCATCGAAAACGATGAATGGCGCATTACCGCCGAGCTCCCAGGAGACCTTCTTGATTGTCGTGGCAGACTGCTTTCCAAGGATGCGGCCGACATTGGTCGAGCCGGTGAATGACACCTTGCGCACCTCGGGGTGGGTGGTAATGAGCTCGCCCACTGCAGGGGTGTTCTTCGAGGAGGTGACAAAATTGACAACGCCCTTGGGGATTCCAGCCCGATGCGCAAGCTCAGCGATCGCGTTGGCTGTGAATGGCGTCTCCTGGGGAGATTTGGCCACGACTGTGCAGCCCGCCGCCAAGGCAGGGCCAATCTTCCGCGTAATCATCGCCGCGGGGAAGTTCCATGGCGTAATCAAACCGCACACACCAACAGGCTGTTTAACAGTAATAACTCGATTTCCGGGCACAGAGGCGGGGATTGTGTCGCCGTATGTGCGGGGTGCCTCCTCGCTGAACCACTCGAAGAAGCTGGCGGCGTAGTTGACCTCACCCTTCGCATCAGCAAGGGGCTTTCCGTTCTCCCATGTAATCAGCTTAGCTAGATCGTCCGCGTTTTCCACCATTAAATCGTACCACCGACGCAGCATGCGCGCGCGCTCGCGGCCTAGCGTTGTGCGAAATTTGGGAAAGGCTTCGGAGGCGGCCTGAATCGCCTTCTCAACGTCGGATGTATCGAGCTCGGGGCATGTTCCGATCAATTTGCCAGTGGCCGGGTCTGAATGAGACGAAAAAAAAAATTAGCGTTGCTTCTGATTCCAAACTTCCAATTTGATACGCACCGTAGACTTCGAAAGTCTCGCCGGACTTTGCATCGACCCACTCGCCATTAATGTACGCCTTCTCAATGAATAGCGACTGGTCTTTCAACTACTACCAGATCAGGATAACCTCCGAAATTGAAAGTGAATGCGGATCTTACCTGCGGCGCGCTGTGTTTCATGCTGTATAATCTCTGTGCGTGGGCTGTCGGGGGAATCGAAAAAGGATATCTCGGGCGGGGTCTCAATAATTGGCGGGTGACAGGGCGGATGATGCGGTCCATTATGATTCAAGGCGAGGAGAAGCCCTGGAGGGAGGGACAAGGGGAAGATGGAGAAAGTTTTGTCAACAGTGCGGGGGGTAGGAGGTTGGGGGAGTTGGAGATGTCTTTAAAGGAAGCAGTTCGTGCAGTTCTAGTGGGGTGTCGGTGTCTCGAATTGGGGACTCAATGGTGATTGCTCTCTGTGTCCGAGAAGAACTGAAGATGTGTGTAATGGGAATGCTAAGAATGTGATTCTGGTAATCTTCGAGTTCAAAAGGGAAGCTCCATGCTTAAAGCGGGGATCTGCGGAGTTGATGTCATCTGCACTTCACCCCCAGGGCTATACATCAACCCGGATTTTACAATGTTGGTGTCCAATTTTTGTAACTGTGTTTTAGTGAATTCGTTGGTGTCTTTTCTCCAGTTCGATTGAGGAAAAACCAACTGGGATCGAGGAAATCTCGTTCTGGAGAACAAGCTCCGTTTCATAGATCTGGTAATTTAAGTAATTCCGAAAACAACGTTATCACATTCGGTTCTTTCCACCAATAGGAATGACGGCTTTGAGCGAGCACGGGATTGAACACCAATAACAGCCGACCTTTGTCCTCGGGCCTTGAGATAGTGTATTAGTATTACCAAGACCTCATCCACCGTCTGTTCTCCATAAAATCACCAGACACCCTTGAAGGGCAGGAGGGGAATTTTGGTAAAAATGAAAAGAAACGCAAAAAGAACCACCAAAAAAGGACATGTTGGCTGGCTACGTGGAGTGCCCAGTCACAAGACAAGGACATGAGTGGCCATCTCTAGTGGCAGAGTATTTATCGTTCCCCCATGGCTGTACCAAAGCACGTGGCGCAAAGTGCGATTTTTTCATCTTGTAGGAGAGAACTGAACATCCCGGAGTATCAACAAGTTGAATTCTAGCGGCAGGCTCTAGGGAATACCAGTCAACTTGCGACATGGAGACCATCAAGCACGGATCCGGACTCATTTCAAATGTCTACAATGACACGAGAGCCTGTGCACAAAGGAGGTGATTGCATTCGACTAAAATAGCCCCCATGCTGATTGATTCCCTGAGCTCTAGGATGACCTGTCCGAAAGAACTCCTTAGATGTAGCCGCATGATGCTATTTGGAACGTGGTCCTCTAGGCTACGATAGAATATCAGAATAGGACCTCGAAACTCAACCCACTCACACTCCTTCAAACAAAGAAATTTCAAAGAAATTTACACTAGAGCTCATGTTACCACTACCAAATGTCTCTCACTGAAAAACCAATCGACAGCCATATACTATCTCATCACTGGACCTCTTTACCACTTGACCACTTCATCTTCACCAAGCTTTTCCTTCCTCGTCATCGACCATCTGAACTTGGAAACTTCGCTACTTCACCTTTATCACTTAAGGACCTCAACCTTTCACCTCTTCAACCCTTTTGTCTTTTTCTCCTTCGCCCAAATCCTCCAGCACCATTTGAAAAAGCTTCGCAGCCCATGGTTGAATATCATTTCCCTGGTTGACTCAAGCAAGATCTCTAGCTTACTTTGCCTGAAGGTTAGTCCCGTGCTCTCACTTGAAGATACCTACTCTTCTTTACAAGGGTGACTTTTAATAGGAATGCCCTTAGTTTTTTCTGACAATCTTCAACAGATACTCGGCATCTACAGTCACAAGCTGGCCTGTGGACCCATTTGTTCCTTCCGTTATTCATAGCCACATCTGCTTCTACATTTAGAAAAACGTCTCGAGTTGAGTTAAAATGCCTCCAAATTCTCATTACGCATCCTCTGCTATCGGTGGTCGGAGCCAAAACGCCACAGGCTCCTCTGCTAGCATGGTCAGCCAAGGTGACAACAGTTCAGCTTCTGGCACATCAGTCACAAACCTCTCTTCCTCCTTCTCCAAGCAATGTTCAATCTCTCCACTACGAGCGGCCATTGACCCATTCGGGAGTCTTCCTTGGTTCGGTTTGGAAGAAGTTCTGCTCAACTTGCCGGACCTGCCCACATTACATCAACTCTGCCAGGCTTCGCCCGCTGTTGCGGACTACCTCAGCCATAAGAGTGGGGTCTTCCCAAAGGTCGTGGAACGTATCATGGAGCGGCGGGAGTATGAGCATAGTTCCGACGACGAATATAGATGCACCCAGCAGGACGCTACGCGAGGACTTGCTGAAGATACCCGTATCTTCTTCCGAACCCTGGTATATCTTTGGTGGAAAGAAGATTCCGTAGTCACAGGAGGGGCTTCGGACGAGAACCCGTTGCCTGAGGACTTCAACGATAAGTTGGTCTACACCATCAACATGTCGATCGAGGGCTTCTATGAGCCAAACAAGGTCGGCATGGTTCACCTCCCCCGCTCAACTCCTCCAAATATCCTCCGCCATCTCCTGAGCCTTGCCAGTCGCCTCCGGCGGGATGCACACGCTTTCTTCCACACTACGATGACTCTTTGCATGTACACTAGAATCCAGGAGCTCAAAAACAAAAAGGCGCATTGGCCAAAAAACGGGCCTCGGCCTTGCGGAATTCCAATTAACACCAAGAGAGGAGGCTATCCTCTCTCATGGATGGAAGAACAGCGGCTGATGCTAGCCTTCCTCAAGCCGTATGTTTTCTCAGTCCTGCAACGGGTGGTCTGTGAAAAACGGCTTCTCAAGCCCATTTCCTCTCTCACGGACCCTCTCTCGGATGGCCTGTACCCGGATACGCTCAAGGATCTGGAGCAAAATTCATTGGCAGAATTTTGGTCACCCTTCGCCAACTATGGCTGGATGAGAACGGAGCCAATGGAACAGATGGAGACTATTCTTGCTTGGATGGAGGAAGGAAAAACTTCGCATGCAGCGCGATGCAAGCGAGCAGCAAGTTTTACAACATGCTGCCCGGAGTTTAGCATGCTGACCGAGAAGCAGCTTAAAGAATACAGCCGGAGCAATCTGCAACACATCAAGCTTCCCGGGCCCTTTTGGGCACAAAGTTGCACAGTAGCACCGCAATCTGGTGTGAAAGGCGCCGGCTTTCGTGGAGAGTTTCAGAAGTTCGGTGTGAGCTTCTGGGATAAAGAAAGAATGGAGGGGCTCGGGCTTGCGACTCCACGGATGGACCGGTACTTGGACCAGATAGATCTCGCCTTTCGGTGGTCCTCCCTGCTTCTGTCGAACAAGAAAAGGGCGCCGAAAAGGGGCCAACAGAAAAAAGGCCTTCAATTCCGTAGCCGAACAAAGGCTATTTCGTTGGGCGAGTAGGTCTTGTTGACTCGCACCTGTTCACACCAGAGGATCATGGTTTCACTGCTGGAACCCGAATTGTCTCTTTCGTTTTGAATCCGCTTTTCTTTTTTCTTTTCATTCACGCAACGGTCTTTTCTTGATACATGCATGCATTTGGACATTGAGAGAAAGAAGAAAAAAAGAAAAAACACCGCAATAAGAATCATACATCGTTTAGGCGATGTTTCAGTCGGGATGGAACGGCTGCTTTGGCCATTGTGCCAAAAGAAAAAGAAAAAAAACAAACCCTCTACGAGTACAATCATCCATCAGTTGCAACCTCCAGAGAGACATACTTAACAGTACCACGCAATTTTGAAAAACACTTTAGTTGTAGACACTTGCCAGCAGCAACTTTGGCTGTATTTTGTGACTTTGAGACCGGCACCTGGCAGTTTCATCGGCTCTCTACTCGCCTCCTGACTGTACCATATTTAGATTTGGAACATGGTTCGATTTGAATTCTAATCTCTAGAATTGTCCACCAGACGGAATCCATAGATTCTTGATCAAGCCATCACTTCTCTATGAGTGGATAGGCACTTTCACACAGATTGTGCAAGTTCGTGTTCACGCTCACGATGAAGCTAAACAAAGCGCACAGGCTATTCGATTGTGATGACCGGACCATCTTGTTCAATCGAGGCTTCATTCCCAGGAGCAACATGTATGCCATGAGCCACTTTCATATGTTGGTTCAGGTTCCATTTTCGCGAAAACCCGCTCCTATGTCGAGCGCAAGTCCTAATCGGGCAGATAATATCCACTTTCCGATGAGGGCCTTTTCCAACGCCCCGTCTAGCCGTCTTTGGCTCCTGATCCATGGCTTCTTCGGTGTTCTCTGTAGTAGAGCCTGCCGCTGGTTCTGGCAGCTCCTCTGGGGCTGGGGATGGGGATGCGGAGGGAGGAACGATTGCAGGAGTCTTGTGTGCCTTTGAGCGTCGCCCGCTTGGTGTCTTTGGATTGGATTTGGGGATCTTCGCCTTGGACTTGGATATCTGCGCTTTGGCTGTAGGAATCTTCTCTGCGACCGTGGGCTCAAGATCAGGTACGCTGAGCCGGCTGCGATTTGGTCGCGGGGTTGGCGGGGGAATTGGCTGAGGACTTGGTGGCACCGAGTCGATTTCACTCTCACTTTCGGTGTAGGCATATTCTTCTTCTGCACCTGTCTTGCTCCTCTTTTTTACCCTGCCTTCTGGCAGTGTTCGGAATTCCATATCTTCACCAAAAAGGTCGGCGCATCGTTTTGATGCACGCATTACAGCGGGAGTCGGAAAGCCCATCATCGATGCAAGTCCCAAGACTTCACTCCAGTCTCGCAGTTTGAGTCGGCCCTTGGTGTGATGATTGATACTTGGACCGGCGGAAGAGTCGCGAGATTGCGCTCGGGTCTGGGAAACTTCTGGTAAGTTTCCATCTTCTGTATCTGGACCAGTGGACATGCGTGCACTGTCCGAACGGCGGGATAAATCCCGCTCCTGAGACTCCCGTCGAGCACTTCTCCGACCTCGCGATCGACTTCTGCTTCTCTCGAGAGTCTCAAAGTCTTCTTCGTCCCAATCACTCCATTGCTCATCACCAGAGTCCTCCTCGAACATGCGACCCTTCATGGCGCAATGGAGCCCATATAGCAACCTGTCTACTTGTGAGATCACATTGCGGACCAGCGGACGTAGTTGACGAAGAGATTTGTCGTCGTCGAGGAGGGCAATCGGCCGGAGGATTCTTGCATCGACAGGCTCTTCTTCTTCTTCCTCTTCCTCCTTTTTCTCTATTTCATCGTCCATCAGTTCATCCCCGTCGTCCAACTTATCCCGGGGATTATCTGCAATTTCTTCGAAATTCAATTCTCGGGCTTGAAATGTCTCCTTGGACGTCTTCAGTATGAACGCCGTGATGCATTCTTCCAATTCCGCACTTGGTCGGGGATCAGGTTCTATTTGGAAAATATCGAGAGCATCCGTTCGTCTCTGAATAATCTCATTGGAGCGGGGAACTGTAGCTGCATGAACAGGCCATGCAGCCCATCGCTTGTACACACGAAGTGGCGCTTTGTCAACGACCCCAGGATTCTTCCGGGCAGTCTCCCGCGCTCGCTTGCTAACCACATGGGCATTATAAAGGTGAGCCGCCAGATCTCTGGTTCGGTGGGTTATCAGTGCATTATAGGCTCCAATCTCGTCGGCGTTGTAGTTTCTCCATGAACTGGCGTGCCCATCAAACAGATTGGGACGCTCAACCCCTGGTGGCAGGTCAAGACCTCGGTCCACTACGTAGTAAATCGGCTCATGTTGAGATTCCTGCGCTGAATTCGAGCGTAAGCGACTTCTGCCACGATTTTTTCCCTTGTTGCTGTCGTCGTCAGAATTATCTTGGAACGGCAAGGGCTGTTCTCGCATTATCGTGTCACGCTCATGTGCGTTTTGGTCTAGCTTTTCATCCATGGTATCTGCTTCAGAATATGGCTCTAAAGGGGCATCTTGACTGAAGGGGCCTCCACAAAGAGAACTTCCTGGCGGTTCTGGCTGAGAAGAAGATTGCAAGATATCACTGCTTGGACCTCCGAATAATGATGGACGTGGCTGTGCAGACTCCGGTGGAAGAAATTCTGGCCAGGGAGCCTGGCTTCCATATAGCGATGACATCCCAGTAAGAAAATTTGGTCTCCTGCCGTTGTCTGGGCGAAAGGTCGGGACCTGCACTGCTTAGATGTCACATAGATGCGGACTTTAATTGCGCAACATGCGACTAGAAGGTCAACATAGAATCCAGCGTCAGAGCGTGCTCTGCTTGATACTTGCAATGGTAAACTTTTGACTCTCCTGTCCGACTGTTTGATTAATGCTGGATGTCGAAGATGTCAAAAATTCCATGCAGGTGGATCACCCACGTGGTCATGTGACTTAATACATGATCCCACTCTGAAGATATACGCTAATCCGAAAGGGGTAACACCAGAGTTTCTAACCTGATCTCCATAGATTCTGTCGCAACGATGGAATTGTAGGGCCCAGGCTTCAAACTGGTTAGAGGTTGCAGATCAAACTGTAACAACTAGGAAAACGCTGCCGAAGCTAGGCTGGTGCGGTACCGATGAAGACCAAGGGAAAGCATGTAGTGAAAGGCCCAAATTGTGATACAAAGATACCCAAGATGCTAGATTTCATCACCGTAGCCTGTTGGTGAGCCCACTTGTGGCAGGATCGGAGATATTGAGTGACAATATGGTAAGCAAAATCGGCACGATCGAACTCACCCTGGTAAATCAATGAATTGGTGTTTGTTCATAGTATTGCACTCATCCACTAAAGTACTAAAACATGCGAATCATCACGGTTATGATGGATCTCCTAACCAAATCAGCCCCTGTAACTGCAGAGCTCTCGGTAGTAGTTCCTCAGTGGGGCTTAGTGGACTCCATAACCCCAACAATGGACCGATCAACTCTGGTATATTGTGGCAACTGTGATTGATAATTGCTATTTTACTCAACGAATTATGGATTACTAGGATCAGCTATCTCAGATATACACGAAGGAACCGCTTTAAAAACCTTTGTTGTCATCAAAATGAAAGTAATGATAGTGTTCTAATAGTTATATAGACTGGCGGCTCGATCTAGTTCTCCAAACGAATGAAAGCGACAAAGCCAATTGTCAAAACAAAACGAAGCCACCGTCCTTTGAAATTTTTTTTTCTAGACCATCTTTTTAGAACCAGTCGTTAGGAAGGAAGAGAGGCATGGAGTCCTCCCAAATCGAGTTGGTCAAAGCACGCTTATTGGATCCGTCGGAATCCATTATCATGATCTGACCGTAGGGCTGAAAGGTGTCATCGTACAAAGCACACTCATACTGGAACCCGTACATGCCAGAGGACCACATGATCTTTCCATCCTGGCGCCAAACAGCGTGGGCATCGTTGGCGCCGCTGGAGGTCAGAATGCGGAAATCGGTGCCGTCAGGGCGGATGGTGCAGACCTCGTAGTTACTCGAAGAAACCTTGCGAGTAAAGACTATAAATTCCCCATCGGGGGAAAACGAGGGAAGATTATCCCATCCGCTGGTAAGCTGGGTGATCTCTCTGGTATCAAGGTCGAGAATGCGTAAACCAATCTCTGTCTCGTCGCCGTACTTGGCGGTGTCGGCACCCCACACGCGGTAGACGACCTGTTTGCCGTCGTGTGAGAAGCTGGGAAAGCCAGTGTTGAGGTTCTTGGACTCGTTGATCCAGAGACTGCTGGTGGTCAGAACCTCGACGTAACTGCCAGTTGCGGTGGAACGTACAATCCAGCCTCCTCGCCAATCACGCGCCTCAAACCAGGCGCCTACTCCGAAGACGACCCATTCACCATCTGGGGACCAGCTGGGACTGTAGGCTCCACCCAGACCCTCTTGAATTAGAGTCGTGTCAAGGAGACTGGTATCATTGGGCTTGTAGAGTAAGGAGAGCTCCATATCCTCCAGATGAAATGTAGCAATGGAGGAGTTTCCAAGTTGCCTTTCGGTCAGGGCCACGCGGTCGTCCGATGAGAGTTGAGGGAACACATCAGTGAAGCGGTATTCCCAGTCGCTATCCCAGCTGTAAAGCTTCTTGAATAGGGGGCGGATGGACCAATCAATCTTCTCGTAAACAACGTACTTTCCATCCGGAGACCATGAGGGAGAGCGGATTGTAACATTTAAATAGGTACCATTTGTAAGGTACAAGCCCTCCTTATCACCACCCTTCAGATGATACCCAATTGTGGAGTTCGTCACGTATTGGGGATATGTCTTGACACCAGCACCACCAACCTCAACTCGACGGTCCTGGCCATTGATCTCAACAGAAACAATTGTAGAGTTGGCATCTGCGACGATCTCAGGCCGATGTGCATCCCACGTTTCATTCCGGGTCATCTCGTAGAATATGAGGCGATTGCCATCGGGTGACCATTTGGGAGACCCAAGGCAGTGGTAAGTTCGGTTGGCAACACGGCGAAGATCTGAGCCATCCGGACGAATAATGTAAATGCTGAGTTCTTGTGTGTGCTCCCAGCCCGCGAGGCCGAGGTAGGTAAGATTTCCGTGTCCATCCCATTTTGTGTTGCGGTCTGAGGAAAATGCAAGCCAATTTCCGTCTGGCGACCAAGCCGGACGGAAGTTACCGTGCATCATGTCCTCATCTGGCCGGTTAGCCGGGGTATCGGTGATATTCCACTCAGCACCAGTTTCCAAGTCCTTGACCCAAATGTTAGCGTTGTAATTGTTGGCGGTTGAAACATAGGCTGCCAATTTTCCATTTGGTGAGATTACAACGCTGTCTTCCGCTGCTGGGGATTTCACAATTGGCTGTAGATCGGAGCCATCTGGGCGCACACGCCAGATATCGGAGTTTCCATCACCGTCGCGCTCACTGGTGAAGCTAATCCAGTTTCCATCAGGAGAAAACTCGGCGTGGTATTCATAACCAGGATCTGCCAATAGGGGACGTTCGTCGGTGCCATCCGCGTTGGCGATGTATAGTTCTGAGGTACCGGGAGCAATACGGTTCATCAACAATAGACCCTTTTTTCCAGCTGCTGCGGAGGGCGTAGGAGATACAAAGTCGGTTGATTTGCTTAGAATGGTGTCGCTAGGCAATTGACCATGTGGGTTAGCAAGGTGGTCAACCTTAGTACCCGCATCTCGGGCATAAGGACAGTTTGCCAACGCAGGAGCAATGGCGAAACACACAATAGTAGAAATACTAAGACGCATTTCCAATACAGTGAGCAAATTTGAAATGACAAGGGCTTCGGATTAAAAAAAAAATGGGGTTCTCTAAGGCTCTTCTGATGTTACAAAAAGGAGTTGTCACTGTACTAAGATGGAATGCGGGAGTAAAACACCGGAAGGTGCTACCAACATCATAGGTAGCTGTACACATAGTTTTTATAATTCTAGGCTTGGAGGAGACTCATTTTAAGCGTCCCATCGGATATTCGGCCTGCAAATGGTCTGTCTAAAATGAGCTATTTGACAGAGAATCCTCCGGTCAGTGGAACCGATCAGCAACTTTTTATAACAAGTTGACTGGTGCCCTGTATCCTTCACGATGTCACATTACTCCTACCTGTTCTATTATGCTAAAACTAATGAAAGAGCATGATTAGCCCGGAATCAGATCTGAAGCAAGGGTCGACTCTGCATACTTCCTCGAGAAACCCTGACCACGTCGTTGGCCCGATCAGGGGCGTGGAAGCCATCAAAGAACAACTAGAGAAAATACCGAAAAGTACTTGGGCAGATTTGCCACTCCGAGCCCTATATTTGTTGTACTGTTCTATGCCCAACCCCCTGAAATATCGACCATCCATGTCGACTAGAGACCAATCTGAGGCCAAAGACCTGCAAAATTAGGCTCTCAGGAGATCGGTTGCATTAAGAAGCATTCCGGAGTAGTGCTATCTTAAGGTAGTCATTGTAAAATTTGGTACTGAAACAGTAGTTAGGCTCTATCAAGTCTGATCAGCGAGCAAAAGTTGGTGACAGTGAACCACGTTCGGGAGGCGATGTCAAAAGCCACTGGTGACATGAAATAATGCAAGATGACTCCTTTAGCTAAAAGCATCACAAGCAAACCGTGAGACAAGCTCAATGGGAGTCAGCAAAGTCTCACTAGATCAGGCCAGTCCAGCATTTTAGTCACATGCAGTGCAATCAAAAGATATTTCCTCATACATAGTTTCCCAGAATTGATGATGATGTTCTCCCATCGACATATTCTCACAGTAACCGAACGCAATCTATGCTCGTTGTACCATGAAAATGTGGGCAACGCCATACACGGTTTCACAGATTGTTCAGCATTTTTCGGCTGACATTGAACACGAGGTCCTGGCTGAGCTCTCTAGCACTTTCTTATATCTGGCGGCTATTGTTATCAAGATATAACCTGCTTTGTCTGTCTTGAAGATTGAAGAGATTCTGTCAATTTTGTGGTAAGGATAGCCCTGGCACCCAATCTATCCTTGTTGCCTCGATAGTTTGTTGAAAGCCTAGACGGGATTTTGGAAGAGTGCGTCGGACTGGATACATCACCACTAGTTCAGCACTCTCCTTGAATTGAGAGTCTTGATAACTTTTCAGACACTGTTAGATGCCCTTTTATTGTCAATGACGGGTCAAGAGGGCTTGTGCTGTGGCCAAGGTTGTGGGTTCCCCCTGCGTCTAACCAGATGTGAACAAAAAGGCTTTTAGGCCACAGTTGGAATGTAATTTTATGACCGTGTGGAGAGTCGTAATAGACAAATCAATGGGAAAAGTCCCGAAAAGAAGGCATAGTAGAATGGCAAGGTAGGTTATGCACCGGCCACTATCAGAAACAGTTTTAGAAGAAAGCCGGTACTCTAGGGACAGCCTGAAGACTTGAAGTTGATACGTAAACGGACTATCCAAATCATTCCAACCTTATACTTGATCCCGGGAGCTATGGTAAGTGTTTTCCCACCCTGGAATATCTTACTGCATACTGCATATGGGGAAATGTATTAATTGGAAGAACCATCTCCCTTTCCGGTGTCTCGTTCCTTCACAGAGGTATTCTCCAATTCAAAACCCCGGTTGGTCTCAATTGATGCCATGTTGATACCTTTTTTTTTCGAAGATTGACGCTCTGTGTTATACGCCTTGAGCTGGAGTGCATCATACTTCCAAAATTCAGCTCGAGCAACGTTTCAAGCATGTCCGTGTCAAGATTGCTCTTCTCCACTAGCACCTGGGCTTCTCCCACGATATCCATTGTTCCCGCGACAAGGAAATTACTCAATATAATCAGTAAAGCTGCTACAATGCGCCGTATACCTGTTGCAGTCTTACCCCCAAGCTTGGAGAAGAGTAGCCTTCTCAGGCTGTTCCGTGACTATCATCACATCCCGTGCAATGACCCCTTTTCCAAAATACGCAGTTTAATCAATGTCTTGGCTTGGGCCGGTCATCGCCATCCATCCCGCACCACTTTCCGCAGCCGGAGTGGCTCTGAAGACAGGTGCTAGTGTAGTACATGAGAAATCACCAGTAATGGGGAGGAATCCGATTTATAGGTGTGAGGTGCGAGAAATATGTTATTCCAAGACTAGGTAGATCAAAGAACTTTTCCTAATATTCAGCATCGAAAATGGACTAGGAAAGCCTACAGAGAACACCTACCACAGCCCAGTGTAAAGGCAACCGTCTACATCATCGTATTCTATACAGAATACAGCAACATATGTGTTGAGCAGATTGATCAATTAGTTCTCTTCCACCGCCAGTGGTCAGCACAGATCTCGATGTACGGCAACCAACTCTGACCTCCGCATCACCATTCCCCAACCAGGGTTGACAGAGCCCCCCAGAACATTTCGAGTCAAACACGTCGGTCAAATCCTTAGAATGTCGTGATACATATCCCATGTCTAGATACGTACTGTCTCACTCCTGGCATCGATGGTCCCACGCTCACCAGAATTTGCACAGCCGTTCAATCCCTCAGGGTCCCATGGTTGTGCATGGTACACGGACGGGGCGATCTGAACCGACCTCGGGCCACAGTACAAAGCCCAGGACGTTGGAGACATTTCTGAACCTAGCCCTACACCCTTTTCTGCAAGATCGGTGTGCATCAAATGGAGCACGCGTGCTGAAGGCTGGGGCATAGGAACGGGAGGAGCCCAAGGTAGGGTGGTTGGTCCTTCGGTGAACTGGCAGATCACATCACGCATCGGCCATGTTGAACTCATCCCAGGTACCATAAATACTGGGGATATAGAAGTAAGAGTTACGCTCCCAGATATTTTGCCACGTTTGCCATTTCGCGAATGCCGTGGCTTGCTCTAGTAGATGATCAAGTTTCCAGTGTACCGGCCTTTTATCTTCCACTTGGTCGGTGTGCTGCTTGCGTGATGTAGACTTGTTCAGCTCGGAATTCAACTTGACTTATCGTTCGTGGTTAAGTTCCAGGCAGATCCGCTAGCCAATTGACGCTTTTCCAGTCCCTCGAGTTTCGAGATGCCAGATCCTCCTGTGCTTTCACTTTGTAGCCAAACGAGCTATATCGGGACGATGGATCAACAGAGACATCCTAATCGAGGTTCCACGCCTCGTATGAACTGAAGATGGGACCGGGGAACTCTGGATGTGGTCAATTGTTTAGACGAACTGATTGCATTGCGAGGACAGGATTCAAGTCACAAACCTGAATGGTTCCAACGGTACCCTTTCATCGTCGTGTCTTCGTTTTCTAGGATCTAGTAGCGTACCATCAGGCCAACACACAGTTTAGAGTTTCCTCTCCTCTTTCTCTTCTGTGTGGCACTGTTGCAGTCAAGGTATGAATTGTATGGGACGGGTTGTGAGGTGGACTCATGGCCCTCTTTCAAAGGCACAGCTAGAGCATGTGTTCATTGATCTGTAGACAACGCAGGATCATCATAAATACAAGAGATGCAATGAGGACTATGCTGAGCTTCTGGATGGCTAGATCAGTACATTTGAACAACGTCGTGAGTCCACAAGGTGACCGACAAAATTAATTTGAACGTGTTCACGTGGACGCACGTAACGCTGTAGACTACACAGCGAAGGGCACGCCAATGTCAACGACCCTCTTATTCACATTGTAGGACCACACAATACGTGTTGCAATGAGTGGCCAATGATTTCCTACAACTGTGGAGATTGGAAAATCAGTTGAACTACATAGGGTTTCGAGGTGGCAGGGAACATAGTTGTACATCTGACTGGGGTGTGATCCCAAAAATGGCATTAAAACTTCACAAATTTTTGAGGTGCCTATACAAGGGACATATCCAAACCGCAACGCCCGGCAAAAGCACTATCTAATATGCACAAATCACCCGAGCGCTTAGTTCTTCTCGCCCTTCTCAAGCTTGCGTCTCTTGGAGCGGAGCTTCGCGGACTCCTCGGCGGTCTTCTTGTTGGAGTACATCATCTTTTCAAGCAACTTGCGCTTCTTCCGGCTCATCATCATCTTTTGTCTCTCGAGCTCCTCGTCCTCGCTGCGTTTCTTGGCTGCAACCTTCTTGGATTTGGAAGACTTTTTCTTGGCAGCTTCATCAGCGGCAGCGTTAGCGGTGAAAGGCAAACCAGCAGCTTCAGCCTCGAGCTCCTTCTGGTGCTGAGTGCGGGCAGCCTCATCTTCATCCTCAGACTCGGATGCGGCTTCCTCGTCAAAGCCACCGAAGTCTTCCTCCTCCTCGGATTCCTCCTCGCTCTCGTCGTCGTCAGTACCGGCAACATCCATGCCTCCGTCGACGGACTCCTCATCGGACTCCTCGGCAGTAGCAGGCTTGGCATCAGCAGCGGGCTCGTCCTCCATCTCCTCGTCACTATCAGAGGCCTCAGCAGCAATCTCGGCTTCATCCTCATCTTCCTGGTCGGCGAGACTGGCGCGGGGGTCGTAAGCGCCACGAGAAGCCTTGACCCAAGGGCTCAAGTGAGGTGGGAGAGTGGCGCCGGGTGAGTAGAGATCAGCTCGGAGGAGCTTGCCCTCATTAATGCAGTCCCAGACCCACTGGGGCTGGACGTAGGTACGACCAGGGATGCGGGATCCAGGCTGGACCCTCTGAATGGCGTTCTCATCGGCAGCGGGAATAGCGGGAAGAGACTCATGTGGAAGTTGGGGGCGATCGACAATTTGGTGAGTGATGCGGGGGTCGGTCTCGTCGTGAGTGAAGGCTCCATCGCCCAGAACAGAGGCCCATCCAACGCGCTTGCAGCCAAAAGAGCGCAGAATAAACTCAAGAGGAGCCTTGGGGGCTTCGCGGGAAATATAGAATACGAAGGGGGAGAAGAGTGCACCGGCCTCGTTGCCGCTCATCGTGGGCTGGGGGAGGTTGTCGGCTTCGGGAGCTGCGGGCTCGAAGCGGTCGATGGCATCGGTTGCCTCTTCGGTAGTGTCGACCATCTCCTCATCCGGACTCTGTTCCAAACCGGCCTTTTTAATCACCTTGTCAACCTTGGCTTGAAGTTCCTTGGAAATTTCCTTGCTAGAGTTGCCGTTGCTCTGGGCCTTGCTAGCCTCAAGAGCCTTGGGAACCTCACCCACTGACCGGCCCTCTAGAGTGAAAGCTGCCAACTCGGCGCCGTTCTCGTCACTGCGGGTATCGAACTTAGGGGGGTATCTCAATCCAATCGAGGAGTACAGGCGGAAGTTGACGAAGCCCAGCAGGGTGGTGTAAAACTCGACAAAGGTAGCCATGATGCGGTAATCGACATCACCATTGACACGCTGGACGAAACGGTAGGGCACAAGCCACATAATGTCTTGGCCCTGAATCGTAGCCTGGTAGTAGATACCCTTAATTGAAAGGAAAGATTTGCGCAGAGAATTTGTCATGATCAGGTAGTGCTGGAACTCGTGGCAAAGGCGCTGGCAGAGCGCAACGGTCTTAGAAGGGACATGATCTGTAGAGGGAAGGGTAGCGAAGAGGAAAAGAAGAGACAAGGCGTCATCAAGATCACGGAGGGCATCGATAAAGGTCGGGTAGCGCTCTTTAATGACATGGTCCAAGGTAAGTCTCGGGGCGTTGTTCTTTTCTAAACGGGATGCATCGCTGACTTCTCCACGGCCGAGAGAGCGGGCGATCTTCTTTGCAAGTGACTTCTGGTCACGGAACTTGTTGAGCAGGGGCTCGTGTAGCAGATACTGGATGTCCTTGGTGTAATAGAAGGTGGTGTTGGGCGTAGATGTCTTGGAGGCCTTCTTCTTGTTACGGGGCTCGCGAGGGTAGATACCTGATATCGGAGATCAAGTTAGTCTTGCGATTCAGATGAAATGAATATGAAGGAAGCAACTACCCTTGAAGATGCATAGTCGGCGGAAATCCGGTAAAGAGATCTGAAGTTTGCGCACGGCCTGAGTTCTGGTTATGTAGTTCTTGGCTGCGCCAGAGGTACCTGAAAGTAGTGTCAGTAAGTTGAATTTTGGAATCCTCGGTTCAATTCAACATACCCTTCTTCTTAACTTTGCCCATGATGAAAAGTGGTTGTCAAATAATCCAAACGGCTGCTGATAAGAAGAAGAAAATTTCTCGATAACTTTTTTTTTCTAACTGCAACAGAAGTGGTCCGTGCGCGAAGGCGGAGAGAGATCACTGGGTCCATAGGGACCAGCTGGAATCAACAACTAAACATCACCCCGTCATGGCTGTAGACCGACGGAAGATTGCTGTGTTCGGCGCGGCTTTCGTATTGCGTCTGCTTCTTACATGTCTTTTTCCGTCACTACCTGATTTATTAACGGGGAGAGTCGAAGTCTCAACACCCGTTAATAGCTTCAAACGCCGTACGTGTCTCCAATAATTGACTCTCCGCATTCTGTAAACTAATAGTGTGTAGTGCAGGAAGGCCTGTTCTTGTACACACGAAATGTGTCGCCTTATGATGGCGGCGTCTTCCACCAGGTTTGTGAATCTAGATGCCTCCAACTCCGTTCCTTGAATTGACGATTCGACCCGGTGATCTAGGCACCGCTCCTATTACCTCTGTTCACCCTACTCCCGGATGCCAAGAGCTCGCCGTTACCTACAGCAATTTTTTACTTCATTGTAGACCTTTTGAACGCGCACGCATTGATAGCTATCTCTGCGTCAGGCCAATCCGTTAAATCGAGACTACACTCAGCGGTCCGAAAACATGTCCGATGGGATGGAGTGTCCGTTGCAGCATGGTATGCGTCTTCCGGCCTGCCCAATCAATTTCATTCGCGTACTTACCACGGATTAGGTTTTTGTTTAATCCTCTCACCATTGCGACTTGTTTAGCGCGATCAACCAGCGTATTTACAACATCGGGAATTCTCTTCGCGGTCTCCAATGCAGTCGGTGGAAATAGCATCAATGCGATGCTAGCCCTGGGATTTGCTTCGTACCTGTCTCTATATCCGGCACTGCTCTTTATACCGTTGGTCCTGCTATGCTATGACCGACGCTTGGAGGGACCAAGCCCACCCAATGTTGGATCTTTCATTGTTCAACACGCTGCCCTACTACTGGCCAGTGTGGCAGGCCTGCTTGGTCTGTCCTGTCTGATCACCGGTAACTTCTGGGAGTTTCTATCGGCAACGTATGGTTTCCATTTGCTGGTTCCAGACTTGACCCCCAACGTGGGGCTGTGGTGGTACTTTTTCATCGAAATGTTCGACTCATTTCGAGAGTTCTTCCTCGGCGTTTTCTGGCTTCACCTGGCCAGCTATGTCGGGGGTCTCACAGCTCGCTTCCGCAAACAACCTCTTTTCGTGATAACCTCGCTCTTGGGTGTCTTCGCCATCTTCAAGCCATACCCCAGCATCTCGGATGCGTCTTTGTTCTTCGCATTGCTGCCATTATATCGCCATCTTTTCCCCTGTGAGTATTTCCAACCATTGACTTTATTTTGGAATCACCGTGGCTAACTTAGCACAGTGATGCGTTATACTTTCTTCGCGGGCTCGGCAATCTTGTACTCCGGCCTCCTCGGCCCGGCTTTCTACCACCTTTGGATTTACGCAGGATCCGGTAATGCCAATTTCTTCTACGCCATTACCCTGGTCTGGAGCTTGGGTCTCTCCATCCTGTTAGCCGACACTGTATTCGCCGCTCTCAGAGACGAGTGGGAGCAAGAACGCCCAGATCAGGTGGGCACAGAGGTGCGACAGGTGTAATCATGTACATTAAATTTTTGCAAATCACTATTCTCACGTCCGCTAGTAGCATTAGCATTTAACCCCTTGACAAAGAGATATCCGGCTATTTTTTTACTTCAACATCTTCGACAGAATCAAGTAGTCCACATCCTTAATAGTCCCATTGCGCAACATGCGCGGTCGGGGCGAGTACTCATCAACCTCATACCCAAGCCGCTCATAGAACCGCCGAGCAATCTCATTCGACTTGAAAACCGTCAGCATGGACTTCTCCAAGCCCACAGCACGACCGATTCCTTCCATCCGGTCCATAAGCAACTTCCCAATGCCCCGTCCCCGGGCCGCTGGCGACAAGTGAATCTCGTAGCAGTAAACAACCTCCTTTCCATCCTCGTAGGTGGCCATAAAAGATAAAAAGCCGAGCGCGTTCGGAGCAGCAGTACTAGACGAGGAAATCGATTTATTGACATTTTTCGGAGATGGAGATGAAACATTGTCGTCAGTGGCGTCGCTCTGCTGGTCTTTCGAAACTTGGCCGCTAGACTCTCTAAACCCATTTGGCGTATCCCGCAAAATCAAATATTTCATGTCCGGCAACTTCATCTCCTTTAGCTTCCTGGTACGCGACCAGCCTGTGGGCGACGCCATGTATGCTTCGCTTGAGGTTTGCTCGATTAGATCCAGACATGCTTCCAGATCAACTGCGGAGATTGTTGCCGCGGAGTAGACATCCACGCGGGGTGTAGGGGTCAAATCCTGCCGATTTTGATCTTGTGGTGGATCTTTTGGTGGATCTTGTCGATCGATCTTCTCATTTTTTGCTGCATCTTCTGTTTGCGTGGGTGGAGTCACGTATTGGGCGATGAAGTCGCCAATGGACAATGCGTTGGTCCGTTCCACCAGTGGAACTACGTGATTGTTAGCACGCGTCATCAATTGATTGTTGTGGATTCAGGCGAATTAACAAAACACACCCAACAAGCTTCGGGGCTGTACGAGCTTGCGAAGGTGACATTTACTCACTTTTCGAGGCGCGTCGGATTGCGGTTCGCGGTCTCTTGGCTTTTAATTTGGTCACTCGGCCTTCTTTCACGGACGACATGGCTAGTTCCAGGAAGTTTGAGAGGAAGTTTGGTCAGTCTAGGATTGTCTAAGTGTCGCTCAAAGGTAAAACTTTGGTGGCTTTACAATCGCTGAAGAATGTTGTGGGGGAGGGGCGGACGTTTGACTGCGGGGGAAGCATACATGCAGTTTTGCTTCTTTCACACCAGAGCCTCTTCTATTTATATCTTTCTCTGCCTTCAAAAGCCACGAACAATGAATTCTCTTCCTGGCGGTTTTGAAGACCAGCTCCTTTTCTTCTCCCCACTTCCCCTCTTCTCTTTTCTTGCTCAACCACACTACCTGTCCTTCCGACAAAATTCAGTCACCTGGACGTAGCTACTGCAAGCTTAAACATGGGTATTACGCTCTTCAAAGGTCAGATGGAATTTCCCCAGCAGTTTTATTGGGGTTCAGATCACTGGAATGTACAGATGTCTCCGGATCTCAGAAATATCTATCTCCAATCATCGAGTTCAATTCCGTTTATCGCCTACTTAAAACTTCACATTTCAAGCTTCAACTCGTAAGATCGATCTTGCAAGCTTTGGGGGTTGGAGGATTACCAATCTACAACTTACTGAACAGGCTTTCCTTGATCTTCTTACAAATGTTCCGTCCCCACCCGGATGGATCTTTCGCCGAAGGTGGGCATACGTCAAATACGTCAGGGTCCTCGTTATAAACTCCCCCCCCCCCCCCCTTCCACCTCTCAAGTCTTTATCCTTAGTTGTACATTGTTTTGAAGGTAGCCAGTCATTTCACATAGAAGAATGTCTCCTTCCACTATGAAGCAATGGGTCGTTGAAGACAAGGAGCGTGACTTCGATGGTCTTGTCTACAAGGACGCCGATATTCCGAAAGTCGGCGAACATGAAGTCTTAGTGAAGCTCCAAGCTGCATCGTTGAATTATCGCGACCTAACTATTCCCAAGGTATGCCTAGAGAAAAGCTGATGTATTCACCCTTGAACTATCTGGGCAAGGCCCCTGCTTGCCTATAATCGACCTCTAATCTCTCTCGCACAGGGTCTCTATCCATTTGCTCTTAGTCTTCCCGTAGTGCCAGGTTCTGATGGCGCCGGTGAAGTTGTCGAAGTGGGATCCAAAGTCGTTGAATTCAAGAAGGGCGATCAAGTTGCGACTCTCTTCAACCAGGGCCACCAATACGGCGAGATTGACACATACGCAGCGGGTACTGGCCTTGGTGGTGTGATCGACGGTACCCTACGCGAATATGGCGTATTCAATGAACAGGGTCTTGTCAAGGCACCGAGCAACCTCGATGCCCGCGAAGCTAGCACCTTACCATGCGCTGCGCTCACCAGTTGGAATGCACTGTATGGCCTGAAGCCTCTGAAGCCCGGACAGATTGTTCTCGTGCAAGGAACGGGTGGTGTCAGTATGTTTGGCTTGCAGGTTTGTACCAAAACCCATTTCCACTCCATCCGATTGGACTCGGCTAATGCGGCCATTTAGTTCGCCAAAGCCGCCGGTGCGACAGTTATCGCGACAACTTCTTCTGCCGAGAAGGCCGAAAAGCTCAAGAAGCTTGGCGCTGATCACGTCATCAATTACAAAACTGAGCCCAACTGGGGCGAGGCCGCTCGCAAGCTGACTCCCAATGGAGTTGGCGTGGACCACGTCATCGAAGTGGGTGGCAGCGGAACGCTCCAGCAGAGCTTCAAGTGTATTAAGCTCGAAGGTATCATCAGTGTGATTGGGTTCCTTGGAGGCGTGGACCCGAAGACACAGCCGACTGTTTTGGAGACATTGAATCACGTCTGCACTGTCCGTGGTGTTTATGTTGGTAGCAAAGCTCTCATGAGGGATATGATCCGAGCTATCGAGGCCAATGACATCCATCCTGTGGTGGATGAGAAGGTTTTCCGCTTGGATCAGATCCGGGAAGCCTATGATTACATGGTAAGTTGTTTTCCATCAGTGAGAAGGGATTGTATGCTAACAATTTGGATTTCAGTGGGCCCAGAAACATTTTGGAAAGTTGACTATCACGATCAACTAGGAATTGGAATGGAAACTGGCTCGGAAGCACTTTGAAAGTAACATGAGTGTTGCTGGTATGTGCTGTGAGTACCTTCCCACATAGGCAATTGTCGGTGAAAAGGAAGAGCAACCATAATTTTGGTGTCCCCAGCAGTAGGTAGCCTTGTTGTGACGTTTTTGATGTATACTGCGAGGGAAGTGTCGAAGATCTTCCACCTGGACTGTTCCGGTTCGACTTCGATCGTTGTCGCGTTCATCCTCCCTTTTATTTTCTATGGCTCTCTCTGTCTCATCCTGTTTGCAAATCTTTCAAATAACCACAAAGATTCAAGGCTTGATAGTGCGCACCTTGTAAACTTGGAACCGTCCTAGATTTTGCATAATTAGCATATTCTTAGCACATTTCAAGATTTTGATCATAATGTAGGTTTTCAAAAACACTCTGTAGACCATTGTGCTGAGGATCATTGTGGTAGACAAGCCAAGGTAGTAGCTTCCCCGCCACTTCCCCTGCATGAGGTAAAACCAACCACCTGCAAGTTTCTTTCTCTTTGTACACCCAAGCATACACGTTTTCTATAGCCTTTTCTGAAATACTTCATTAATCCAGATTTTTCTGAAACTAGTGTTCCACTGCTGGGATAGACAACCTGATCCAACACCCTACCTGTCTTCAATGCGGTTCAATGATAGAGATGCATCAACCCTTCCAATCCAGGGCCCCAGCCAAAGTGTTCGACAGCCACAGGCATCGCTTGCTAGCCAGGCTCAAATGGCCCTATTTGCACGGATAACATCATATCCACCGCTGGGGAAAATGACTTGTCTCCGATCGGCGCAGAAATCATCTAGGTCCGAAGAAGATAATGTGAGAATCCTATTGAGACTATGGTGTAAAGAAACACTGACATCTTCAACAGCTGCGCTTCACGGTTACCATAGAGTCCAGCAGCTTGTTCCCCGTTCAATCGTGGGAAGCGCAGATCTGGCACAACATCACTGAAAGTGAATGGGCATCTCTGTCATTGAAGAGATGCGATACAGACCAAGCAGCTCTGTTAACAGGAAATGACAGCGACTACCCCTACCATCGTTATGTATTCTCTGAAGAGGTATCCCTGCCAGCAGCAGGAGGTCATGCACAGTTCACTGTCCGGTTCCGAACTGGTTCAGACACGGAATGGCAGTGGGCTAATCAAACACACCCCGTGAGCGATGGTGAAATTGTATACATGGCACATCACTCTGATCTTGACAAGGCTGTGCCCACGGATATTGGTGCAAGAGATCCCAAGCAAAATCTGGAAAATTACATCGATAATCTTCATGATGCCTTACAGATTGAGTCACGGCTTAGTGAAGCTCCTGGGTCGGTTCTATGGGCTCTTTCTGGTAATATAGATGCTGTTCACAATGGATCTTCGACCATCAAACGACTGGCACTTGGTACCCCTTCTTCAGTGGTAAGGTATTTCTCACTAGTACGTGTCTCGAGTCCATGGCTAGGTCCTCGACATGGCAAAGATCACTTCCGACTCACGGAAGATGCATTAATCTGCTCTTTTCTGCGCGAAGATGGCGTGAATCTGGTTCTTCTGGCTGTTTCGGGAGTCAACGACATTTTGACTGTGTTCCAGTCAAGTGAGAACGGAGAAGTCGTGATCTTCGCGAAGAGTGACAATTCTGAAGCATCAAAGTTCCACGTGCTTGTGAGCGCCGCGGAGAACTTTGAAGTTGCCATGTCGGCTGTGGTTTATGAGGCACGGAAGGTGGTCAGGCCGTTTAGAGATACGAGTCATCTTGATTTGGACGATTCGGTTCCATTGTCTCCCCTTGATGATGATATTGTTCTTGTCGATAAAGAACCAAGTGGACAGTGGCTTTCCGAATGGTTTGATGGCCTCACGTATTGTACTTGGAATGGACTGGGACAGGACCTCACCGAAGAGAAGATCTTGCATGCCTTGGACTCATTTAAGGCCAATGGGATCAACGTCGTCAATCTTATTGTCGACGATGGCTGGCAGACAAACGACAATGAGGGGGAGTCTCAGTTTAAGCAAGGCTGGAAGCATTTCGAGGCACACTCGAAAGGGTTCCCGAAAGGATTAAAGCACACCGTGCGAGTCATTCGTCAAGCACATCCCAACATAGAACATATTGCGGTCTGGCATGCCTTGCTGGGTTACTGGGGAGGTATCTCACCAGATGGAGATCTGGCCCAAAAATTCAAAACTAAGCAAGTGAGGATCAAAAATCCCGCCACCAATGGCCCCATTGTGGAGAACCGCCCAGGTGGAACAATCCTTGCCATTGATCCCGAGGATGTTAACCGATTCTACGACGAATTCTACAACTACCTTTCATCGGCTGGCATAGACTCGGTCAAGACGGATGCACAATTCTTCCTCGATCTTCTTGAGGACCCAGCGGACCGCCGGAGATTCGTGATTTCTTATCAAGATGCATGGTCAATCGCATCCCTCAAGCACTTCAGCACTCGATCAATCTCATGCGGGTCAATGACCCCTCAAATAATCTTCCATTCACAAATTCCCACCAACAAGCCGGCGCTCCTATTGCGAAACTCTGGCGATTTCTTTCCGGATGTTGTTGCCTCTCACCCATGGCATGTATTCTGCAATGCGCATAATGCACTGTTCACCCGCTACTTGAATGTGTTGCCAGACTGGGATATGTTCCAGACATGTCATCCATACGCATCATTTCACGCCGCAGCACGATGTATATCTGGAGGACCAATATATATCACCGATGAGCCGGGCAAACATGACCTGACCCTGCTTGATCAGATGACTGCTCCTACTGTCAAAGGAACCACGGTTATTTTGCGTCCTAGTGTGATCGGACGCACGATAGACACCTACCACGACTACAAAGAAGGACAAATTCTGCGCATTGGAAGTTACACCGGCTGGGCCAAGACCGGAAGTGGGATCTTGGGCCTATTCAATATGCAATCTGCCGAGGCCTCGAGCATAGTGTCATTGAAAGATTTCCCAGGAATTCACGAGGGCTCTGAAGGCCAGTACATTGTCCGTGCACACAATAGCGGTAAGATCTCGCACCGCATGCGGCCTACTTGGGACTCCTTGGTATCGGTTGTTCTGGAGCCAAAAGGCTGGGAGATTCTCACTGCGTACCCGACTCGGTCGTTCACGCCGACGGGAAGCCATGGCAACAATGTTAGTCAGACACATGTGGCTGTGCTGGGTCTTATAGGAAAGATGACTGGCGCAGCGGCTGTAGTGACTTCGGACATCTTTGTTGTTGAGAACGGCCGTTTACGACTTGATATAAGTTTAAAAGCGCTGGGCACTTTAGGGATTTACATCTCGGATCTTCAAGACAGGAGCATTGGACGGAGTTTCATGATCACAATTCTGGGGCTGCCGATTCCACAGAAAACAGTGTGGAAGCAGGGTGGAGAGAATGCCAATGTGTTGGCAGTTGATGTATTGGCGGCATGGAAATCCATGAAGTTGGACAGTGGATGGAGTAACGAGGCCTTTGTGCAGGTTTTTGTGGGTTAAGCTCCTGCTTCGAAGCTAGTCGCATTTAGGCTCTATCTTTGTGTATTTGATTGATAAAGATGGTATGATTTCAACAGAGCATCTTTTCTCTCAATAAACCCCAGTCAATATGCACTTCTCAGGCCCTAAGCCCTTAAATGCAATCTTGATTGGGAAGTCGATCAACATGTCAGAGATAAGGGCCGCATCATTAATGTTCCGGACTTATCAAAAGAATCTCGGACATTTGGAGCTAGCCGTGGAGGTGTTGATCGTATCTAGACTTGAGTCCATTGCGACCCATTTCCTTAATTCTCACATTTTCAAACCGGTCCAATGCGGCCACAGTCGGCACCGCTCGGCCAAGCGCCGTACCGCAGCCTTCTAACCCCCCGTCGGATCCAGTGTGGAGCGCGCAGCTTTGCCGCAACAACAGCAATTCCGCTGCGCGGTGACAGCAATCGGCCAGCATTATCCGTTTCGCAGTCTGGCACGTGCTTCCAACAGCAGAGATGGATTACACAAAAGTATATTCAGCGTATGAAAGATGGAGAGAAGGAGTGGGCTGGGTTTGCAAAAGAAATCAAGGCCGGAAACAGGAAGAACTTCGCGCAACACCTAGAGGAGCGAGGCTTGATTCATGATGTTGTCGGGTACGTTACACCGGAACATTCTGAATCTAATGGGATCGGCTACATGAAAACGTTCGAATGGTTCGCTAATTGTTCTCTTTGAATTGCAGCGAGCGGGACTTGTTGCACAAGGTCTTAACGGAGAAGCGGGCTGGTATATATGTTGGAATCGACCCAACTGCCCCCTCAATGCATGTTGGACACATGCTTCCTTTCATGGTTCTGGCTTGGGGATACGTCTGGGGCTTACCTGTGACTTTCCTAGTAAGTTGCCCGCAACTCCACGCCCACTTGAATGCCCCAACTAACTCTCGATAGCTTGGCGGTGCTACTTCTAGAGTCGGCGATCCCAGCGGACGCCTCAAGGGCCGAGATGCTGTTCATTCCTCAATTCGAAAAGCAAATATGGCTAGCATGCACATGCAGTTGAAGAAGTTGGGCTCGAGCATTGAGCAGTACGGGAGGAGACACGGATACGAGCGGCACCCGATGTGGAAGCGAGCGCTGACAAACAACAACACTTGGTGGAACTCAATGCCGTTCCTTGAGGTGTTGCGAGATCTTGGTGCTTTTATGCGGCTTGGTCCTATGCTCGGTAGAGACACGTGAGTTTTGGCAGGTCTGGAGGAGCCGTTGTCGAGGGTTTACTGACGACTTTTTACCAGTGTCAAGACGCGATTGAATCAAGGAGATGGCATGTCGTTTGCTGAGTTCTCCTACCCTATTCTCCAAGCTTGGGATTGGTGGACGCTGTTCCAAAAGGGCACTCAAATCCAAGTCGGAGGTGCTGACCAATATGGAAACATCTTGTTTGGCATGGAGGCTGTCAAATCTATCAGCCGAAACACTGCCGACGAACAAGTCCGCAACCCATTAGAATCAGAACTTGATCGGCCGATCGGTTTCACCACGCCGCTCCTGACAACCGCGTCTGGTGAGAAGCTTGGCAAGTCCGCTGGAAACGCTGTGTGGCTCGATAAGGACCTGACTTCTACATTCGAACTGTACCAGTACTTTGTACGTACGCCTGACGATGTTGTCGAGCAGTACCTCAAGCTGTTCACTTTTATTCCCTTGCCTGAAATTGCCACCATCATGGAAGAGCAGAACAAGGACCCATCTAAGCGCGTTGCACAGCACAAGCTCGCCCTTGAGTTTGTTGAGCTCATCCATGGCAAGGCCGAAGCTGATGCTGTGGCTCTTCAACACCGCCAGCTTTTCCGTCCCCGGTCCTCAACTGCCGATCCCACTCCTCCTCTTAAGTCATCCGCTCCTCAAGATGGCCACCCACAATCTCCCACCACCGGCTTTGCGACTCCTCAATCTGGGAATCCATATGCTCCCCAAACAAACTGGGCCAACATGGGCGATATTAAGGTCACCCTTCCTGAATCACTGGTTTTCAACCAGCCATTCAACAAAATTCTGTGGTCAGCTGGCCTCGTTTCATCCAAGAGCGAAGGCCACCGAGTCATCGTCAACAACGGTGCCAAAGTTGGAAGCCGTCCCGGTGACAGTGGTCCCATGTCGGACCAGTTGTCTTTCACACCCATCCGGCCGTGGGACGCAGAGAAAACAAAGGAATTTGTCTTGAATGGCAATCTCCTGATGCTCAAATTGGGTAAGTGGAAGCTCAAGGCCGTTCATATTGTGCCCGATGAAGAATTCCGTGCGCAAGGGCTCTCAGTTCCTGGATGGGAAACTGAGGAGATTGAGCCCACTGAGCCGACAGAGCCGACAGAGCCGACCAAGTCAGACTAAGGTGATTCTCTACTCGATCTGTAATTCTACAATATCCAATCTGTACAATAGTATAAAAATTATTCACTCGCCTTTCAAGACCCATATAATCCAAGTACGGAGTGATAATTATGAGGAAAGTCAGTGTCGCGGGTGTCGATCAGATGGACACAGGTCGAGTCTCGGAGAAAGCGCTTTACGCGTTGACGCGATCCGCGCCTTATCTCTTCACCGTCCTCAGTTCCCTCACAACCACCCCTAATTACCACGTTGAATTGAGAGTGCATTGCCATTGAGGCTCAATTTCCTATATTCTAAAAAAAAATGGCCAAACCATCGGCCTCATCTCCGTCCGCCGCGTCACCATCCCCCGCGCTCAAGCGCACAACCCCCAGCACTCAGAACATGCGAAGCCAGAAGTCAATCCTTGGTTTCTTTCAAAAGTCCTCACCAGCCACTCCCTCGAATAATCGAACGCGAGAACCGGCATCGTCACCCGCGCAGAGAGCCTCCGAGAAGCGTATTGAGAGTGCTGTAAAGCCCACACCCAAGGAACAAAAGCGAAGCTTCTCAAGCTTTGCGCAGTATCTAAGTCCTGTACCAAGCAGTGATCTTCCTGTACCAGAGGACGAACAGGGAAATGGTAGTGCTTTAAAGGTATTCTAATCTCCAGTCTGCTGCTTGTTTGTTCCTTCACTCTGACTGAACTATTCTCTCCTCAGACCACCAAAGGGTCACAACAGGACTCCACCATGTCGCCTTCGCGTCGGGTACGTGTAATAGCTGACTGCTCAATTGATTTTTCCTGCTGACCCATTTGACCAGGGAAAAAAGCAGGTCAGCTACAAGGAGTCTGACTCCGAGGGCGAGGACGACGACGAGGTTATCTTCCGTCCTAACCGCAAGGATCGTGTCTCCGGTCATGCGACCAAGAGAAGACGAACTGAGCCGGACAGCGAAGATGAATTTAATGAGGCAGGAGAAGGAGGATATTCGGACGATGGTATGGTGCTCTGTTGCTGGTTGGTTTTGCTGGCACACTACTAATCTGGATACAGAAATGGACGATTTCGTCGTTGCGGATGACTCCGACGAAGAGATAGCCAAATCTTACAACAAGCGGAAACGACCATCCACCCAATCGGCACGAAAGTCCGCCTCTAACGCTTCCTCAGTCCCTGCTCCTCTTCCACCCGTCGACGACATCGATCTTGATCTCCCAGAGGGAGAGGGTTCAGCTGGAACCGCGAAGAAATGGGCGTTTAATCCGGAGAACACAGAGCCTCGGAAAGAAAGAGCCGCTGTGGTGTCTAGCAAGACAGCATCTAGCGCGATAAAGGAAAAGGCCCACACCAAGGAGCCTGAGCAGCGCTATCCGTGGCTTGCTAACCTCAAGGACATCGATGGCAATCCAAAGGGACATCCTGACTATGATCCCCGAACTGTCTACATCCCGCCGCTCGCATGGTCCAAATTCTCACCCTTTGAGAAACAATACTGGGAGATCAAGCAGAAATTCTGGGATACAGTCGTTTTTTTCAAGAAGGGCAAATTCTATGAACTTTACGAGAACGATGCCACTATTGGTCACCAACTGTTTGATCTCAAGCTCACGGACAGAGTGAACATGCGCATGGTTGGTGTTCCCGAGATGAGTTTAGATCACTGGGCAAACCAATTCGTGGCCAAGGGCTTCAAGATTGCCCGTGTTGTCCAATCCGAGTCCGCACTCGGTAAAGAAATGCGCGAGAGAGAGGGGAAGAAGCCTACCAAAGAAGACAAGATCATCAAGCGTGAGCTTGCATGTGTCCTTACTGCAGGTACACTTGTTGAGGGTTCCATGCTTCAAGATGATATGTCCACATACTGTGTTGCGATCAAAGAGGCGATTGTGGACGAGCATCACGCGTTCGGTATCGCATTTGTCGACACTGCTACTGGTCAATTCTTCTTGTCTGAGTTCGTGGACGATGTTGACATGACTAAATTCGAGACATTTGTCGCGCAGACTCGCCCTCGGGAGTTGCTGCTGGAGAAATCTTGTGTTTCGCAGAAGGCCATGCGTATTCTCAAAAATAACACTGGACCCACTACCATCTGGAATTTCATGAAGCCTGGTAAGGAATTTTGGGAATCCGAAATTACAATTCGGGAGCTTGAGGCAAGTGAGTATTTCGTCTCTGCGGACGACGATAATCTCACAGCCTGGCCAGAGACCCTGCGTCAGGCCCGTGAGAAGGAGTTCTTGATGAGTGCATTCGGTGCTCTTGTTCAGTATCTGCGAATGCTGAAGATTGAGCGGGACTTGATCACCATTGGCAACTTTACATGGTACGATCCTATCAAGAAGGCTACCAGTCTTGTACTAGATGGTCAGACCCTGATCAATATGGAGATCTTTGCCAACTCCTTCGATGGCGGATCTGAGGGCACTCTCTTCCAGTTGCTTAACCGATGTATCACGCCCTTCGGCAAACGCATGTTCAAGCAGTGGGTCTGCCACCCACTGGTTGATTCAAAGAAAATCAACGCAAGATTGGATGCAGTTGATTCACTCAATGCCGATCCCAGTGCTCGAGACCAGTTTTCCTCCCGGTTAACAAAAATGCCAGATCTCGAACGACTGATCTCTCGTATCCACGCTGGCAACTGCAAGGCTCAAGACTTTGTACGTGTCCTGGAAGGATTCGAACAGATCGATTACATTATGGGTCTGCTCAAGGAAAGTGAAACAGGCTCAGGCGAAAGTATCATTGGTCAATTGACAGCCGCAATGCCCGACCTTGCCTCTCTGCTGGGATACTGGAAGACTGCATTCGATCGTCCAAAGGCAAAGGAGAATGGCATTCTTGTTCCGGAATCTGGCGTCGAAGAAGACTTCGACAACTCCCAGGAGATCATCGAGCAACTTCACCGGGATCTCGACGCCATGCTGAAGAAGGCTCGCCAAGATCTGGGGTCGTCTGCCATCTGCTACCGGGATAACGGCAAGGAAATCTACCAACTAGAAGTTCCAATTAAGGTGAAGAACATTCCCAAGGATTGGAACCAAATGTCTGCGACGAAGCAGGTCAAGCGATACTACTTCCCCGAGCTCCGAAGCCTCATTCGCAAGTTACAAGAGGCCCAAGAAACCCACAGTCAAATCGTTAAGGAGGTTGCAGGACGGTTCCATGCCCGGTTCGATGAGCATTACGACACATGGCTGGCTGCAGTTAGAATTGTATCGCAGCTGGACTGCCTGATCAGTTTGGCCAAGGCTTCTGGGGCCATCGGCCACCCTAGTTGCCGACCAGTGTTTGTGGAGGACGAACGAAGTGTCTTGGAGTTTGAAAAGCTCCGTCACCCGTGTCTTCTTTCTTCCGTTGAGGACTTTATTCCGAACGATATCCAGCTCGGTGGCAACCATGCGAGCATTGACTTGCTGACCGGTGCCAATGCTGCGGGGAAGTCTACTGTTCTTCGGATGGTGTGTTCACCCCGTCTTCCCCCCAAGTGACTTGACAACTTTGCTAACAAGTACAGACCTGTGTGGCTGTCATTATGGCTCAAATCGGTTGCTACCTTCCCTGCCAGTCAGCCCGACTTACTCCCGTTGACCGAATCATGTCTCGCCTCGGTGCAAACGACAACATCTTCGCTGCACAGTCAACATTCTTCGTCGAGCTGTCCGAAACAAAGAAGATTCTTTCTGAAGCTACCCCACGCTCGCTCGTCATCCTTGACGAACTCGGCCGCGGCACTAGCTCTTACGATGGTGTCGCAGTGGCCCAGGCCGTACTTCACCACATCGCTACCCATATCGGAGCCCTGGGCTTCTTTGCCACCCACTACCACTCGCTTGCCGCCGAGTTCGAAAATCATCCCGAGATCGCACCCAAGCGCATGGCCATCCATGTCGATGACGTCGAGCGCCGTGTAACGTTCCTGTACAAGCTTGAGAATGGTGTTGCAGAAGGTAGTTTCGGTATGCACTGCGCATCTATGTGTGGGATTCCCAGTAAGGTCATCGAATGTGCGGAGAATGCTGCTAAACAGTGGGAGCACACTAGCCGACTCAAGGAGAGTCTGGAGCACCGTAAGGGCGGTGGCTATGTCGGTCTGGGATGGTGGAGTGATGTGGCCTGGGCCTTGCGCGAGTCTGTCACAGAAGATGACTCGAATGCAGGCGATATCTCTGATCGCGGCTTGGATGTCTTGACGAAGGCAATCGAAGCGCTTTAGTGTGAAATCCTTGTTCGGTGGTGCTTCATTCTTTCTTCCGTCTATCTTCAAAATGTCGGTCCCTGGTATACGTGTCTACGTATCTTTCTTTTCAACTGGCCGTTCGTGTCAGAGTTCGTTCTGTTCTTTCATCTGTTGGGTTGAAAGGGTGTCTCGGGATCTGTTCGGATATCTAGTCCCCTGCTCCTATGAATATGTATGAATCTCCATAGCAAAGCTAGTTTTTCCTCTTCTTGTCATCCTTAAATCCATTATCAATTTAGCCCACTAGGTCAAAATGTCATTCCGGTGGGCTTTTTTTTATCTCTTTCTCGCTTTTCTGTTCTTTTCTTCCTGGTCACTCAAACGTGCCAGTCGAACAAAACACACAACAGAAAGAACGCCATCAACGCACATTCAAGAATCCAGCAGTTCGATCTTAGTCCACCCTGCACCAGAGCCATTTGTCTTCGGTGCATCCCCATCCAATGTAAGACCATCCATAGCTCCGCCCACGAGGTCTTTATCCGCAGAATCAGCGAGTTCGTTGGGGGTTTCAGGCCTTTTTGTGATTCCCAGTCTGGGGTGTAGCTTTGACTACAGTGGAATTGGCGTTTTCCCGAGCAGGTTGAACGTTGCCTTCTTCCTTCATGTCACGATTTTTGTCCCAAGTATCAGCTAGACCACTGGGCTCCACGAGTCGTTTGCGCTTCACTCTGCCATTGCTTGCGCGTAACGCACAGACGTTCACCTCGGCACTGGATGACTCGTCGGCCCTTTCTTCTGTGGAATCATCACGGTACTTGTGCGGCTTCCTGTCACGCTTCAGACCCCGATTGTGCTGGATGATCTAGCGACCTGCCTGGAAAGGATTTTTTCTTCCTTTTCTTGCTCCATGGGTTGTTGAGGACTTGGTGTGTCTGTTTTACTTCGTAGGTTTTTGTTTGGAGCTCCGGCGATGGGACTTGCTTGCGCGTTTCAGATTCGCTTGAGAAGACCAGTCGTCTTCGGCCTCGCTATCGTCGCTTTCGCTATCCGCAGTCATGTGCCTTCCTTTACCCCTTCGTTTAGCACAACCCTTGCGCTTGACGCTCTTGTGGTGGCCCTTTGGTCGAGAATTGTAGACCTCTGAGTCAGTATACTCGTCTGTACATGCTTCGTTAGACTCGTTGGGCAGTGAGATTTCCTGTGCCTGTGACGCTTTTTGATTTGCTCATCGGGTCTCTCTTCTGGGCCAATGGCACCTGGTGCGAATGATTAAATTGACATCAGCACTGGATCCACAGCGCATATCTTGACTCGGGTTGACTTTGCTGCTGAGAATGCATGTTTAGCACGACTGGGGGTTACACCTGCAAGGCGTGCCTATTTTTTTGGTGTCAGTTTGCTGTTGGATGTTTAGCAGGTACAGACCAACATTTAAAGTATGTAGGGAACAACCTGTGGAGCATGGCAAAAGTGTCCCAGAAGGAGGAATTTGACATCAGCTCCGGCAAGACCCATTCACGCAGGATTCTTAGCTATAGGGCGGTAGAACATGATGAATTTGTAAATAGCCTTAGTTCTTGTTGACTGACTGGACAAACAGTAAGAAGATGGAAATACAGCATGAGGAAGTGTGTTGAAGGAACATGAAGGATACAAAGAAAGGAAGGGCTTTGAATACCCAGAAGATCATTCATGGACAAAGTCTGCACACATTTGACAGTGACTCTATCATGCTGTTGTGCAATGGGGTTTCATTAGACAAACATCTGCAGCCATTCTCATTCGAGAGGACAACCTAGATACAACTTGAATATCCCTTCTGGATTGTACCTCCTGTCAAATCAATCTCTCAGATATCTCGCATCCCATGACACGTCTTCGGATAGTTTGCCAGTCAAGAGCACTCGAAGAGACTGCGAAGATACGGCCACTTAGTCGGTAGGCTGCAGCTTGATCTTAGTGTCGGTATCTGCCTCGACCTTCACTGGACTGTCACTGCTCTCTCCGGATTCAACCTCAATCTTCACGGCATTTTTAGCACTCTCTCCAGGTTTAGCCTCGGTCTTGATCTCAGGTTCAGGCTCGAGCTGTGAATCAAGAACTTTGCCACCGCGCTTCTTCGCTCTGGTCTTGGCTGGAGACTTTCCCTTGGCGTTGGATCCATCATGATCGTCGTCTAGGGTGCCCAGCTGATCTTCGACCAATTTTCAACTTTCCAAGCTTATCGGTGTCAAGCTAAATTATGGGCATGGTCAGTCTGAGTGATGGTTGAAAGGGTTCAGATAGCTCGTGTACCTTTCCAGACATGCATAACACACTAGCCAAAATCAACTTGATTTCACTGGCTGTCAGATCACCCAAGTACTCGGACTTTTTCTTGGGAGATGGGGTGGTCGACATCGTGTTAGTTGGCTACCTATGTGACGGTGTCGCTGACAATAGATGGGTTTTTTTGTCTGTTTGATAAAGTGTAGGGTTCTGTTGTTGTGTAATAGCACCGAAGATGGGGTGTTGTGGTGAAATGTTGATGCAGAACACCATCTATTGTGATGAAGAGAATGAAATGTTACGTGCACTTGGATTTGTGGAAACAAGACACATGTGATTTTGATCTTGAGGACTGCAGCCTACACCATATTCCGCGAGATAGGCTACGACATCAACTCCTTTACCCTTTTCAATTATGCATATTCAACATGTGTTTGATTCATGGTGATTGAACTTTACCCCAAGGATTGACCTTGAACAAGACATGTAAGCTCCCTGGAACATTCAACGTCGGTGATAGTCGTTAAATTGACCCCAGTCTGTGGTATGATCACCGGTGGATCTCATTTCATCTTAATTCTCATTGTCGTCGGCCTGTGAAGCAGCGTCATACTCATCATAATCCTTGATATCGACCTCATACTCTTTAGCTTCCTCGGCTTCCTCGGCTTCCTCGGCCCCCTTCTTAGCCTGCCTGGCCACCCTAGTGGCCGGTTTCTCCTCCCACTTCACGAGGCGACGTCGGGCCTTGGTAAAGACCGTTCTAGCAGAGGAAGGTGTAACCTTGCAAAGATCGGCGAGCTTGCTCCAATCGACCTGCCGAAAATATTCGTCTAAGACCCAAGACCATGTTGCAGAACACCATCTCACGTACCTTGCACTTTTCCATGCACAGCAGTCCCAGCAGGAGGTGCTCCACCTGGTTAGGGGTGAGTCCCAAGGTCTCCACTAGGTCAAAGGTCTTCTCTTGCTTTCGGGAGTAAGACATGGTTGTTTTGGGTGATTTGAAGTTGCAATGGATGTTGAATAGAGATTGTAAAAGTGAATGTCGCAGATTTTAATCTCTAAAAGGCAGACTGATGTTAAGGGGAATCTTCAAGGAGGGAGCGCCGAGAACTCAGGGTATAAATAGCTGTGTAGCCACGTCCGGCGTAGGGATGATACTTCGGAACTCCCACACGCAATGAAGAGCATCCAAGAAGGTCTTTTTGATTCAATCTGGTATTGAGTTCTACGACTAAAGAAGATGGGACACTTGTAGAGCTAAGATGTATGGATACTGAATTGTGAATGTATGCCATAGCAGGATCTATGCATACACCAACCCGAACCGATTTCCGTAGGGGCCAATAGAGGAATGAATCAGAGGGTCCGGCTTCCATAGTTCCTTTCCAAAACACTGCCCACGTTGATGTCTACAAAGCTATCCACCACAGCGCGTCAAATAAAATAAATATACCAGGATTATAGCGCATGAGCAATAGATTAGCCCGCTTCTTTGCCTCTCAATTGATACTAGACTTTCCATTGGGTTCTAAGTGATTTTCTCGTGCCTAATCTGTAACCCTTCATCACTAAGATAACACCTAGAAACTGCCCTTCGTTCCGTTTTTCAGCCTCCGATAAACACAGTTTTTGATTAATGTACAAAGGGCTGATCGCGTCAGATCCAAGCCTCTATCAATTTTCCGTCCTACGTCCTGTAGAAATTGAGGATATCCTGCAGGAATCAATTGGAACTATACAAATAGTGCCAGAAACAAAATTTGAAATCTTTCTAGCTTCTTCATACGTAGGATTGAAGCCAAATTCATGGGAAGAGTATCTATAATAAGATATGCCATACATCTAAAAAGACCAGCTGAAAGATTCACTAGAGAGATATAACCAGGTCGCATAAGCGGCTAACTATTCGTGTGAAGAACTAACTGGGGTTCTCCACAGATATATCCACCGTGCCAGGGAACCTTACACCTTCACGAAGGATCTGAGTGTTGGCCTGGAGGTTCAATACATGTAGCCGTCCTTTGTAGCTTCATAGATATCACCCTGCTGTATACTTAACCCGCTATAATCTCCAATTCTCGTCCACCTCAATCAACTTCCAGACGTGCAAGTAACGTCTAAGGGTAGACAACAGCCACTATCGCCCCCACCCCCCCCAATCACGCGAGACCGTCGTAGCTTGTTCATACTCCAGATTTGCGATGACTCTAATAACCCTTATGAACATCAAACTTAAGCGACATCCCACTATCATCAAAGTCATGTCTAGCTCAACCGACGCGTGAATGTCCGAACTTCCAAATCACGTCCAAATAATCCACAAGTGATGGGAAGATGACACGACATTTAGGGGTTCCTCACAGGTCGACGGTTAACTACATGTGCGTGTTGTCCCGGATGTCGGCCAAATCCCCGATTGCCGAAAGATACGAAACTGTTGGATAAATGTACAGCTGGAGCGGCAAATGGAATATCCACAGTGATTTATTTGAGTGCTTGGTCACTGGTTTGAGATAAAACCTAGTGAATACGCTGTGTTTGTGTTTTTGTTCTGTTTTTTTTTTCGTTCCTTTAGAGCTTTCATGGTTCCCCTTGGCAGCCTCCTCGTATTCTCCTGCGAAACATCCCAGCTATCTGGTAAAAAGCACCACGTTTCAAATATGTCCCCCGCTGTGTTGTAGGAGTTTCTGAATAGGGAATTGAATCCTAGTACTGATTGTCTCCCTACGCCTTATCCTGTTTGTGGGCGTCATCCGCTTCATCGGGCAATGGGGACATAGGGAGGTTGTCGTTCACAGCTAGGTCAAGCGAAGCCTCATCAATCTCATCGGCCTTGTCGACTTCCTCCTCGGACTGCTCAGTCTTGAAGTTGAATGTATCAGCGGTAGCGGCAGGTTCAGCGAAACGTCCAGTGACAGGTTCAATGGCGGACTCGGCGGCAGATCCAGCGATGGGGCCAATGGCGAGTTCATCGACAGCCTCCGTGACAGCGGTCTCGTGGCTGCTATCGTTAGCGAGGTTTTCAGCGTACTCCGTAGTGGTAGGATCGAACTCGAGCTTGATCGGGACCTGGTCTTCATCTTCCTCAGACTTGATAGAAGTCTTGCCACCCTTGAGGGTCTTGATTGGCTTGGTTCCCTTGGGGGTCTTCGGGGTCTTAGCGGCCTTGGGAGACTTGGGAGTGCGAGGGGCCTTGGCCTTGGCGTTGGACTTTCCTCGCTTGGAGGGAGTATCGTCGGGCGACATGTCAGCCTGGGCACCATTACCACTGGCGTCAGCATTGTTATCGCCGTACAGTTTGTCTAGCTTTCGTTTGGCATTGCGGAAGAGCGTCTGAGCAGAAGACGATTTGATGCCAGCGTTCAAAGCAAGCCTGTCATAGTCGATCTTTGTGGTCCCTTCTGTTAGCAACTAGCAACTACATCACAATGGGGAAACTTGGGACCAAATGAGATACCTTGTCATTCTTCAGACAGACGTTGGCTAGCACGAGTAGCTTGGTTTCAGTAGCGGAAATGCCAGGGAAGAGGCTTGTCTTAGGAGCAGCAGGAGAAGCCATTTCAAATCAGCTGTGAGACTGTATGAAGTTCTGGTAGTTACTGTCGAGTGTCAAAGTGGATTGAAGTTGAAATCACGAATGTATGATGAAAGAAGGAAGTTGTACGCTGGGTGAAGATGAAAGAAAAAGGGCAAACGGCAGTGATTTAAAGAAGAACTAAGGTTGTGTTGATGTGAACTGGGCTTGATAATGTGCGTCGAGCAGAAGATTGTCAACTCAAGATTTTCAACTCAGTGGATGATAAAGAGGAACTGGGCTTGTCAACGAGTGTAGGGTAAAATATCATCGACGCTAGGTTATTATAGCAAATGAATGTTGCTGTGACCTACTTTTATCAAAAGTGAAGATAGATGAAGAAAGAAAACTTCAATCGAGTTGGAAACAACGTTAACTATGTTCAAATTTCTAATCACGAGGATTTTCAAGGGACAATTTGGTTTCTTGAAGGGACTGCGGTTCGGACCTGCTTCAGATAGGTGAGACTTTAGGCATGCCGAGGCCATTTGGATAGGATTGATATTCCTCTGAAGCATGGGGAAATGACTGGTCATTCAATGAATTCTTTACGGTAACACGCCTCAGGCAAGCTATTTCTGACTAGGATGTGATATGGTTACTACGCGAGAAAGATCCAAGAGCCTAGCGTAAACGGATCTCCTAAGACCCCTGGAACAACCCATCATCAATAAAGAGCCGCCCAAGTCTTCGATTAGAGTGACTGAGGCTAGGCTCCATCGATCAATCCCGGAGAAAAACGGGCGTCAGACCATCATTGGAACCAGTTATCAAGTCATGGATATCGATGCGATTGATGAGGTTGCGACTTGGCCTTTTGGATTTGCTGGTAAATTCCGTTCCATAAGTCCGGGAAGAAAGCTGATGTCTGTCTACCCGGCTTGCTGTGGGATCCGGTATAAAACTGGGTTGGGGCTCTACCCTGCCACCATCTTTGTGGGGACGGTTTCAAATTTTGGAATGTGACGGGCCGCAATGTGTCTTTGAGCGGAACAAGATCTCCTAAGCGAGCAGTTGTTTGCCGGGGAATGGTATTGAATCGCATGCTGGTGAGATACAGCACCGCCGTTGGAGGCAGATCTTTTGCGTACTGGACGGCGGCTTCCCGCGACTTCCTCGCAAAAGCGGGCAGCGCCAGATGGATAAAGTTCACGTACGGTGCAGCCGTATAGGAGACAAATAGCATCGGGAGAGCGCCAGCAACAATTACTAGGGTATTATCAGCATAGACGATCGGGTGGTATAATGTCCAAGTTGGCTTACCCGCAGGTGTGCTGTACCAGGGGTAATCATTGGCCACAGAGCATGCCGGTGCAACGATAAGACATGCTGCACCGAATAGAAGCACTGTGGTGATTCGCAGCGTCCCCAAAAAGACAGCTCTGCCAGTCCCTCCATAATAGACCAAGATTCGTTCAGGTGGCCCTGCAGACTATCTCAGTATACCCCCTTAATGATCGACAGAAAAGGTGACACTACCTGTCCTGGTGGTTGTCTTTGGCGGTGTGAGCGTTCTTGTAACCGGTGAACGCGTAGCTGGGAGGGTCTCTTTCGATCTGGGTAATGGGGAAAGATGCTTCTGCGACGGGCGAGGGATCTGCGACTTGAACCGGACCCAGACGCTCCTCCGAAGATTGCGCTGGGCACACTCTGGTAGCGTTGTGCGCAATTGAGGGTGAAGTAGAACTTGTAGTCGCATTGTGCCTGTGTAATTCAGTTGACCTGGAATTCGGATGTTGATTGATTCCCCAATGAATCGGCACCGCGACGCCGAGTGCTCGGCAAAAAGGTGACCGCCTTGGCTTCCGCTCTGTTCGGATTACCGTATGAGCTGACCCCTGCCATTCTCCTTTGATCTCATACCCTGAAATACCGTTGATTGCCTGGCTGGTATAGGCTGGAACTCTATCCGAATATTTCTTTGATGCAGGCCATGAGCAGCTAGCGCCAGCTTTCCTGCAACGCCATGTCTCCGGCTTATCGTATGCCACCTGGCATTGTGGTACTTTGGCTAGGCCTCCTCGTAATGCTTCTAGCATGTGTAGAGGCATACGAGGAAATATCAGATAGGACGTTAACCGAACTTTTACGGCCCAATAATGACTTTGATATTCACAACGGCGCTCTGTTGTCACCCATACTAAGGACCCGCGTTCCTGGTACACCCGGCTCCACTGCAGTGCTCAATCACTTCGCCGACTTTTTTCGGACCACATTGCCCAAATGGACCATTGAGGTTCAAAACTCTACAGCCAAAACACCACTCTCGAAGGGGAAGGAGGTACCTTTCCGAAACTTCATCGCTACTCGCGATCCTCCATGGGCTTCGGTTGGGGACGTTGGCCGGCTCACTCTTGTCGCCCATTATGACAGCAAGATCGAACCGAAAGGCTTTATCGGTGGAATCGACAGTGCTGCACCATGTGCGATGATTATGCATGCCATGCGCAGTATTGACGCCGCCTTGGAGAAGAAATGGTCCGCATTGCAGGAGCAGGGACTGCACATCTACCTCGAAGAGGAGCGGGGTCTCCAGGTTATCTTCTTGGACGGTGAAGAAGCATTCAAAGATTGGACTGCCACTGATTCTCTCTATGGAGCTCGTGCCCTGGCTACACATTGGGATGACCAAGTCTATCCCGCAATGTCGGAGTTCAGGAGTCCCTTGTCGTCGATATCTCTTTTTGTCCTCTTGGATCTGCTCGGCTCGAAATCGCCTACGATCCAGTCTTACTATGAGACAACCCACTGGGCTTATCAAAGCTTGGGCGCCCTAGAAAAACGGTTCAAGACATTGAAGCAGTTCAAGTCCGCATCTGCTGATCCATGGTTCGTCGATACCGAGAAGGATGGACACAAGCTCACAGCAACGGGTGGCATACAGGATGACCATATTCCTTTCCTAGCAAAGGGGGTAGAGATCCTACATCTCATTGACTTCGCACCTTTCAAGGGATTCCCTTCTGTTTGGCATACAATCGACGATGACGGTGAAAATTTAGATTTGAATACTGTCGAGGACTGGAGTATGCTAGTTACAGCTTTCGTTGCTGAGTGGATGGAGTTGGAAGGATACTTTGGTCATCCATCGGCCCCCAGTCCACGCAATGACAACGAATCTGCCAAGTTGGAAGCGCTTCGCACAGACAGGAAGACTGACTTGTAAGCCATTCTTCCTCTCACTCACTTCTCTATGTTCTTGGCCCCTATCTAGCCTTTTTCCCTCCGTTATATACCCAATGCATTTATTCACGGACCAACGCCATATACTTTCAGTTGAAACGACTATATTTATACATACTATGGCATTTGGAATTTGCTAATCAAACCTTGGACACAGTTCCTAATGTATTCGGACCTTTTCTATCCTTAGAATTTCATGCACCAATTTTAACTACGCCTCCCCAAGGTCAAGCCAAAGTTCGACAAAGCGAATGAAGAATTTAATGTCTATAATTTATTGGTCCAAATGCCCTCAAATAAGGTTGCCCAGCATGTAACCACCCATCGTGATCAGTCCCCAAGTTGGTTGCAGGACTGTTCGCAAAATTGCAGGGCCTGGGCAGACCCCTTTCAGTCCCCAGGCTAGTCCAAACGTCGCAGTACCTGCAAAGAACCGCCAATCGATGTCACTCATCGTGGCTGTTGGAAGCTGCCATTTTTCGGAAAGAGTAGGCATCGCAACGGGCTTTCCCTTTTCGACCACTTGGCCAGGTTTCTGAGCCAGGAAAGTGAACAGCGATGGCCCAATGCCAAACAGAATGATCAGTGCCAGCGACGGATCAAATCGGAATGGGTCAGTCACCAGGGCAAAGAACCCGAGTACCTTGGCTGGGTCCGCCATTCCAGAGATTAAGAGACCCAGACCAAACTCCAACCCTGCCACATAGGAATAGACAACCCTAGATTCCTCCGACCGACGAACCTTTTGCGGGACGACGATAAAGTTTGTGATAGCCGCCAATAGCGCAGCAGCAGACATGAAGCTCAACTCCGATCCAGATGGATACACTGGTGTATAGCACGGTATCGAACCGCAAGACGGAATATCGGATCCGCCCTCGACAAATTTCGCCGTGAGCAATGCAGTTGTGAAAAAGATGGCGGTTGCGATTAACGAGCGCGGCGAGAGACGTGAAATGCCACACAGCATGTGTCCGGAGGTACAGCCTCGACCGTTCTGTTTCACTTGGTCAACGTGTTCTTCGTTCTCTGGTTATATCCGATGCTCCTCACCTTTGTCCCCCATCCCGATAGGAAGCCCACTCCCAAAGTTGCTGCAGCAGAAGCCCAGGAATGTGGTGGTGCGGGATACTCCGGGATCAGTGATGGTGCCAACAAATACACCGGCACAATGCTGGTCAGGATACCCGCGATGATGGGCACATTGTCACGATTCGGGTTGAAGACACACCCAGATAAAAGAGAGGATATGCCGAAGACGGCGCCGTTGTGTATGAGCAGGCCGGATGAGCCGTGGAATAATAGTAGTGCACCCGATATGGTATGAATGGGGGTGAACATGATGTTGATGCTCTGTTGATTCGTCTTTGTTATCAAAATTTTCTTTCTGATGTCATTGCGGGAGGTTCAGTCCGTGGTTTGATAGTAGATGTTGTAGATATTTCTGACGACTGGGGTATAGAACACCCAATTAAGGAATAAAAATTCTATACCTGGGGATTGTCTCGTATTGAATGACCCAAAAGAGCAAATTTACAACGCAATTGAGGCAGTCTAAATTCTTGCAGGATTTCCCGATCGGGGACCATTCACGTCGCCGTTGTCGTCTAAGTGGTCCCCGAGCAAATTATCTCGGCATCTCTTGGTATTTACTCAAGCTTTAATGTGCTTGTTGATTACTACTCTAGTCGAACATTTACTTTCAAAATCGTCGTCTCATGCGCTTTCTTGCACTGATTCGCCGCGTTGCACTAGTCCCTGCACGCAGGAGCATGACAAGACAACCCGAGTAATTATGTTTAGATGAGGACTCTTGAAGAGCCGGAAGACACCCTGGATATTCGTGACGAAGGTGACAGTCGCAAGATATTGAACAACTGTGACACCGAGAAAATGAGACGTCGGAGTGAGCCGAAGAACTTGCCAGGGCTCTTCGTCTTGTGAAGTAGTCGCAATCCAGCCCGTTCTATACATTTCAGTGGTCATCACGGATCTCTGCATGCATAGTTTTTTTTTTCAGCTACTGTCTACTTAAGAATCTTGGGAGTTATCTTCAATTTTTATTCTCACCCAGAATGGGGAATACATCCAGCGTCGCCGGCCGTGAGTGCTTCATGGCCGCCGTGGGAGGGAACCCTGCCATGGCTACTTTTCGGGGAGATCTGTTATATGAATTCCGGGCCTTACCGTCCTATAACCTAGCTATTCCTGTTCACCCCGCGGTGATCACCTTTCCGAATACTACGAACCAGGTCGCTGAAATTGTGCGTTGTGCTGTTGAGAGAAACTACCGGGTACAAGCTTACAGTGGAGGTCACAGCTATGGTAACTATGGTATGAAAATACTCTCTGGGTCTAAATTCTACCGTTACTAAACAAGTATGCTATGGTAGGCCTGGGAGGAGCTGATGGCCATGTCGTCGTCGACCTAAAAAGTTTCCAGAACTTCTCAATGGATCCGGACACTCATGTTGCCACAATTGGACCAGGTACAAACTTGGGTGATCTTCAAGATCGTCTTCTACATGCAGGTGGTAGAGCCATGTCACATGGATCCTGTCCACAAGTTGGTGTCGGTGGGCATTTCACTATTGGTGGTCTGGGTCTTATGTCACGACAATGGGGAACTGCGCTGGATCATGTGCTGGAGGCTGAAGTGGTCCTGGCCAACTCCAGTGTTGTGACAGCGTCCGACACCCAGAACCAGGATATTTTCTGGGCTATAAAGGGTGCGGCTGCCAGCTTTGGCATTGTCACTGAGTTCAAAGTTCGCACACAGGAACTTCCAAAGGGCGCTACGCAATACACATATACATTCAGTCAAGGAGATGTACTTGACAAGGTCAAACTCTTCCAAGCTTGGCAGTCGATTATCGCAAAGACTAATATTACGCGGAATTATTCCACCGAGCTCACAATCTTCCAGAACGGTATTGTGATCACGGGCAGCTTCTTCGGAACCACAGAAGAGTTTGAGGAGTTTGAGCAGGAAAACAGTCTCCCATTCCGAAACAAGGGCAATGTGGCATACATCACGAACTGGCTCGCCTTGGTAGCCCATGCAGCGGAGAATTATCTGGTGTCGATCGGCGGAGCCTTACTCACTTCGTTCTACTCCAAGTCAGTATCGTTTACAACCGACGAACTATTCACCGAGCGCGGGCTTGTCGCCTTGTTTACATACCTCGACACCGCACCGAAGGGCAGTGAGAATTGGTGGGTTATTTTCGACCTCGAAGGTGGCGCAACGAACGATGTTCCCATGAATGCCACGGCCTATGTTCACCGTGATGCTGTCATGTGGATGCAATCCTATGCTGTGGTCGGCTTTGAGCCTCCTGCGTTCATTGCTAGAAGGTTCCTTGATCGCTTGCATCAAGTTGTGATAGAAAATCGACCACCCGGTCCTCTGCGTTCCTATCCGGGGTATGTTGATCCCTATCTAGCAAATGGTCAGATGGCATACTGGGGATCGAATCTTGAACGGCTTCAGAGTATCAAAAGTCTTGTTGATCCAGATGATGTCTTCCACAACCCGCAGAGTGTGGCTGTTGTTCCATAACGCATGATCAATTCTTGCAATTAGAGTTGCTTGGAGCGAAATTCGGTGCCAGCTTCACTTGTTTTAGTGACACAAGAGTAGGCACTGAAATGCGGCTATGTTAATACTGGTCCTGGTCTTGGGATATTTCACATCAGTCTTTGGTCTCGAATTGAATCAATGTTTTGGTTGGGATAATTTTAACGAAATAGTTGCACAGGTATTAAATCTTGTCGTACTCGAAACTTCGACACAAATACCTGACATCAATCCTTTCCAGCACTATAACTACTAAAATGGGGCTTATGAGAGCGGCAAAGTTGGTTAAATTTCTAAGCGATACTTTATTCAGCAATAACTAAGATCAGAAGAGTTCGGAAGGCTACCGCTATAAGCTACATAGTAACCCTTTTAACTAGACAGCGATAGAATAGAAGACCGTTGTTATGTTAAATACCAAAGTAGAGCCTTCTTACTCTAGTTGAGGTAGTAACAGTAACGCCGAGTACAATTTTCGTTAGGCTTCTTATTAGATTATCCACTCTGTTTAAAATATACTACATGTAAACTCTCAATCCTTACCGGTGAATAAAACCATTCTTAGATACGGAGATCAAGGAAGATAGCTGCAGAGAGTAGGCATCCATTTCCAAATTTTCCGGTGCTACTAGTTCCTACTGAGATAGAATGCTAGTATCTGTATGTTCTCGAACTGAGACAGTATTTCCATTCATGATTGCTAAAGCACATGGCAAAATCTCTGTTGAAGTCGATTTGAAGGCTATTGTTTCCGTTGATGTACGATGTGCATGCATATATGAAACTACATGGACCACCCAAAACCGTTGTGGACAATTTGCGAGCAGAAAAGCAGAGATCGATGCGAAATATGCTTGCATTTATACTAGCCAGGCTCTCTGTTCTGGATAGTGTTGAGTTTTTTTGCTTGTATTATCAAAATTTCAGCTGAAGGGACAGCAGGGTATGCGATCTAATAGCCACCGTCAAGTACCTCGCACTAGATCATCAGTTCCCGTCAACTGCAATCTCGCATCATATGATATAGCTTGATATCTATCATTGTCGTTCCTTGAAGTAAACCTTGATACTTTGAAAGTCAAGCAGTTTGTTACTAAGCCATCTGCAACCCTCGGGGCTCCGCAACATCTGTTCTACTTTCCATCCATGAAAGTCATGCAACACATGAATCCAATTGTGCCAATTACGCACATTACGGCTGTAACTCTCGCGTGACACTCATTGGAACACAGCATCGCCCAGGTGCTCCAATCATGAAACGCGCCTGCAGCCCAGAAACCAACCCAAACGATGAGCCGAGAAAAAGAATTCCGCTGAATGAACCGCGCCCAGTTCTCTTAAGCCTAAATGTACCTATCTCTCCGCCGCGAAGAAGATCATCCATCAAACGGGATAAGGATGGAGATGGAGACGCTACTATGCTGAACATACCACGACTAATCACTTCATCCAGCCTCACTGCCATTGAAGCAGGCCAGGTTGAAGTGACCAACCATCTGAGCACAATTTCCGCAAATCTCAAAGAATGCATTCGCCCATCTCCCAAACAGCCATTGCCGCGGCTGCCCATCAAAGAATGGATGGAGCTGTACAGACGCAACGAGCATTCAGAAGGACGTCATTTCGTCATCCATCAACATGACCATCCCATCGCAGGGCTTCATTATGATCTCCGCCTCCAATTTTCAGAGACCAGCTCTGTCAGTTGGTCGGTTATGTATGGGATGCCTGGCGATCCGAAAAGCCAGCGGTTAAACCGGAATGCAACCGAAACTCGGATCCATTGTTTATGGGTGGGTTTGTGATCTGGCATGAGACAGTGTTGTAGCAATGACTTACCACTTCACAGAACCATCTGATTGAGACTGCTTCGCACAAAACTGGGAACGTGATTATCTGGGATACTGGAGAATATGAAATTCTACCTCATCAAATTGACCCTTCCGGTCCTGAGACCGACGATTCGCGATCAGAGATCTCTGAAGATAGTCCTGTTTCCCAGGAAGAACGGATCTCAGATAGTGCGAAGTTGCGAGAGGCCTTTCAGAATGTAGGGACCTGGACAATATGAAGAGATAGGATTCGGTTCTCTAACGCTGAGACACTAAGCGCAAAATCCGACTTCGACTGCACGGAACGCTTTTACCCAATGGCTATACTGTAATTCTGCGGATGAATAAAACAACTGATTTTGCAAGGCTGATCCGCGAAGGTCCCAAACGGCGCCGTCGCCACCAATCCGGGCCAAGGGTGCCACCACCGTCATCTCCCTCGGACTCCGGATCTTCGCCGCCAATTAGTAACCAAAATTTGACAGTGGGCCCAACAATGCACCGATCTCAATCCGAATCCCAAACTAGCCCAGCTAGGGCTGCACATGCAGACAATACCTACACCGCCGACATCGAAATACAAAGGAACAACGCTTACCCAGGGTCCAGTAATACAATCGGTTCGATCCATCAACGGCGATGGTACCTCAGTTTAGACCGGGAATCCTCGGGATTTGAGCGGACGAACAAGCCAAGGGGTTTGAAAGAAATAGGCCAAAAAACGTGGACTCCCAAATCCGTCGGACAAGGATTCGAGCCGTTTTATGTGCACGGACCAGTTTATGAGTGGAGCATTGTTACCGCGCGACTGGGGCGCGATGTCTTGGACGATGAGGCCGTGGAAGATTTTGTGCCGAGACGCGGGTGGAGGCCGGTCCTGCATTAGGGAGCATTAGGGAGCATTAGGGAGCATCAGGTGGACATCAGATGGATACAAGCTATACAAGTGGGAACGTGCTATGGATTCTTGGATTTGGAGAGTTCAATGTTTGCAATTGGCCCAAGGGCATCGTGCTGACAAGCTCGCCTGGCACATGTGGAAGTCGCACTACCTCGAATCTCGGAGGTCGAAATTACCACCAACAGATTGTAGTTCCATGACTGAACACGAGATTCGTACAAGATAGTGCATATGACTCAACACACTGCCCTGGTGGGAAATTGATCTGACAAGTCAACATAGATTAAGAAAGGGTATTCTGAGGTATCTGAGTCATTGGCGGTCTAAGGTCGGTCTATTCCCCCCTTCGTTCCCCGCTCGATGTGACTACAGCTCGCGCTAACATGCACAAGCGTTTTCGTTGTAGTTGGGGGCTGATAACGCCTTGATATTTCCTTTGGTCTGTCCTTTTTTTTATCTTCTTCCTGTTCTTTTTTTTTGTTTTTTTTTCGTGTCGGAAAAACATGGCCTACTTGGCGACATCTAGTTATCTAGCCCTGTCGCTAGTTGCCCTGGATAGTATACCTGCTATTCAGAGCATCGCCTACCGTATTTCCCGCAAAGCGCGTGATTATGAGTCCATTGAACTAGCCAAAGATGTTTACCGTGATGAAGATGGAGAGGCGACCGAGGAATCCCTTCGAGCTTTCTCTGATAAATGGCAAAGAATCGCCATCACCCTGTTCTCCATCGCCGGGTTTCTGGTGACTCTCGCATTAGCTGTTCTTGCGACATTGAAGCTCACAATCACGAATTCCACGCCATTGGTCTGGTTGCAGTTCGGAGTATGGGTATGTGGAGACCCCGACCAAGAAAAGCCAATTGATTGGAAAGGCTTAACCGGCTTATTCGTCTTTCTAGATTATGCTCGCTATTCAAGCTGTTGCTTTCTTCACTGAGCCCCGGCCGACAGCCCGATATGTTCTTGGCCATTTCGCTTTCTGGGGAAGTATCGTTGCCATTGTGGTTCCGGGAACTGAACTGGGCATTTTGATATTCTCTCAACTCGGACTTCATCGTGGGCGAATTTGGGTCGGGCTGCAGTTGGCTCAAATCGCGAGTGCTGCCCTTCGAGCCATTTTCTGTGTTCTAATTCCGCGTCGGCCAGATGTTTACTACGAAGATAAGCTGGTTGAGCGGGAATTTTCAGTCTCCCTACTCAGCCGCTTCAGTTTCAGCTGGGCCAATGGGTTGCTAAACTACGCAGTGAAACACAAGGCCATGGACCTCGAAGATATTCCCAAGCTAACGGCATCGAACCGTGCTGACTTTCTACGTGAGAAATTTGAAACCGCCAGACAGAACCGGAAACTGTGGCTAGCGATTGTCTTTGCGCATGTGGGGCCAATGATCGCCCAGATGATACTCAGCCTGGGGATTTGCTTTCTGAGCTTTGGGCCACAAGTCGCCCTGTTTCAAATCTTGAAAACCCTTGAGCTGCGCGGTTCCGCAGAATGGAATATCGGGGCATCATATTTCTGGGTACTAGCCCTAGGTGGGTTGTTGTTCCTTGCCTCGACCGTGGAGGCATGGCTGTTTTGGGTCGTCTACTCTAAACTTGGAGTTCCGATCTACGCAGAGCTGTCAGCAGTTATTTTTGCCAAAGCCATGCGCCGGAAGGATGTGAAGCACACAAAAAAGACCAAGGCGCCAGATGAATCCGATAATTCCAGCAAAGGATCCGCCAAGGCCGACGACGATGACGAGGATGCACTGAAGAAAAGCCGCCAAAGTATTATCAACCATGTCGCCGTGGATGCTCGACGTGTTTCCGACTTTGCCTCTTTCAACTACATTATCCCACAGGCGATCTTCAAAATTGTTATCGGTGCCACTTTCCTGGTCCAAATTCTCGGCTGGCGCAGTGCCTTTGCCGGTCTTTCAGTCTCTCTTCTTGTGACACCATTGAATATTTATGCGGCTAAGAAATATTCGAATGCCCAGGACCGATTGATGAAACTCCGTGACCAGAAGCTGGCGATCGTTACCGAGGTGCTGCAGGGAATCAGGCAGATCAAGTTCTCAGCTTTGGAGGAGCAATGGCAGAATCGCGTCCGGGAGACTCGAGAAACCGAGCTCGGCGCATTGTGGGCTTCCTTCGTAGCTGATATTGGCCTGCTTGCGATCTGGGTTCTGGGGCCAGTCGGTTTATCCGCCGTTTCGTTGACTACATACGCCATTCTGAATGGTTCTTTGTCGCCTTCCGTGGCTTTCACGGCGATGGCAATCTTCAATTCACTCGAAGCGTCCCTTGCTATTATACCAGAGCTCACGTCGATGGGTCTGGAGGCAAAGGTTAGCTCGGACCGTATCGACCAATTTTTGGCCACCTCGGAAAATGTCGTTAATACCGTCCCTGCTGATTATGTTGCTTTCGAAGACGCCTCTGTTGCATGGCCCGCGGAGGAGGAAGATATCGCAGAATCCAAGGATCGTTTCATTCTGCGTGATATGACTTTGAAATTCCCGATGAAGAGTCTCAGCGTGGTATCAGGCAGAACTGGCTCTGGAAAGAGTCTGCTTCTCTCTTCGATCCTGGGTGAATGTGATGTCCTCGCCGGTACGATCAAGGTACCCGTTCCACTTCCCATTACAGACCGATTTGATCACCTCGCCACAAAAGCAAATTGGATTATAGACTCAGCAATTGCCTATGTTGCGCAGATGCCATGGATTGAGAATGCTTCGATTAAAGCGAACGTTCTCTTTGGACTACCGGATGATGTGGAGCGCTACCAAAAGGTCATCTTTGCTTGCGCTCTGGCAAAGGACTTTGAGATGCTTCCAGACGGCGACATGACCGATATTGGTGCAAATGGTGTCAATCTGAGTGGTGGTCAGCGCTGGCGTATCTCCTTCGCCCGCGCATTATACTCTAGGGCTGGCATACTTGTTATGGATGATATATTCAGCGCTCTCGATGCCCACACAGGTCGTCACGTTTTTGAGAACGCTCTCACCGGAGAACTCGGTCAGAACCGAACTCGCATTTTGGTCACTCACCATGTTGCACTGTGCCTTCCTCGCACCGACTACTCTGTGCTGTTGGAGAATGGTCGTATCAAATATGCCGGCACCATTGATGACCTGAGGGAATCGCATCATCTAGAGGATATCCTTCGCGAGGAACAAGCTGCTGAACAAGCTGATCTTATAGCAGACGGTGCAGACCGTGAATTCCTCAATGATGAGGAGACGACTCTTCAAAGGGTGATCTCGAATACACCCCACCACAAACCGAGCACGGCTGCAAATGGCCAAGTTCCCAACGGAAATGAAATTGCTACGGCACAGACGCCTACACCAAAGAAGTTCGTTGAAGATGAAAAACGAGAAACCGGTTCTGTGCGACTATCAGTTTATCTTGCTTTCTTGAAAAAAGGTGGCTCCGTGTTCTTTTGGTTGGTGACGCTCGCAGTCTATTTGGCGTTTTCTTCCCTCTTGGTTGGAAGGGTAAGTGCACAAAATCCTAAGACAGTCCCTTTGGCTGAAGACTTTATCTAATCTTGGTTTACGACAGTCTTGGTGGATCAATATATGGACACGTTCAACTTCCAATACTCAGGCCCATCCTGAGCAATACAGTATCCTATTGCAGCATGCCATGCAACCAGCTGCGCCAGTCCCACAAGATGACGACCTCTTCATGTACCTCGGAATCTATGTCATCATCTCGGTCACCGCCTGTATAGTTGGCACTCTCCGTTATTACTGCATCCTTTCGGCATCAGTACGTGCCTCGAGGAACCTGTTCAATGGCTTGGTTTATACCATTCTCCGCGCGCCACTCCGGTGGCTGGACACAGTCCCATTGGGGCGTATTCTCAACCGCTTCACAGCCGACTTCCACTCAATCGATTCCCGAATCGGATATGATATCGGATTCTTCGTGAGTAAGATTCTGGATGTGTCCGCAATTATGGTTGCGGGCATGCTTGTCGACTGGACGGTGATCTTGCTTGGCTTAGTCCTGTTGCTGATATGTCTAAATTTGGCCCTATCCTATTTGGCTGGTGCCCGTCAAATCAAACGTCTTGAGAGCACTGCGAAAAGCCCTGTATTTGAGCAGTTCGGGTCTAGTCTCGCTGGCCTGATCACCATTCGTGCCTTCAGCAAACCAGATACCTACGTCGAAATCATGTACGGCAAGATCAATCGCCACGCGCAAGCATGGTGGACCTTGTGGCTGTTTAACCGTTGGCTCTCGTTCCGCATGAGCATCGTCGGCGCTATCTTCTCAACTGTCACTGCTGGGCTCGTGGTCTATCTGCCGGGTATCAGCGCTTCCCTCGCAGGTTTTGCTCTCAGTTTTGCGTTACAGTACAACGCTGCGATCACAATGGCACTGCGGCAATACGCCAACATTGAATTGAACATGAACGCCACCGAGCGTGTCATCGAGTACTCCAGCATTGAAATGGAGAACCAAGGGGGAGTCGATGCACCCGCGGCTTGGCCTGCAGAGGGCCATCTCGAAGTCCACGACCTCGTAGTGGGCTACGCACCGGATCTCCCACCGGTATTGAATGGACTGAGCTTTTCAGTAGAAAAGAACCAACGCGTAGGCGTGGTCGGACGTACAGGAGCAGGCAAGTCCTCTTTGACGCTTGCACTCTTCCGATTCCTGGAAGCACGCTCTGGTCAGATAATCATCGACGGACTCGATATCTCCAAGATCAAACTGCACGACCTCCGCAGCCGACTTGCAATTATCCCGCAAGACCCAGTGCTATTCTCCGGCACGGTGCGGTCGAATCTAGATCCGTTCGACGAATACAGCGATAACGAGCTCTACGATGCGCTAGCACGTGTGCACCTCATCTCTGAGGCCGATGAAGATGAGCTGACCCTCACATCGCGCACTGCCACGCCCCGCCAGCCCAGCGAAACCGGTGCCACGACACCGACGGCACAGAAGAACAACTCCAATGCTTTCACATCTCTTTCTGCGACTATCTCGGAGGGAGGCCTCAACCTTTCCCAGGGTCAGCGCCAGCTCCTCTGCCTCGCCCGTGCCATCGTCGCGCGGCCCAAGATTATGGTCCTGGATGAGGCGACTTCTGCTGTTGACATGGAGACCGACGCGTTGATCCAGACGTCTATCCGGGCGGAATTTGGCCGCAATGCTACCACCCTGTTGGTTATTGCGCACCGCCTTAGCACCATTGCGGACTTTGATCGCATTCTTGTCATGGATGCTGGAAAGGCAGCTGAGTTTGGCAGACCTAAGGATCTGATGGGCATTGAGGGCGGTGTTTTCAAGAACCTTGTTGAGAATAGTGGGGAGAAGGAAGTGTTGGAAAAGATGATCTTCGCGTAAAAAAAAGATTTCAGAAAGACGACGGATGGGATTATGTGACTATGTTTATTTTGAATTGCTTTGTATAGAATCTTGATGGGTAAAATCAGCTTATATATCAAAATGCTTCGATGCGATTCGAAATTAAAAGTTGCATGAAAAGCCAGCTAGGTACCTAGAAATATACATTTCAGGTCAACACGCTATTTAAGGCGGCGCTTTAAGATGCAGCAGTGGTTATACTTACGTCATGAGAGAGTTATGATTGTTGTACGATGTTGTCATGTATATCGTTAATGGAGATTGAAACCGAATCCTTGATGTATGGCAAAATATCGGCTGTATTATTATTAAGAGGTTTATAGCGAACCAAAGTGTCTCAGGCAACTGTGCCTCTGCCATAATCCAAATGCAAAGAGCGCAGACGTATCAACAATTCCAACGGCCAAAAAATAGCTAACTACATACGAGACTAAGAGCCGAAAGAGAGGACCTTAGACATCAAGGAATTGGTTCCAAAACCCGTCCAACATCCACCTCTTCCAGCTTTAGGGGTAACCCTCGAACCATGGCCGAAAGCCAATGGCAACACCTTCAAGCTTTGTGAATGGAATCAGAGATGCCTTCTTCGCGTCCGTCATGTAAACAAGGTTGGTATGCCGAACGCATATATCACATACCCTACCCTCGATTCGTACAGCCCTTAAGCTCTCCGAAGAGAGAGAGCCGCACGGCTCAGAGGGAAGAGATCGTCTCATATATAACACACTAGGCTTTCATCATTCTGGGAAACAGTCAGCATAATGATCAAAAATAGTAGTTCCATTGGAAGGTCAGGGAACAGTATTACTTACAAGTATAAAACTTGGAAGGATGAAGAAGAAAAAAAAACGGACAAGCGAAAATCCCGCGCGTTTTATTCCTGCGGGCGCTAGTCCGCTTCTAGGGCGGGGTGGCTTTCTGCCGGTTTTAATGATCAAGTTGTCCGAGCATCACTCGCTTTCTTCCGGCTTCGCTGCAATTGTATTCTCGACAATTGAAATATGCCAATTGCTGCCGTGCAGCTCCGCTCTTTGCGGCTGAGATCCAGTTACGTTGAGATCTCCAATCTTCTGCGCGGTCGATCCACTTCGCCGAGAGGATGTTATAGCCCCGTTCGGACTCCGCGGCAGTTTCACGCTCGGACTTGTCTGCAACATGACGAGCCTCCTCAACAGCTTCCTGCTTTTCTGGAGGCTTACAAGAGAGCTGGTATGTTGATCACTTCTGCCGAAAACCTTTGTCCCCCCATACTCTCAATTAGGGCCTTGACTGACAGACAATGCCCTACAGTTGACTTCCCTGCTGCCACCCACGACTTCGAAACGTTCTTCGCACAGGCTGAGCCGAATACGGAAGTAGTACTACATGGATACCTCGGAGCCCGCGCAGATCTGTCAAAAAAACTATCCTTCGTGCGCCTATCTGATCCCACCCTGCAACACAGCCTGCAAGTTGTGGCATTTGCGAAGAACGATGCTTTCGAGCAACTAAAGACTGTGAATGTGAACAGCCCGGTGGCTGTCCGCGGGACAATTCAAAAGAAAAAGACCAAGCCATCAGAAGCGGATAACACTACAGCTCAAGACCAATGGGAGCTCGCATTAGAAGAAATCCACCCCCTCAACGACTTCCCCAAGGAGATTATAATGACGCCTGAAACGGTGTTTCCACCAGAGCAACGATACCTTCAACTCCGCTCAGACGCAGAGCTGCGCGAGGCGCTGCGCTTCCGTGCCCGCGCGCACAATATTTGCAAGAAAGAGCTGGAGCAGTGTCGGCCGCCGTTTGTGGAGATTGAGACCCCGCTGTTGTTCAAATCTACCCCGGAAGGCGCACGAGAGTTCATTGTGCCTACACGGAGAGAGGGACTTGCCTATGCTTTGCCGCAGAGTCCGCAGCAATACAAGCAGATTCTCATGGCTAGTGGCTTGCCGAGGTATTATCAGTTTGCGCGCTGCTTCCGGGATGAGGATTTGCGCGCAGATCGTCAGCCGGAGTTTACTCAGGTATGGATTTCTAATACTCTGTTGGGTGATTGGTGATGTATGCTAATTGAAGAACTACAGCTCGACATGGAGATGTCTTTCGCGACAGGCGACGATGTTATGCGCACCGTGGAAGGTGTTATTCGCCGACTTTGGTCGTCATTGATGAAAGACCCGGCCCCCGAGGGCCCATTCCGCAAAGTGCCCTACCAGCAAGTCATGGCCAAGTACGGCTCTGACAAGCCGGACACGAGATATGGGATGGAAATCATTCGACTTGACCACGCTCTTCCCGTGGATCTGGTTGGCAAGCTTTCTGACCTACCTAATCCCATCGTGGAGGCATTCAAGCTTGAAGGAAACAACAACGATCCCGCTGAAACTCACAAGTTCATTACCGAGTTCCTCGATTCCCCTGCCGGTGCGCCGTTCAACAATAACCCAGACGGCGGCCCAGGTGTCTTCATCTACAATGGCAAGCAGCCGTTGTGTGGACTACAGCCCTTCGGCTTCGAAGCCGCCGAGCAAGTTGAGGAACTGCTGGACCCTGACCATGGTGATCTGATCGTCCTGCAAGCACGCCCCCGTGCTCCTTTCTCAGGGGGTTCAACCCCCGTTGGCGATCTACGCCGTGCACTGCACGCTGCCTCCGTCTCGACCGGCTTCAAGCCCGCCCCGACCGGATTCGACTTCCTCTGGGTCGTCGACTTCCCCCTCTTCTCCCCCCTCTCAGACTCGGAGCCCGGTCAGGGCGGCGCAGCAGGATTCTGCTCCACCCATCACCCCTTCACCGCGCCCAAGACCCCCGCCGACGTCGACCTCCTCCTCACAGACCCTACCCAGGCGGTAGCTGACCACTACGACCTCGTCGTGAATGGAGTTGAGCTGGGCGGTGGGAGTCGTCGTATCCACGACGCAGCTGTGCAGGAATTCATCTTCCGTGATATCCTGAAAATGCCAGCTGAGCGGTTGACCGACTTCTCTCATCTCCTCGATGCCCTCCGCTCTGGGTGTCCGCCCCACGCGGGTCTTGCGCTGGGCTTTGACAGGCTGGTCGCTGTTATGCTTGGCAAGGAATCCGTGCGTGATGTCATCGCATTCCCGAAGACGGGGAAGGGGGGCGATGATGCCATGGTTGGAACCCCGAGTCCCATGACCGAGGAGGCATTGAAGACGTATCACCTCATGTTGAGGAAGTAGATGTTGGATGGCGCCACTGGCGATTGTATATCACATTTTCCCTGTGGATGATCTATTTTGCACTATTCCGATGTACTATACCCGGGTTTCAGAGGCATCAGTCTCGGAAATTCTGTAACATAATTCCCGTCTCGGCTCTGGATCAAACTGCGTGCATCATACTACGTACTTTGTACGGGGTTTCCCTACCAGGGGGTTGCGCCCGACCTCCCAGTTGGAGTACAATGACACACTTGAAGGCTACGGAGTACACCTGATACAATCCCCGAGAATCGTATTCTCCACAACTGAGCCTTTTTTTTTTCGGGGCATGTCTCATACGACTCATGATCGAACGGCTAGACTTCCCGAATTGATTTGCGAATGGACTCATTTTTGAAATGTCCCCATCGAGACCTTGCAAGTTGCCGGCTTCATTTAGCTTAAACTCTAAAACCCTGTGTTTCAGGACTTTGGTGCTTGATCTGTCACATCGTCGCAGGTATTACATGGATATACGAAGTAAATAGAGACCTTAGTTCAAGATGCATCAACGATGAGGATCGTGTAAACTAGGGCTACGGAATACCTCTTCAAGAGATATATGGGGAATTCTAAGATGGTCTCCGTGTTGAGATCGGAGCACAGAAGGGACGGGGGGGGGGGGGGGGGCGTCGGAATCCATCGAAGATCCTTTGTAGGGCTAGTCCTTCCTCCGTGTGTTCTCCAACTACCGAACTAAAATTGACTAACCTCCCCCACAGCAGGGGTTCCAAGGGGAAACTGGGTTCCCGTTTCACCGAACTATTAGTTTCAGACGTGCTCCAAGTATGCGATGCCTCCGAGGTTAGTCCGAATCCAAGTGTTGAACAAGTACAATATAAACGAATATAAAAGCACAAGAAGGAAGCATCCCTCTCCAGTAATCCAGTCATTCACTCCAGTCTTTCATTCACTCATCGTACACTGTAGAGCAGGTCTCTCTGATTCATTCCTTCTAAATTTTTTTTTTTCAAAAATCCCTTTGTTTTCAACATGAAGTCTACCATCATCCTCGCCTTGGCTAGCATTGCCATCGCGGCTCCCACTCGCACCATCGAGAACCGCCAGCTGCCTGGCTTCGGTTCCAGCAGTGGAACCAACAGTGGACTGGATGCCCTGCAGTCTCTTTTCCCAGGACTCTCGGGCTCCGGCCGCTCCAGCGCCTCGGGCACCTCGCCAAGCGGCGGATTGGATGGCCTGAAGAATCTCATCCCAGGCCTGTCGGGCGCTGGTGGTGGCCCCAACATCTTGGCAGGCAATGGACTCGGTGGTCTCCCCGGTATGGGTAAGACCCCCCCTAACTCCCCCAGCATCTGAAACCCCGGTGCTAAAGGTCAATTCCTACATGCAGGCTCTATAACCGAGAACGGCGTGACCCAGAACTCCGGTTGCAAGGAGTACACGTTCATCTTTGCGCGCGGAACTACCGAGCTGGGTAACATGGGCTCGGTCGTTGGACCTCCCCTGGCCCAGCAGTTAAACTCCCTGACCGGTGATAAGGTCACCGTGCAGGGCGTGGACTACCCAGCGGATGTGGCAGTATGAAAACCCTTTTCTTTCCCTTTCTCCAATGGACTGGTTTTTTTTTTTTGCGTCCCACTGCCGAAATCAGCAACCCCGGAACTGATCACCAACGCTCGATTCGAACAGGGCAACGCACTGCTGGGTGCATCTGGTGGCCCCGCGATGGCCAAGCTCGTCGGCCAGGCTCTCAGCCAGTGCCCCCAGACCAAGATCTTGCTGGGTGGATACTCCCAGGGTGCGATGGTCGTCCACAATGCTGCCAACAGCCTCGCTGCTGGCCAAGTTACCGCCGCGGTTCTGTTCGGTGACCCATTCAAGGCCCAGAATGTCGGCAAGGTTCCCGCTGACAAGGTCAAGGAGTTCTGTCACCTTGGTGACCCGGTCTGCTTGAACGGAGCAAATGTCATGGCGCATATTACTTATGGCGTTGATACCGAGACGGCTGCGAAGTTTTTGGTTTCAGCTGCTGGCGGTTCCGCTTCTTCGTAGAGTGGCGTTTGATTGGGGTTGTTTGAGGCGGCGATGATGACGTGGAGTGGGTGGTCATGACAGGAGGAAGGTGTTGGGAGAAATGTGAGATAGTTTCGGTTGTATAGCGGGTGATAACGGTGAATGCAACCATCTATTGAGGACTCCGTTTCAATTGGTAGACGTCAAATGTGTAGACGGGCAGCTTTTGTGTCCGAGGGGAGTAGCTTGTATATTATGATATTCAATCAGAGTGCAGAGAAACAAAATAAGAGACAAGAATGAAAAGATGTGTATAGATTCCAAAAAAAGGAGACGGGTGTTATACAAAGTCAGAAGAAACGCCACTCCAAACCGGCTGTATAAGGCAGAAATTCCAAACCCAAAGTGTAATTCGAATAGACAAGGCGAGGCAACTCAGTGAGATGAATGAAATTGGAAGTTATCCAGCAAGAGATACTTGTGGCTCAAAGCTCAGGCAGTGGACAAAGTACTTGTCTGGGTTGATGGCGCACGGGATGATGCAGAATCTTGGAGCATAGCCTTTTCGCCTTCCAAGTCTTCTCCGTCCTCGTAGTACATATACTCCTCATCCTCGTCGTCGGCTTGCCCGAAAATGTTCCGCCAAACACCATCCCAAAGACCCTTCTTGGTCACCAGGCCGCCAACCAGGAGAATAGGCAGTTGCCAAATACTGGCCCAGAAGAGGCCACGTGCAGTGCCGTTCGCACCCTGATGCTGATAGAAGCGGTACGCCTCGCGGACAAGCCAGCCATTGGCGAAAGTGCTACCGACAAGGAAACCATGTCCGACGACATTGACCCACCAGAGACCAATGGAGATGGGGAACATCAGAATAGAGTATCGCAGAGCAACGCGAGCATTGCGAGCTGGATTCACCCAGCACAGCATCCTGTAGCCGGCTGCTTTGTACTCATCGCGGATCAGGTGGGACAGGGCGTTGAAGTGGGGGAATTGCCAGGCAAACAAGATTGCACCTAGCAGCCATCCTCCAATGCTCTCTTCGCTGAAGAGCATGTCGCGCCATGTGTCATGGCCGATCGTCGCCGTCTGGCCTGCTGCGGCGATCCATCCCATGAGCGGTGGGATACCACCAACCACAGCGCCGACCCAGGTGTTGATTACGTGAATTCGCTTCAAGGGCGTGTATACAAAAGCATATAGGAAGATGTTGCTGGCAGATAGAGCGGTTGTTGTCGGGTTAGTTCCGATATAAAGGAGCGAGAGGCCCGTGACGGCAGTGCCAAGTGCGAAGAGCAGAGCTCCCCGGCGTGAAATAAGTCCGCGAACGATGGGGCGGTTACGCGTCCGGGACATGAGTGCGTCGTATTTCGGTTCGAACATCATGTTCAGTGTATTGGCGCTACAGCAAGACAGGAAAGTGCCCACCGTCAGGTAAATAAAGGTCAGGGTCGAGGTCGAAAGTGTGGGGAGTGGGGTCATGGCCGGGTCGAGGGCGAGCAGGGACGAGATTGGATACATCCCGTATGCGGAGGTGGTGGTAAGTACAATCAAGAAGGACAGCCGCGGTTTCGTCAGGGCGAGATATGCAGCCAACTTGCGGCGGATGGAGGTAGTGGGGAGTTTGGATGAGAAGTTCGACAGTTGCGCCGAGGCATCCAGCGGGAGGCTTTGTTCTGGTTGTCTGGTTGAATTGCTTTCTTCCTTCAAGCGCTTTCGCCGCCGATGTGGTAGTTCCTCTGGCGCTGCTTCTGTCGCAATCGCAGCGGACGACGCTGTTGCAGCCGAATTGACCTGACTGACATACGGATCGCTGGGAGACGAAGAAGTGCTTGGTTTGCTTTTCGCATTGGATGACGCAAGTGAAGACAGCAAACCGCCTTTGTTATTCGACCCGTCGTAAAGTCGGTTGGCCGAGAAATATGATTTGTGGAATACTGAAGGGGACTGGTCACCCGCAATCCCGGTCCGCCGTTTCGACGATGATAGGAACCCCCGAATGGCCTCGGGGCGCGCAGAACGAGGCCCGAAGAGGCATTGTGAGCACACAAGCGCCTCTCGAGGCCTCCGTAGAATGGATGGCCGCAGAGGGATCATGGCGGGTCGGTCATGCAGAAGGAAGAAAAGTGGACGAGAGAAGTTGAATTTCCCCGGTGGTGCACGGGCCACATCCGTTCATCTCGGAATGTCAACAATTCGTTCTTGAAGATGTCGCCTGACCTAACACCGACTACTCTTTTCCGGGGATTTTTCGCACTCACAATGGACATTCTTCAGAACTCCGTGATCAACCCTCTTCAGCCTTACTTGGCACCTATTGTTTCGGCCATCCCCGAGCCAGTGCACGATGCCGTTGTGTCCTTAATTGGAAAGTCTTGCCACGGTGCACTGCTGGTCGACCTTAACATCACCAAGGACCCTGCCTGCACATCACTCGCCATCTCCAAGGCCCTCGGTATTGCCATTGTCGGTGCCAGTGCAGTTGTTAAAATCCCGCAGATTCTGAAGCTGATCAACTCCCGCTCCTCTGCCGGTGTCTCATTCGTCTCTTACGCCCTCGAAACTGCCAGCTTGCTCATCACTCTCTCATACGGTGTGCGCAACCAGTTCCCGTTCAGCACCTATGGCGAAACTGCTCTCATCGCCGTCCAGGATATCGCTATAGGTGTCCTGGTCCTGAGCTATGCCGGACGCTCTGCCGCAGCCGCGGCTTTCATCGCCGTCGTAGCTGCCAACGTTTATGCGCTGTTGTTCGACCAGACTCTTGTCGATGCGCAGACCATGGCCTACCTGCAGGCTGGTGCGGGTACTTTGGGCGTTGCTAGCAAGGTGCCTCAGATTTATACCATTTGGCGTGAGGGAGGAACCGGACAGCTTAGCGCATTCACGGTACGATTCTCTTTGCTGCTTAACACCATCTCAGTCCAAATCCTAACTTATCCTTCTACTCAGGTGTTCAACTACCTCATCGGATCTATGTCCCGAATCTTCACGACCCTCCAGGAAGTCGACGACAAGTTCATTCTCTACGGATTCATTGGCGGTTTCTCTCTTAATGTGATCCTCGCAATTCAGATGCTCTGGTACTGGAACGCCCCGGCGCCTAAGCAGAAGGCTACTCCTCGCGCAAAGGCAGTTGAGAAGGCACCCTCAGCCCAGAGCACTGGAGCGTCCCCCAGGCCTAGCGTGAAGACACCTACCACCCGCCGACGAGGTTAGATAGCTCGGCTGTTGCTTCTAATCGTTTTGTTCTGGATTGGTTAAAATCTCAATCTTACCGTCCATCATTGGAATCATGCAATTATAGGAACGAGCTACGAGAAGTTCTATTCATGAAAAGCCGTTGACCAAGTAGAGCCGTAAACACAGACCATATGCCCGGAAGCGAGACTGTCAAGCGTCTAGAAATCGCGGGACTACGGCATGCGCCCCGTAGTCATATGTCTTAGAATCAGATCCAGCGGCACGAATGGCTGCACAGGATGCGGGTGATGAGGAGCAATATTGTACTCCAACTCAGCAGCACCAGGCTTCCGATGAACGCCAACAACATCCATCTCCTCCTCATCCCCATCCTCTTCCTCGCTCTCCTCCTCCGACCCATCGTCGTCCTCCAACTGCCTCCTCAACCCAGTAATGACATTCTCAATGCCAGCCTCGCGCTCCTCAAGCGTGAAATTTCCACCCCAATTCCTCCGCCGCGCTTCCTGATTCGCCTCCAGCGGTGCCCATTCCCACAGTTCCGCGAGCTGTGCTTCGCTCAGCGGTTTGTACGCGGCATCGGAGTCGGAGAAATTAGACGGCGGCCCTGCGGCGGGCTCTGTACCAGCTGCGCGACCGCGCGCAACCCAGTCTTCGACACGAGGATCAAGTTTTGTGCGAAGGAGTTGTTCGAGAATGTTTGCTTGTGTTCGGCCGGGATATTCTGGGCCTGGGTAGGCAACTAGATTGGAGAGGAGGTCGCGTTGGTCGGAGAGTTGGTCGGAGACGCTGGTGAGGTTGTGGGAGATGATGCTTGCTTGGGATTGGAGGGAGGTCCTGGGTTTCGATTAGTTTGATTCGTTAGAATATGAGTAGTTGTTGCATTTGGCTGCTAGGTCTGGGAATGGGAATGGTTGGAGGGGATGACAGAGAGCTCTTACCACGAGGGGAGAGGGTCGCTTTGGTTTAGACTTGCGATCAGCGAGCCTAGTGAGCGAGTGAGCTGCACGAGGCGCTGCCGCGATTGCTCGAGGACTTTGATTTGTTCTTGGGTGAGATTTGACATGGCGAGTTGAGAGCTTGGAAGGTCCAAGAGTTATGAATCCAATGGAGAGAAGACAAAAGTGTCGATCAATGGAACAGTTCACTTTTCTTACCACATTTCTCTTCAATTTTCTTAGAATAATATAATTTCGTCCATCACTACAATATTAGTAAAAAAGGAACTCGTCTAGTTTCTTCATTTCATATCAAAACAACCTAGTAAGGCAGACGAATGACAGCACTCAGGTTGAACCAAATATCGCCAGGCACTCAGCATCAAGCCCTTCAACACCTCCACTTCCCAAAATCAAAAACCAGAAAAATCACAACGCAGCTCACAGATCCAAAAAATAACCTCGCACTCGATCATTCCTCGCCCTATTGGGCCCTTGGACCCTTGGCAGTGCGTGCTGAAACGCCTGCAGAAGAGCCAACCAATCGACAAGAACGCTGGAACACCAAAGACTGTCGCGCAGAGATTATGTAGCCGATCTTCTCGTATTATCTGACGGTTTGGCTTGTGAAGGTTTTGTCTATTCAGTAGCTCATGCTGGACGGCTTGTCAATGCTATTTTAGGGACTGTGGTATGTGTTGTGTGGAATTTTAATTAAAAATTTTGTAGGTCGTGGAGGGGCGACGACTGATATAAAAGTCCTCTCGTCCTTCCTGGTGATGATAGATGTAATTTTTTGATGTCTATCTCCGTCTTACAATTTTTTTTTTGACATAGTACTATATTTTACCCGGAATGTTCGGCGCTAGACAGCTTTTCTCCATTTGATTATTCACTGTTGACTATACTATACACGCCAAAGACATGCAGACATTGAAGATGTCGGGGATATATCGACGCTATGGAGCAGAACAAATCCGAAAAACAAGAACCCAAACGCCATCAACAATGAGGTGAGCTGATGTCCTGATCTCATTACAGCCACGCCACCAACTGACTCTCCTATCCGTAGACAATTCATCAATGCTATACGGCAACAAGGTAAATACCACTAGGCACAAGTTGTCACAGCAATCACTGCCACTGCTGAGGGTCCTTTCGATCCGGTTCCAAGACCTGAGGGTGAGCAGGAGCCTCAGGATGTTGGCCCTTCTGATTCTGCTCAAACGTGTGAGTGTGACCAGGACCCTGAGCAAGTTCCTGCTGCGGCTGTTGAGCAGACTCCTCAATAATCTCCTGTGAGAAGCCGGGCTTATCGTGACCCTGGAAGTGCTGCTGGTACTGTTGGTCTTGGCCATGGCCATACGCAAGCTCCTGTCCACGGCCATCATTATCAACAAACCCGAAGCCTGCCCCTTGCCCATACCCGCCGGGGTTGTACATCTGTTGCTCAGCCCAGGCTTGCTGCTGCTGCACGCTGGTCGGCAATGCACCATTCCAATGATTGTATGGATTCGCCGCCTGGCGGCTCCGATGGGCCTTCTTGCGTTTATATCGGAAGAAGAAGAAGCAACATGTCGCTATCATCACGACAAGGATTAGGAATCCTATAACGGGCACGGCAATCACCACTGCCAGATCCAGCTTTGAGATTTTCGAAAAGGGTGTTGTGAGAGAGAGGCTTGAGGGGAGGAGGGATTGGGTGAAGATTCTTGTTGGAGCTATGTCGAAGGTCTTGCCAGTTACTGTCTTAAAATGGCAGTTGTAGCGGATGGACTCGAGGACTGCATTTGGATAATGGTTAGTGGTGGGGTTCTTTCCCTTCTGGCTTCGGATTCGCTGATATCACAGGGACACAGGAATCGGTTGCAGGGAATACGCACAGTTTGCCATGTAAACTTGAGAGGTTGTCAAGTTGTAGCAGAACTCGCAGGTGTTGACAACGTTATCTGCGAACGATGGGGCGTCACACCACGAGTCCAAATTCGACGTGTCTGGGTCTTCAATGTTGGTTTCAACTGCTACACGCACGCCGTCGCATGCAACTGGGCATGGTGACGAGAGGTTTGAAATTGAGTCTGGTGATCCAAACACACAGGTTGAAAAGGCGTAGCGCAGGTTATCTGACTTTTGTTAGATTTGAGCGATAAACCACAATCTGCGATCTCTGGCAGCTGGTACAACATACAGAGTCCCCAGTTCACATCCGACTCTCCAGTGTCCTCGTCGTTGAACTTGCTGTCCAACTGGCAGGAGACACAGTTTTTGAAACGTTCACCTACTGATGTTCGATTGTACGACTGATCCACACACGTAATCTCGGAAGAGGTGGTGTTGGTTATTGTGCCGCACACATCGGTGCAGGGTGAACCCTGTGTAGTTTTCAATCCGAAAACCACTGGAGCTGGGCTATTCAGCAAAATCACCGCCAAGACAAGAGGCAGCACCCTGAAGGACCTGGAACTGCCGTCGCTTAGCCCGAGCATGGTGAACCGGAGGAGAACAGAGAGTCCGAGAGCTTCTGTTCTTACAGCGAACGCCAAGAAGGTGGGATGAGAGTGGGCAGAGTGCCTGATGAAGCGATATCACGTTCGCATGTGAAACGGCAAACTGGAACTCAAGACTGGGAGTTTTTTCTTGGGGCGGGAAAGCTTCTTTTTTTCACTGCGAGCAGCTCTCGATCCCTTCCCGATGAATGTGACGGCCAGGTGGAGTGATTGAGTCAAAAAGAGCTCGCTGGACAGGGAAGTACTGCACAATCCAAGCACCTGCAGAGCTGCTAATGCTTGGGCGAAGCAACGGAAAGGATGCGCCGGTCAAATCAGGCACATTCGCTTGTCCCCGACGTTGGCCCTCGGCGCTTAGAAAACGCCGCCTACGGGCTGGTTGGTGACTGCACCCTGGCTGGGGAATCGAGGAACGGTTGGTGAAGATGAAGTGACCGCCCCGTCATCATGCTTGCAGTGGATGTCCTGCGGGTGTACAGAGTGCGATGGACTTTGGCGCTTGATTGGCGAGAGGCGGCTGTGACTGTGATACCGTCTGCATAATGCACGGACGGGCGCATATTCACCCCCTCATCAGAGTAAAGTCGCAAATTCCGGTCAGGACTTGTCGAAAGCAGGTGTAGGTATCCCTGGACCGTAGAAAATATTTTTTTGGTCGTTTTGATCTGCCAAGGGACCCCCCTCTTGCGAGGCCCCTCTAGGAGAATAGAGGACTTCGGATTTTTTGAAGCAAAAGATCCATATACACCGTACTCGGTATAGACACAGATGTACAGAGGCAAAAGTTTCTTTAAATTCTGTTCAAATCGTTTCGTTTTAAAAAAAATATGCAAAAACAAGCCACCATATTGCGAAATTAATAAAGTTGAGGCGAATCTGGTTCAACGAGCGACCACAGGGCATCCGAACAAGACTGATTCGAACAGGACTGATTGGTTGACAACCAAAAGAAAAACAAATTAATGAAAACCACCACCTCGACTTCTAGTTGATCATCTATTGTTCGGGAGATATCAACCATAAAGCTCATCGTAGGAAGGCACCATTTCCTGTCGAGGTCCAGACTCGGGTTCCCGGTGTTTTGTACGGGACGGGTATCTTTTCTCTGGGAAGGGCGGATGCTTTGGGGTGTTGTATGCAACGCGAGGTGTAGAGGATGGCATGGAGGAGGCAGAGATAGAGGACGAAGCGGTAAAGCTCGTTCGTCTCGAGTTGGTACCACCAGATGTAGATGCCGTGGGGTCTGTTGCACTACTTTGGAGGCTGCAACGGCACATGCGTGAAGTTACAGAGAGCGGAGGAGACTTGGCTGGGATATCAAAATTTTCGGGATCGCCGCGTGTTGTGGGCAACGTATCTCCGATGCCGTATTCTTGAGGGCTTAGTGCAATTCGTGGGCCCAGAGTATCTCGTTCTTCCTCTTCTTCGTCGCATGACTCATCAGTAGAGCATTTGTCACTGAAAGAGCGTGAGGGTCGGCGACTTGGCCCATGTCTGAGTCCACTGAGACCGAGTCCTTGGCTTGGTGGTGTATGAGATGGTGATGTGTGTGCACCTCTATCTCCCACGCGACGCCGAATGTTTTGGTCGAAATATCCAGTTGGAAAAGAGGGAACGTCTCCTGCTTGGTGTTCTCGGCCACCTGTGCTTTGCGATTGTCTGCTCGAGGCACTAGAGCTCTGCTGGCGCAATGGGTCACCGGGGAGATCTTGTTGATTTTCTTCGGACTGAAGGGTTTTCCTCGATGGATCTGTGGCAAACCCAGAAGCTTGATCCTACTGGTTCCAGGAGCCTTGCGTGGGATAAGTGATAGAAACATCACCCCATCGAGAGTGGAGTTCTGTGGAGACTCCTCGCTTCCTTTTGAATTTCTCCATAAAAGTTGCCATGGTCTTCAACCAATTTTTCGTCGGAGCTAGACAGGTGATGCGTTCAGAGTTCAAAAATGCCGACGGGAGGACAGATCACTCCCTAGTGCGGTGCTCATCTCAAAACGTATGAAACTCCCCACAGAGAGCATGGGTACTCTCCCCAGAGCGACAACTGAATGACAGCCAAGGGAAATGAGGAGATGGAAAAAGGTGACTAGGGCAGATAGATCGCCTGCGTGTCTTGAAGTTATATCAGAACAAGACATCAATGGAGACGCACTAGTCAAGCACTGCACCTCCGTTTATGGCCAAGAACAGCGATGATCTTCCGGATGAAGTACTTGATGGGGATGGCTGTAGTAGCGAACTGACTCAGCAAGTGTTTAGAGGCCCGGAAGAAGACCCGATAGCCTGGTAGCCCTCTGCTAGTGGACCCCGGGGCGGGATCCAAGAATCGACACAATGCTCTCTCCCTCTCCCAAAAACAACAGCGCCTCGATGGAAAAAAGTAAGGAGCGAAATACAGACCCAGCAGTTGGCAGGCTGGGGAATCCAGGCGAGTCATCGTTAATGAGAGGCTCCCGTCACTGCAGTGTGGGTAGAAAATGCAAGTGGGAGGGGTAGTTGCGATCCCTGTTCCCCTTGATCATTCTCCGTGGGATAGTTAGTTGTGAGGTGCGGCGTAGTCAACTTGCATGGACAGATTGACACGGGTCAGCCATAGGTTGCATCTATGTTGTATGTTGTAGTGTGTCTGTATCAACGTATTCTCGTTCTCTGTCGTCTTGGCATGGCGCTTGTCTAGCGATCTGCACTCACAAGACCGAAGACCCTTGATAGATGATTTGATTTAGGAATCAAGACTTTGAGTTGTAGATTCGTCTCCTGGATTCAGGGATCATGATGCAACAGCAGGTGTGATAGAGAGATTGAAGCAGCTTCTTCTCGACCAGTCATTTCCTACTGGTGACGAAGAAAAGATACCAGATGAAAGACAAGGATCAAACCCACCCCTCTCTCAACGCGATGACGTGCCAAAGAGCGATAAAAAGCACTGTTTCGCTAAGGCGCGCATCTGAATCCCTGCCATGAAGTGGAGTTGAAGGATCAATTTTCACGGTCGTCAATGGGCGTAGTGTACGGAGTAGGGAATAGAGCACACAAAGGTACCTTGAAGAATGTGCAGTTTCTGAAAGAGGAATCAGTAGAGACCAGGATAGTTGAGCCAGTTGGGGACATGTCGATGTGCCATCATAAGCGCCGAGAGTGACAGAAAAGGGGAACTGCTCGGGATGATCGATGTGCGGAGATACATCGCGCCAGTCACCTGCCAACGATCTATATATTTCAGTCCATCAGTCCATCACTTGGGGATTTTGGTATTTTTTTTTTCAAAATTGCAGAAAAATTCGAAAGGATTTTTTTTTTAAGATCTCAAGAAAGCAAGAAACCACCCCGTCACATTTTCCAAAAAAAAGAAAGCGCCATGTCGTGAAAGTCGTAAAAACAAGAAAAACAAGCCCAAGCCACTGTCACAATCTCAACGAAAATTGGTGATCAGCCGCGACAGCACGGGCTTAGGTTTTTTTGGGACGGCCTGGGCCGTCGGCGTTGGCTCAGATGCACTCCTCTCCCTCCCGACCCTCCTATCCCTGCGGTCTTGTCTGGTGTTCTGCTCCGGTGGGGGTGGTATCCCTGCCCGGTGCCTCGACGAATTTAGACCAGCCACAGGACCAATTGGAGGACCGTAGTCGGCCATTGAAATTGGCCGGGAGGTTGCTAGCCTGGCGTCACTGTAGTGAACCGCACTCAAGCGGGAAGAGGGACCGGGATGAGGATTGGCATGATTGGTGGGGTTATAGGTATAGGGGTGGGCATTTCTCTCGCCCACCATGGATATTGGTCGAATAGGTTGGTATCTAGATGGATCATATGTTGGCAGTGTGGGGTATGCTGGGGGTTGATCGTATGAAGGACGAGACAGTTGATGTTGGTACTGTTCCACGTGCTGGGCCTGGCGACTGTAGTCTGGCGCAAAGGAAGACAAGGGCCGGGGTTGGGAGTGGAGACCTCTGGAAGTGTCCAGCTCCGCTTTATAGGCTGGTGGAGGTGGGAGAGGAGAACCCTTCTCTGATTGTCGGGCATTTCTTCTCCGGGCCCGTTCTTTGCGCGAGAAGAGATATAGTAAGCTTCCAGCCACTGATTCAGGTTAGCTTGCTTCCAGGGTGACTCCAGCTAGGGCTACATACTTGCTAGGAAGATGAGGCTACCAGCTACCGCACCAATGATGATCACGGGGGTGCGAGAAGAGTAGTTACCAGAGCGGGGATCAAGAGAAGAATTAATTGACATAGCCCAGTATCAATCGTTGAACGGGGGTGTATGAGCCGGGGAGGGCATCCAGAGTATATCTAAAATGAAACAAAAGAAGAGAAGTTAAGACAACTTTGCCTTCCCAGTCTTGTATTATGACCAGTGATGCAAATTGATTCTCAGTCCTGTAACCCGATGCGAACAATCCATGATTTTGAAACTGCGAGGATGTAGATATATGAGATCCTGAAACGCGTGAAGGAAGGTTAGTGCCATTCTGACACACGGTCCCTGTTTCAAAGATATTTCGAGCGACTCGTGGGGAAAGTAAAGATAGGATCAATTAGCTATAGATAGATTTGCCCGAAGCTGACCATAGTAGCCAGCATTATGCAACATAGAGAGGAACCTGCGTTAGGTGGATTTATCTGGCGTGCTAGGCCCTCGTAAAATGTGCCCGAATTTCTAAATAAAACCTGCGCTGCATCTGTGAGATCACATCGCATCTGGCTGGCCCGAAAATCTTTTTTTGTACATTGACTGGGTCATCCAAAGCGCCTTGGGATCAACAAATGAGATTGTTGAATCCAACACCACTGGACGGAGATCGAGCGTATAAATGAAAAGGCACCGCTTGTTCCCCAAGGATGATAGAAGGTCAGATGGATGTTGATCAGTTGCCAAATGCTTATGCAGGCATAATTTAACGAGTCTCTTCCCAGGTAAAGGAAAATCTCACAGGCCTTCAACACCTACAAATGTGAGACAACGTACGCCCTACTTCAATCTTCTCATTCCTGATTTTCAACGTGTTCTCTCTCTCTCTCTTTTTTTTTAATTTTTTTTTAACAGCTCCGATCAAATTTGTCCTTACATTTATACCTTGCATCGAAAATGACTCACTGAAAATCCCCCACCTGAGCCTCTTACAGCCAACTTTTACTCCGCATACGCCCGATAAACAGCCATGCCCTTGTCCGTCACAAAGTCCAATGCAATACCCTGGCCCACAAAGAAAACGTATCCTTCCTTTACCGCAGCGATTGAATTACCAGGGAATTTCATTTGGCCACTACCCTTGGTAACAATCATCAGACTCGGCCCCAGGATGGCCTTGTGCGTCTCGCTCTCCCCTGCGCCAAGGGTCGTACATAATACCGCAAATTCATTGATAGGCGGTGCATAGACATCCGTCTTGCCATTCAAGCCCTTATCACTCTTTCTGCGCGGCAGCAGCGCATCCTGCGCATTATGCGGCACAAAGCTCAAAGCCTGTCCAAACAACTCGACGCTGTCGCGATCTGCAGCCGGACAGAACCCTGTATTGATGACATTGTCAGACCTCGCCATGCATTCAACAATATCACCCTCGAGGTAGGCGTGGATGCTGTCTGCAGGGACGAAGACGGAATCTCCCGGTCCCAGGGTCAAGTAGTTCATCAGCAGGGCGGCGACTAGGTTTCCGTTATCGCCTTCGCCGTATTGCTTTGCTAGCCGACCGAGGAGACTGGGGATATAGGTGTGTGCACCAAACTGGGATTCCGGAATGGTTTGTAGGTCTTTCATTGTCTGTGCCACTTCTTGAGGCGGTATGCTAAGGAGAGCCTTGCATAACTGACGCAGGGTTTCGTCGTTGAACGGTCCGGATTTGGGAATGTACTTTGCCAAATGATGCAACTCGAATAGCGCTTGGATGTCGTTTAGGGGCTTCCAGCCGGCAAAGAGCTCGAATTTGGAGAGTGCAATCGCAATCTCTGGCTTGTGCATTGTGTCGCCATACTTTTCCGGGTGTTCGTTGTGTAGTTGTGCGGCAAGCTTCAGGTCTGGGTGAATTTGGAGGGGTAGCGCTTTGCTGAAAGAGAGAATCTGGATTGGTGTTAGTTTCTCCACGTGGCCATGCACTCTATGATTCCTGGCTTTTGCGCTTGCCTTGGGTAGAAACGGAATCTCTGGGCCCCATCGGTCGTGGACGGACTTGCCCACGAGCTCGGGGTGCTTCTTCAGATACTCCCCGAGGTGTTCGCCCGTGGAAAGTAGATACGATGGGTTTGAGGGGTATGTACCTAACCACATCTGTTCAAAGGTCAACCTGATTGTGGCTTATCGTAGTCAATAATTCTGACGAGACGCTTACTTCTGAATAATGCTTCGAATCGTCAATTGCTGCGGTGTTGGGAGTTTTAGACCATAACTGAGCGACCACAGATTCTTTGCCTTTCTTTCCCCAGTCGTCGTTCTGTTGATCCGGGGCAACTGATCAGCATGGATGGAGAATGTCGGGACAGAAGGTACTTGCCTTGACACCACACCGAAGTTGGACTACTGCGTCTGCCATTGCTGTCAAGATGATAGTGAGATAGGAAGTTCTGTTGGTATTCAATGTTCAATTGGACGACCAGGTTGTTTCAAATCGTTTCTACGTGGGATTTTCTACTGGGGCAAAAGACGTGGACATGCCGTCATGGTGAGATATTGAGACTGTCGCCTCAGGCGCTCAATTCGTTGACAACCGCTCAGGTCCAACTCGAATTTTATGATCGAATGGGGGATAATCCACCAATTGGAATGCTATGAAAAAAGTGTTTGAAGTGCACGCCACTGAGCGGCCAAGATTGAGCCAAGCGCAAATTTCAAGTTCAGAAATGAAGTAGGATGAACTAATCTTCAAACGTAACTTACCAAAGCTACAGTTATCAAACTTTACGCAGAGTAAATCGATGAAAAGAAAATAAATGGTTTCATTCTGAGGCGCTTTTAAAAAGGCCAGTAACCATCAAAAGCATCCAACACCGTGCAATGATGCGCAAGAAAATCACACCCCAAAAGAGCCGAAATCACAAGATACCCATTTATCCATAGAGATCATCAGGGTCAGGAACCATGGTCAAGGTCATAGGCTTCGAGATTGAAGAAGCCCTCTGACCATCAGCCGCAACAAACGGTGACGTTCGCCGTCGAGGCGGCAGCCCATAGTTACGCCACGAGCCAGAGCTGTCCGAGCTATCACGAACGCTGGTAGAGTGCAGACCGCAAAAGTCGTCCTCATGGCAGGTACTCCCTCCGATGGTTGGAGTGTAGTGGTCGCGATCGCGGCCGCTGTATCGCCGCTCACTCGACTCGGACAACGAGTGGGGTGTGCGGAGCGAGTTGACAGATTGGCTGCGCGGAGTCTCAGCGCCTGAGCTTTGAGGGTACCGTCCATTGGTCGGAATGTACTTGAACCGATTGCTGGACCGATTAGTCGATTCGACTACTTCAGAGGTGTAGTCTTGATAAATTGGTCGATATGCAAATTCATTTCGCTTTTGTTCAGACCGTTGGGCGTCTCTTTCCACCTGGGATTCGCCCCGCAGTGGTTTCGGACGTGATGCGAGATGCACCGAGAGCCGGCCCGGTCGCAGGCTTTTGAGAGATAGGGAGCTCCGCCACGAGACTGTTGATGCTTCACTGCAAACACTTCTGGCGTCGTCGTCTGGGTCCTCCTCTTTCACTGAGCGGGGATTCCGACGGTCTTGCGGAGAGCAGTCGGGCACGTAGCCTGGCCCATATGCTGATCTCTCCGTAATGGGACGATGGGGATTGTCATATTGATTCCATGAGCCATCTGTAGGCACGGAGATGGACACATCTCCCCATCGAGCGTGGAGAGGCTTTGAAGAGTCTGTCTTGCGGAAGAGAGAAAGAGGCCCGTTGACGAGTCCCGCCATGATGGTTGGGAGGTAGTTGTGTGATTTCGATTTGTACTGATCTTATCTCGCTCCCCAGGAGAAGCAATAGATGACATTCATCCAACGGGGGAGGGGAGTTCTAGGATAAAAAATCCCACGGGGGAACCGTAGCACAGGGTCGATATTAATGTGTTCAACAACCGGTGATAACGACCAGCCGATCCGTTTCGCAAGTTGGCAGAGTGAGAAAGGTTTGGTGGCTTTGACCGCAAATCTCTTTCTGCAATGGTCCGGAAATACAGTGGCAAAGGCCGCGGGTTGGATAGTAGCCAGGATGGCTACCAACAAGGGTCTTGAGGGGCAATGGAGGGGTCGCCAACAAACCCAATCCTTGTCCTTGTCAATAGGGAAGCTGAACAGAACAATGGGAAAGCAAATCAAAGCAAGTGGGAATCCGCCAGGGACTTTGGCCAAGTCAGTCTGAAACCTGAGGGAGGAGAGAAAACCTTCATCTCGGCGGAAGGCGTCCGGCTATAAAGCTTGGTCTCAAGAACGGTGCCACTCTACGAGATATGTAAAGCGCTTTGTGCCAGCTGTTGGGTGTTTCATTCTGTAGTAGTCAACGCCACCGACCAACAAGGCTGGTGCGTTACCGCCGAGAGGCGATGCAGAGATACGCTTGCGCTTGACAAGGGGGGGGTGAAGTTCAAATGTTCCTTAATTAGTTCCCAAATCAACCACTTTGTGTCTAAAAATAGATGTCAATTAGCTGCCATTTAGATTCCCTACTTACGGGCAGCTTGCACAATGTACCTTTCGAAAAGCATTCGTCCATTTCCAATGCTTTCGATCTTATTTGATCTCTATTTCAAACGTTAGAAAGAAGTTCTGTACGGTCTTACGTCTCCCTTTGAAACGGGTGATCTATCATTCAGTTAGCAATTCAATCATACCTCGTTTCATAGATGATGAGCAATTACTTCCGAGGGTATGTGAGATACATGCAGGATGCAACACACCATGAATAAACGCGGCTAATGAATGATATTAATAGCAACTCATATCAGTAAGAGATAGGACTTCAGATCTCTTTAGTACGGGTGATTTCGGGATACCTGCCCTACTCTGGGGCTAGAATTTGGATTGCATCCAAGCATCAAGTACGAGTGCGGAGCCGAAAGTCACACCCAAGGCCGAGTTTGATCCTCTTAGTGAAGCTCAAGGCAAGAAATAAGAACATGGTGATAGACACGCCTGTGGAGTTCCTTCCTTGTCCTTTTAGTCCGGAGGGGTAAATTCAGCTTCCGTCGAAAAGGAACTGGACTAGAATAGAAATCCGACCCCAAGTATTTATTTCCTGGCAGTGGAGAAAACAGAACCAATCCCTCAACGCCCCCATTATGCTTTGGATCACGTCGTAGGGCTTCGTCATCGGCACCAGCCTTGGGTGCTGCACAGCCCTTATTCGAGTCGTGATTGAACTTGATCGCCCTCTCGGATTATGCAGACCACACCACCTAAAAAGACCACAGAAGAAGAATGAGCAAAACAAGTTCGTTAGTCCTGACATCGAACAACCCCTAATATCATCCGAGGCCAAATACAGGCACCAGGTTGTTGATCTTGCAGAGGCCGTATGGGTGGCCGACCAGTTTGGTGTGTTGTGAACAAAGACCCCAGCATACCTTCGTCGCCTTCAGGCAACGGTCCACATTCGGTATGGGACACCATCATCTCTCTCAGCCGTGAAGTAAGCTTGACTTTAGCTGTTTCTCTCGTCTAACAATAAATCTAGCCCAACATCATCTAAGATTATATGCATATGGGTAGAACAATTCCGGTTTGTCATGGAAAAGAATCGGTTTCTGACACGATAATGAAAAGGAGACAAATTAATCTTTTTTTCACCACGATGAGCTCAGCCACTTCGACCATCTCCTTGAACCCAACGGTTCTCACGGTGTCTCTCTCCCATGTCTACCCTCGACAGTCGGCCAGAAGCAATATTCCATCCCAACAAGCCCGGAATCTTGGAGGCAGAGCCCCGAACACCCTCGCACACGTGGAATCAGGTCATTTTGAATCGGTCAGATATCTTCCATGTCACCGGTCTCGACAGAGGTCTTGTCTTCCTTACTGCCATCTTTGTCGTCTCGGCTGCCGTTCTCGGCGTCGTCTTTGTTGTCCGAGTTCTCCTCGTGCTCAGGTTGAGCCATTTGAGCCAAGTCTTCATGGTCCTTTATGAACTCCCCGACATCCTTCAGGAGGCGACTCATCTGCATGCGGACAGCATCCTTGGACTTGCCCAGTACCTTCCCGATTGCATAATAGTCAAACTAGAAGAAAACACGGTCAGTATAGATCATGACGTGAAAGCATGCGCGAACCGAGCGGGAGGTGACAGACCTTGGGCTCACCACTCTTGATAGCGTGGTAGAGAAAAATTTCATTTTGGGTAAACTCTTTCTTCGGGGTAGCTCTGGTCTTCTTGACCTTGGACTGAGACACGGCATTCGCTGGCTCCTTTCCCTTCTTTAGTTGAGAGGCCATGGTGAGAAAAATGGTTGTGTCTTGGTGCAAGGTAAGGTGAGAATGATGATTTTTGAGTCTTTCAGATGAAAGATAAACAGAGTGTGGGAGTGAATGGAGAGAAGAACAAAATAAGAAGTCGAGACTTTGAAGCAAACATTGTTAGTACGGAAGTCTTCAAGCAAATGCGCAGACGTCTTGGTGTAATCAGACACATAAGATACGCGTACTACGAATATCCTAGCAGTTACATCAGGTCTGATGCCGAAGTGAGGCTAAGGTAATCCCCAGGTGAATCGAACAATGCTGATACCATTGAAACGAAAGTCCAAGCTTTTTCTGGCCTTTTCAATATCATACTCTTCCAAGATTTGCCCATAAGGACTCGACGTTGTCTATGATGTGACGTGAAATCTCCTCGTAGCGACGTAGCATAAACGGGTAGATTCTTCGAGGAGGGTTCAAATGCGGTCCCTTTTGCTGATTAAAGCTAGTCACAAGAGTTCTATATCTTCAAGAGCTGTCTGCCGCTTCAGTTAGATGATCAGGATCCTCAAAACTCAGGAATGACTTGTCTGGTAGCCAGGTCTTTAGCACCGGCGCAAAGTCGGAATTTGGTACCGGGAATCTCTCATCAGGATGATGAGCAGGGAACTCCTCCAACAAACATTTCATTTAACTTTTCTCACAGCTGCTAGGGGATAGAGACGAAGAGGAAATATTCAAGGTCTGACAGTAATGGCAGACTAGGACGCGAGCAAGGACATCGTAAGAGCCCACTGATTTTTTACGGTATCACCCTAGCTTCCATGCTTCTGAGAGCTGTGCTGAACAATTTCATCAAGCCTGTCTGTGATGTAGCGTGTTCATAATAAACACACTGAGGATAAAGATGGGCAGTAATAATAAGAGTAAGAAGCTATCCAAAACCTCTCCATGGAGAAAAAGAAAGAGAGGAATTGTTTCTTCCAAAAGCGAACTCAGCATGAATTTTATAGCCATTGAAAACCTGATATCCCAGGCATCAATAATCGACAAAAATCTAACTAAATTGCTAGACAATGAGATTGACAGTAGTCTCTGAAAAACAGATTATGTTTGTTCAATTTACGGTGTCTCATGGTATTGGGTGAACAGGGAACTACTCAACGTAGGACTCTGTGTGCCACCATCTTTTAGACCACCTGGGGTGACATTTTTAAACTAAAGCCCTACTAAGTTAGATGTAGATCTAACCTTGGAAGAGTCAGATTCCACAGAAATGTGAGATGAGAGTAAGAGATGTGTTCCGTTGTTACATGTCGTCTGCTTCTCCTTGCTTCTTTTGAAATCATCAATGAATATTAAAGATCTCGGTGGGTGCCACAGTTCTCGGCGACTTTTTTCTCGTTAGTTTCCCCATCCTCCACGTTGGTATCCTCCTCAACGGCCTCGGCATCGTTGGCAGCAGTCAGCCCGTTCTCAGTTGCTGCTTCCTTGTTGATCACGGAAGTTCCCTTCTTGCGAGGAGTCCCCTTGGGCCCCCTCTTCTTAAAGCCATATTTCTGTTGCAAGCGAATAAGTCGCATGCGGCTGGCTGCCTTGTTGATGCCAAGTGTATTGGCGGCAGCGTTGTGGTCGACCTGTGGATAGTGTTTGGTCAGTATGATTCTATGTTCGATGTATATTATACGTTCAAGTTATAAATGACCTACCTTCACGGTATCAAGAAGAGTCAAGAGAAACTCCTCATCACTGGTCTTGGGGACCTTTGGCTCGGTCTCCTCCGAGGCCTCGCCGTCGCCCTTTTCTGGAGCCTTGAGATTGAGCTTGATCTGAGCCTGGGCCGGCTCCTTGCCTTTGTCCTTCGAGTTGTTGTTTGAAGGAGCCATGATAAAGGTTCAGTGGTTGATTGATGTAGTGAGCTTCTGATGTGATGGATGTAATGATGAAAGGCTTGGGTTAGTTGTATCAAAGTCTAAGAGATTTTGTATTGAAGAGAAGAAAGGAACTGGGAAGAACCATCCATTGGAGGGGCTTTTTAGACGTTTGGACTTGGATCAAACGCGCGGGGATCAATAAATAGAGTACTAATTTGTGGATACCGTATCAATGCGACACTTCCAAATACGGTGCTTGTTAGATGCCCGTAAAATGGCAGTCTGCTTTGCACTATCTGTATTTCGAATACGCCAGCAATAACACATGGTTTGGAACCTACACTAACCCAGAGTAGCCCCTCGAGGGCAATGAATTCTGACAGGGACTTGACTAGAGCAGACCTACACCCTCCAATTGATCCCGTTGGCGAGACGTTGCTGGTGACAGGTCCCTTCTAGGAGACTTGCGAATAGTGTGCTTCCATTAGGCAGGTATGTTCTTGCTAGTTCTATGTCAAAGTCCTCTCATATTCGAATTTGACATCGTGGACATGCCCTGCAATCGGAAACTCTACTAGTGATCATAGTCTCTCAAATGATTGTCGAACTCAACACGGCGAACTCTAGGCGGGCAAAACATGATAACAGCACTCACTTTCATGCTTCTCCCTGATATTCGCTAACTGCTTAGTCTGGTGGTTTCATCTTGGTAACTGCATTTCCTCGGTGCGAGGTTTACTCTCTATTGTTTTAGGACCTGAGTCGAGTTTGGTCGCAAAGACAGTCGTGCATAGAGAAGCTACGGCGACGACATTCGGACAGACAATCCCGGGTATCTCACCTCTTCAAGCATCTGAAACAGTTTGGATTAACTCTCTACATTGGATTATTAACTGTTTCACAAACAGCCTCTAGAGCTGAGATCCATGGAATCTTTAGGAGTCTAGAGCCATGATCCTGCGTGTGACGACATGTGAAGTTTTGAGACAACCTTGACGACAGTAGAAGTGCCGTATTCTCAGTATAAGAGGGGACTAGTAGTTCAGCAGGATCCTGCAATGATTTAATATGAAAATAATGCGAGTCATGTAAATACCATGTGTCGGATTGAGGCTCTTGCATTTCGGCTGCAGGGTTATCCCGAGGTCCCCATATGTGCTCCACTTTTAACCTTAATCTCAGATCATTGATTGGGTACTCTTTTAGACAGTTCAAACTCTTGGCTTCAATATTTTTGCGGAGGATCAACAGAGTTGAGGGTTGATTTCATTCTTTGAAATCTAGCGATATATTTGAGGATTCATGTCCGGGGCTAAGCACATGACTACTATGAATATAGCCTGAGGTGCATCAAGTGGAAACGTTCCTTTCCCATGGTTTCACGCATATATAGCGATCTGTCTGCGCAATTACGATGTTCTTCAGTCTAATTGTCAACTTACTCTAGTGTGTCGCATTCTAAGTGTAAATTTCAATGCACGATCTCGAACTCCCCCCTCCGATCAAAGCCAGAAGCGCCGGACTGTTCGTGCAAAATACCCATGAAATGCAACAATCACAAACTGCACCTTAGCTCTATGTAGGTACTATCAAGTAGCCATTTCCTGCCTTCATAATAAACCGACCTCGACCACTGTTCAGCCTCATGTTGATGTAAAGTCCCACCCCTGTGAGTGGTTATTTGATTCAAGAGATGTGGCTAATTGTCTGCTGTTCCTTTTTCGTAACAAAGGCCAAAATACGAATAATGTTTCGCCTTGAAAACTTACCGTTTTAGCATCTGTTCGGGTTGAAAATGAAAAGAAAAAGAAGACGTTAAATAGAGATAGGGCATGGAATGCTTCGATTCGCATGTTCTCAATACACCGCTTATTTTGTTCTAGATCTCGAACTGGTTGTAGTCATATGAATTAGCTCGTCAGAAGCAGAATGTTAGAAGATTGTAAATCCCAAAGTATCACGCAGACCCAAACTCTAACGAAATCCAGTTGAATGAAGCTACACCATGACCGGTAATCCATTTATCTCGCATGATATACAGCAGTGGGAACTGGAGCCAACAAATTCCAATATCTTGAATCCTTGCCGCCACTGTAAGCTGCGCATAAAGCGCAAAATCAGTCTTTTGCGCAAGTTCAAACTTCAATTCACATCATATGTTGCGGACTAAGTTAGGCGCAGCAGTAAGTGGCGAGGAACAAGCCAGTCGCTCAGCTACTCAGAGATTACTGAGGGGAGGCCGAGGGAGGAGGTCGAGTAGGGGCGGGCAAGCCGGTGGAAGCTACGTGGAGCTTCGAGAAGGGAATCGAGAAGGGCAGGTTAGCCGGGAACTGGTGCTTCTCAAAGCCGCCGGGGATACCGGTGGGGGCATGTAATTCCGAGGAAGGAGTGCCAGTGGGAGTCAGGAAGCTACTGGGAGGCCCGTTGAAGGGAGGTTCGCGGTGAAAGTGTCCCCAGTCAAACTGGTGCATGTTGAAGGGGAGACCGGTGGGTGCGGGGAAGTCAGTAGGGAAACCACTGGGAATGCCGTTGGGGAAGCCCGAGGGAGGAACACCAGTGGGTGACTGGCGCTTGTCTAAGGGGTAGCCAGTGGAAGTGCTAGTGGGAGTTCAGCTATTGCAGCTACTGGATGGGGCGGGCGCGTAACCGGGGGAGCCGGTGAAAGGAGGAGGACCATGGGGTAGAGCGAGGGTACAGCCCATGATTCTCATGGCAGCGATGCTGGTGTACTTCATTGTGATGGGCATGGATTAATTGGGAGATAAACCAGGGAAAATAATAAAGAAATTTGGACGAAAACCAGACTCAGATCTAAGCGTGGTGAATCAAGGACAGATCTTGTGGTTCGGAGATAAGTTTCGGGGGGGGCTCATAGTGGGTTTATAAAACTGCTAGTTTTCTAGCTTCGTGATCTTGGAGCTTGATCCTCTGCCGAAGTGGATTCCGTGATCACGCCATGACTTCAATGCCGTTGCAGCCTTAGAGGCTAGGCAAGCCGGAAGATAGGCTGCCAGGGTGACTATAATGACTCAAAACAGTAGAGCAGGGCATCTGGATCCTTGAGGGACTTTAGGGTCGGCAAGGACCAGGCACAAAACACCCGTGGACGGGTAGATGTGTATGACCTGGGGCTAAGGTACTTCCTTTCAAGCTTTCGCCGGCCAGCGAACGTAAATAAGGTAAAACGTGGTTCAGGTGCTCTCAATGAGGCAGGTATCAACGGTAAGGTTGAGCTACAGACGCCACGTTCAGATAACCAAAAAAAAATGCGCCGATTTTCTTCCGCGTGCAGGATGGCATAAAAAGCAAATCAATGATTGTCGGGATCGTCTGACCGTATCATGCCTTCCTTCGGATCCTTCGTGCCTGAAAGTCTTGCGACGTGGTAATCGTGCCAAGCGCCCAACACACCTTCGTGTATAAGGTGTGTTGGGCACTTGGCACGATTACTTCCGAGAGTTTTCCCTCGGCTGCAGGGCGCCTGGCGCAAATTGCCTCTTTATTGAGGCCGTGGTATATCATGTCCGAGATGATGTGCTCATGCTTGCTTTTTCCGGTATCAACACACTTTGTCCGTAACAAGCTTGTCGTTTGTTTTAAGTGGATTGATTTCATCACACTGCGCGTATCAGGAAGGCCGATATAGAGCCTGTATTATGATGTGCTGGATGTCCACGGACGAGAGTGGACTCACGTTGGGTGGAAAAGTATGGGAGAGCCACTGATTGATAAGTGAGGACCAAAAACCTCCGCCTGATCGGCGAAGTGGAACACTTTTGATCCAATGTTTCTGAGTTGGGAACATTTACTCCATAGGCTGGATTTGGATCCGCAATGGAGACGCGCTCAGGATGACTCAAATTGAGAGTCTCCCTATTGAAGACTTGTGATACGTTCCATTGAAATACAAAAAGGACCGCCTGGTTCTACACAAGTTCGAAAACATAGAGACACAAGCCGCAATCTTGAAGATGGCCTAGAACGTCGGTTGATGGCCGCGTCGTCGTCAGCACTGAGGTGAAAAGGGTCCAGCTGGCCCACAATGGACCCCACAATCGACGTGAGGAGTGGAAACTGCCATTGCACTGACACGTGTGCGGAGTAAGTATCCATGGCCCATCGAGGTTCACTGCCATTGTTTCTTGATATACTTTGGACTTCGCACAACACACTCCACTATGTAATTTCTAGTTGGCTGTACACCAAGGTCGCCATGCAGTGTTTGTGACATTAAGCTCGCTCAGCGGCATTTTCTCGGGACTTGTGCTGAGGGACAGCCTAAGGGCAGTCGCTGGAGCCTCATATCAACCCTTGAATGCAGACTAAGATATCCCTGCGTAACTTGGATATAGCAAGTTAGCCGTTTGAAGGTCTAAACCCAAGCTCCAATTGTCGGGGAATTCAATACCCCACGGCGTGAACGTGGAAAAACTCTCCACTATACACAATAAACCGCCGTATACATGACATAGCTTGTAGGCAGCAAAAACGAAACGGAATGAAAAGAAGCAAAACCAGCGAGTCTAGCGGATTCGGTGGGCTAAAAACCCAACTCAAAAAAGGGATACCCAAGAGGCGGTCTAGTTTAAGAACGCCGGATTCAATGTACAAGGGGACGATATTAAATCGAGTCAAGTGATACAATGGATACTTAAGCAGCAGGGATACAAAATCACAGAGTCGACAAATGTCAAAATTCCTTTCGACCCAAGTGTCCTACATTGTGCGAGGCAAAAGGTCTGAAGTCTGCTGCCCGCGACTCCTGAAGAAACGAGAAGCAGTGTATTATGTACGGTTAATTGTACATTCTTCAATGCAACTGCTTGCTCGCTAGAAAGTCAGGCGAGCTCGGATGAAGCGTTGGCGTTGGAGTCATGCTGAGCAGATGGCAGGACGAAGGTGGTACTGTCATGGAGAGATTGCGAGCCAACGGCGCGTAAGCCTGCTTAGGGGAATTTCGATGAGCTGTGGCGGAAAAATTATAGGCTGGGCAAGAAGAGAATGAGGATCGTCGGGACCGGACGGAGCTACGGGGTCCGTGGCTCCCAGGTGCTGCGCCAAATGAGGATGACTCCGAAGACGCTCGGCACCCTGCTAGTTTGGGACGAAGCATGTGTGGTTGTTCGAGCTCGTCATCGCTGCTTGATCCGGTGTCGAAAATTGCTCCATTGGTAAAAGATACCGAGGATGTGCGGCGGTGGGTCCTTACTTGGGTTGGCATGAAGATTGACTCACTCGACTGCGAAAGAGACAGGTTCTCCAGTGAAACAGTACTTCGTGCCTTTCTAAGTTCCCGGGCTGCCTGATGCCGTGATCTCGCGCCCGAGTGCCTCTTTTCAGCCTCGGGGCTGTAGGATCCTCTTCGCCTGTCGCGATACCGTCCCCTTCCATTGCTGTCTGCCGAGTCAATCAAGTGACGGCAGTGGTTTGGCATACGTAGATCAACCTGGCTGGGACTGAAGGCTACCCGGGCCCGCATGTTTTGAATTGCATTATCGAGTGCCAGCTCAATAGCGCAGTGGTTTCGGATACGGCTTAATCTAGGCCATGTCGCTCGCTCGCCACTTAGGCATGCTGATAGCATGAACTCCGGTGTTGGGTTCTCCAAAAGGCGTGGGAAGTTGGAAGAAATGAGTTCTGGATATATGTTTATGTCTCCGTAATATTTTTGGTTCACAATAGAGGCAAACTTGGTCATTGATGTTGGGAAAACTCCAAGTTCAGAGAGAACATTCACCCGATGCAGAATCTCGTCCTTAGCGAGATGTGTCATTGTGTTCATCCATCGAGGGATGAAAGATTGGCCGTCCTTTGTCTCATCCTGTGGGCCTATTTCCTTTGGAAGAAATGGCACCACGTGGGGGTTAACCTGGGAGACAATGAAGTGATTCACATTAAACATCTCTGATAACCGTGTCATCGGCAGATCTCCATCGACAGAGCCATCGATATACTGTCTGTGAAGGTCATTCCACGGGACCGGTTCCCCTGTCAACGGATCTTTAGCCATCAACGTGAATGGTCTAAAGACAAAGGGAACAGAGCATGATACCGCCCTTGAGAGATGTTAAAATGGGTTGAGGGAATAGGGGAATGGAGACTTACACAGCAGACCAGATCAACACATTGGGCGCTGAGATGTAGTTCAACAGCCGTGGAAGCTCATACATGCCGGCACTAGACACACAGATATTCAGAATTCTGCGAGTGCGGTTATATGCCTCCTGGAAGGTCATATCTCCCAGCCAGTTCCTGATAGTCTTCGCCAAGTGAGATATGTCGAGAAATGATCCAAACTTGAGAAAACGAGTCATCTTCTGCAGGATGTTTTCCTCTTGGCCTTTTTTATTGAAGACGGCAAAATCACCATGTATATAGGTATCCAAAAGTGCCGGCAGCTCTTCATCTGTGCGTGTGCAAAATACTGCGCACACAATGCTACCGGCAGACGCACCTGAGATGATTCGAGGGATCATTTTTGCCTCATAGAGGGCCTTGAGGACCCCGATATGGGTCATTCCAAAAGTGGCGCCACCGGAAAAGAGGAGCGCACTGCGGCCAAATGCCTGTCGAGCTGCTAGCAGCTGGTCCAGGATGTACTTTAGTTCCAGCCCGTCGCAGCGATCATGCACTGACAGGTCCACCAATGTGGCGATGGTCTCCAAAGCTGTGGTGATATACCTATCAATCAAGTTCTTGGTGCCGATGTGCGAATGGCGATAGAGAGAGGCATTGCTCATATGCGCCAGGTCCCGACTCAGCGCAGTGCGCACCAGAAACAGCATACGGCTTACGTCGCAGCTGATGCGAGCATCTTCCAACTGTCGCAATCGATCCTGTACCAAGCGAGGATCATATTCGGTGGACTCGAGTGTCTGTTTCCAGGCGTTGTTGTTCTCTAGTTCATCCAGTTCAATGGCACAACTTCGCCATTCCTCGTACGACACGGCCTGCAGCGTAGGGGTTAGAAAGGGTCGCTCTGCAGATATTATCGCCCGTCCCAGGTACACCGCATATACTTACATTCTTAATTTTAAGATATAAGACTTGTTTGCGGTCCTCTATGCCTGCCCTTTTTTTCCGTTGTTCCTCGGAGAGACCATCACGGTAGCTGTATAGAGAGTGGCCGGCCCAATTCCACGAATCCTTCATGAGCGATGATACAGCTGGGATGGATGGTGTTTTACGGAGGGGCCGTGGAGGTGAGGGTTGGGATAAAGGGCGTTCTTGGGAGGGTTTCGGGTCATGATGGCACTGAACTATTGTGGGGTCGCCCAACACCGACATGGCAGGCCTGTACATGGGGGTAGCAAGCCATCCAAATGGGGTCTGAGATGCGGAGATTTGTTAAATATAGCTTGTATAATGAAAACAAAAGTAAGTGAGATGTAAATGTAGAGATGTTCTTCCATTCAAGTGAAGTTTGGCGGTGACCTAACAGACGTCACGAGGGCCAATAGTAGGCAGTTTCCTTAGGCCTTTTTGGGCTGACCACTTTCGTTCCGATCTATGACAATTTCACTATCGCTCAATTACTGGTGGACAATGTTACTTCAAGTGGAAATTTTCGATTTTAAATTGTTCAGCTTGCTTGGTCAACTGTAGCCGATAACATCAGATGACAGGGTTTTCCCCATGATCTCACCCCCACGATCAATCTACCCCATCCCGAGTGGGGAAGCATATAATATTTGCCCACAGAGTATGTACACTCTGGAATTTATTTATTGTTTCCTCCCTTTTTTCTCAACCTTTTTGCACTTGAAATTTTTTTTTTCTAAATCTCTTTTTGTAATCAGCAGAATTTTAAAAATTCCCAAATTACTTGGCATCAACCCGGCGGAGCCTCGGCCCGGGGATTCTTCACATGCCGCTTGCATGTGAGCCCCCCAGGGCTGCTTTTTGCCTTCGAGATGGTTTCGCTAACTTTAGTGCGTTTTCGGGTATTATTGAATGTGATTGGACAACTAAATAGCCAAAAGCAAAAGGTTACCAAATTTCACGGAGCCACTCCTGGAGCGCACGTCTTGCCCGCACCTCGGCCCCATTCTCGCGCCAGAAATGACCTGCCCCATTGATCACCCGAAATTGGAACCGACTGCATGGCTTGTGCACCATATCGCCTGACCACCTTTCCAGTTTCTCAACGGAGGTGAAGGTATCCTGGTCTCCAAACAGTGCCAGAGTGTGGTGTGTGCTTTGTTGGTCTGCTGGACGCGCGCAGGGGATATGGGAACCTTCAGGCGTCCCTATTTTTACTTTGAGCGATAAAGTCGAGAACAAAGTCAGTAGTTGGCTGATCGGGGGCAATAGCGGGGACACGAGGAGATAGGAGATGGATGTCGTCAATGCACGGAGGTCTGGGGCATCGGACAAACGGTGACTCATTTGAAGTTGCTCCAGGGATAATGCGGTTAACTGTTTCGCTGTGCTCCAGATCCCGTATATGGGTTCTGATGTGTTTGTAGAGGTTGTCGTTGACGAGTATTGGAAAAGATCGAGCATAGTATCCAGGGTCGGTACATGTGAGGCAATCAAAGACCCGTAGGAATAGCCACCAAGGATCAGATGGATGTCTGAGCTTACTTTGACTTCGTCGGAAGTTTTGCGAGGCCTTTGGGGGCCTACTTCCTCCCTCGGGGCCAATGCGAGCTTGAGGAAGTGTAGATATTGCAACATGAAACCATAGAACGACACATAGTCGCCAAGCTCGGGCTTTGCAGTCCAACTTGTTCGTCCCTCGGAGTCACCAGCTCCACTATGTCATTTGTGAGCAACTTGGTCATGGCGCAGTGTTAGCGATGGATGATAGTACCGAAAATTAAAGGTCCCCACGATGCACCCGGCTTGTAGAAGCTCACTACCGATAAAACTCACGACAGGATCATTGTGGGATCCTCCTAGAGTTGCGTATGGATGCGCGACAATGGCGCCGCGGTTGGGCCAGCTCGTTGCTGATTCTATATTTTGAGGCGCGGGCGGGAGATGAATGCGGCATTCGAGCTTGTTGCCATCGTAAATAGACGGGAGGAAAAAGGAGAAGCTTGCTGATGGAAGATCCATGGCTGGGTTTAGCTAATTTCAAATATCCTTGGGTTGAAATGCAACGCTAACAATTTGCTGTTCAATAGAAATAGATTTTGGTGGTTTCGGTGGTCCGCCCACCCCAATAATTTGGAGGACCATCTGTAGCGAGAAGAAAATTGATCCAATTTGTCGACAAATAGATAGGACAATACCGGAAAAGCATTTACAATGCGAAAAGATAAGGTTTCCACTTGGCCAGAAGATGCTATGTAGATTGTGCAGATTTGCGCTATCATTCTTTTAAATGTGTTCTAGGTGCACTAATCAAATCAGCCATGACGGATCTGGTTCATCATCTTCTTCCGACCTGGCGTCTGAGTTATTGGGATTTGAATCCTTAAGTAGATCGGCTGGAGGTTCTGGGTCGTCATTTTCCATCTGACAAGCTTGGCAGTCCTCTTTGGCCTCCTCCATGCCGTGATCTATCACAGGAGAATCTCTGGAAGTAGAGTTCAAGAGTGCATCCATTTCATGCAGCGAGAGGCCAAAGGCGGGAAGAAGCAACCCCCTCGCTTCTCGCAAGGCCTCTAGCTCGGCAGCAATGCAGCAAACTAGTAGCTTCCAGTCCTTATCCTCGGCGAGCTCCAGATGTGATTCGATGCGCTGAGTTGTTCTCTCCAAATCATTCAGAAGACTCCCCACGAGTCCGTCTTTGCAATTTCGCGGTATGGATCCTCCTGGCTTGGTTGATGACGTGGTCATCTCAACATAATGTCGCATGTTGGCTTGTAAGCGCTTCTCAAAGCCAGTGACATCAGTTACCGCTTGTTTCCATATTCGGCCTCCTTCTTCCAGTGCCAGTATTTCCGCTTCCACTTTCTGTTGCCTATCGTGCAAACCGACTTGTTCCGTGTTCCAATGCTCCCGGGCCATGTCAAGTGTACGGCGTTTGGGGTTCAAAGAGTAAAAGGTAGATTCGCCTGAGCTGTGCGATAACGGTTGGATAGGAGGGTCACGGAGGAAGTTTCGGACGTCGGAGTCAAGTAAAGACAAAGATTCAGTATAAGAAGAAAGCTTGGCATCAACCGAGTTGTTGATGTCTGATATCTCGTTCACAAGCTGTCGGTGTTTAGCTTTCATCTCATACAGCCTAGTCTCGAGTTCATGAATGTCAGTCTCAAGGCTCCGAGCCTCTTCTTCTAGTTGCCTAGAACGTCGGCTCTCCGCATTTCCATGGATAGTGGTAATAGTGTCTTCTAGTCCAGTTCTTCTAGAGAGAAAGCCTTTGATATCATGCAGTGCATTGTCCCTTTCGTTGGTCTGAGATATGAGAATCTCTCGTTCTTCGTGTCGTAACTTCAGTAGATCATGCATTGATTGAACTATGCCCTCCCGGGCAGCCCGAAGCCCGATCTTCTTGGGCGCAGGCTGCCTGGTGGGCACTGTGATAGGGGATGGCGATAGACTCGCGTTAGATGACAATGTTGGAGTCAAAGTTCCAGTTGAAGCATCATCTGCTTGAGGCACAGAGAGAACAGAGAGAAGGCCTTCGCTTTGAGCATCGATAAGGACCTGGAGATTGCATTGTATGTGTTTTGTCTGACGTTCAACGTATACTAGAGGGTCATAATGGTATGTAGAAGCCCCAGACTGCACTAGTGGCAGCCTCTTCCCGCGAAAAGACTGTTGAAGAAGTGTCGACATGACAGAGAAAGGGGCGTGGATGGCCAAGGTTCAACTAGAGGAAGAGTTGGAGCTTTGTCGCGTAAATTCTGGGTAGGAAGACAACCAAGTAGTTCCATTCCAAGATCTGTCCACCTCTTGAAATAATCACCGGATTGGAAATAAATAATCCATTCGCCAGCTCATAGTTACTGTTTATCGCGGACTGGTACTGGGGTCGCTCGAAGCTGACCGAGACCGAGCGCCATCCACGTGATCTTTCATGTACAGTCAGCTCCGCTCGGGCGTTGACGTTGCTCTCGCGCCAGCAAAGCTTCTGACAACTGCTCCAAGCTTCTATTCGTACGTCCACTTCATCCATTTCGTCTGTTTCATTTAATCAAATTTTGTCTTTCTTGTCACATTCTCATTATTGGGGTGACTCATCTCCCCCTTGACACCTTGTTCTGCGCTGGGGCTGACTCGCTGTTTCAAGCTCTCTCCCGATAGACGTTACTTCATCACAACAGTAACAAAACACCTATCGCTCCTCAAAATTCCGTTCAACAACTCGCGACGCGAATCGCTTCTCAATAAAGATGGTCGGACTCGTATCGGCCGCCGGTTTGGTTGGCTTCCTCTCCGAGCCTGACCCAGAGCTCAAGGTCTTTGCTTTGAAGACGTTAGATTCTCAGATCGAACATCTCTGGACAGAGGTTGTCAACGCTGTTCCTGAAATGTGAGTTTGTCTGGATTAGCAATGTGGGAATGATCTTCATCTCGATTGTTGCGTCATTTCTCCCGAGTCCGACCGGCTACTAGGTCCCTGCTGACTATCCATCTAGTGAGGCACTCTACGAAGATGAATCGTTTCCGGAGCGTGGCCTTGCGGCACTGGTCGCATCAAAGGTATATTATCATCTGCAGGAATATAACGAGAGCATGGTTCTTGCTCTAGGTGCTGGAAAGCTGTTCAAGTTGGAAAATGGCGGCGAGTATGAGGAGACCATTATCGGTATGTTAAAGAATATCAGTAACATTCGCTCTCTTCGATATTAACATGTTTCCTGATGCAGCGAAATGCGTTGATACCTTCGTCTCTCTATCTGCCGCCCAACGGCCTACCGCGGGTGACCAATCAGCCAATCTGAACACTTCATTCCCAGCATCGGGCGACGGTGCCACCAGCACATCCGCCAGCCTCACTTCTCCTATCACACCTTTTTCCAAATCCGCGCTTCCCTCGAAATCGTTGCTTTCTCGCGCGGAGGTTCCTGGCGTGGACGCCGCACACCCTGGTGGCGATGACACTAGCGTTCAGCACGAGGAAAACTCCCTTGTGTTGAAGCGCGGTGTCCAGAGTCAATTGCAGACCGTCATCGAGCGATTGTTTGAAGCATGCTTCCGACAAAAGCGATACCGTCAGGTCATTGGAATCGCCATCGAGGCAAAGAACCTAGATGTTCTCCGCATGGCCATCCTTCGCGCCAGTAGCGACGAGAAGCAAGAAGAGGGCGACTCCCGTGGCAGTGAGGAGCTCATGGAATACGTCCTGGATATCTGCATGGGCATTGTCCAAGAACGAGCCTTCCGAAGCGAGGTTAGTGTCCCTAAAACAGTTCCAATTCATTTGCTCGCGTCAGCTAACCAAAACTTCTTTTTTCCAGATCCTCAAACTAATTTTGGAACTTCTTAATGAAATCCCGGCCCCCGACTTCTTCTCGATCGCCAAATGCGTCGTCTATCTTAATGAACACTCCATGGCCTCCGCTATTCTTCGCCAGTTGGTTGAGAAGGGCGACGCGAGATCCCTCGCCGTTGCCTATCAAATTTCCTTTGACCTTTACGACAACAGCACCCAAGAGTTCCTTCAAAAGGTTCGACAAGAGATTGCTGAGCTTGTTCCCGAACACGATACCGAGAAGGAGAACAATGAAGAGGACGTTGAGCCAAGAGAGTCTGACGCATTACTCGAAGACCAGGGAAGCTCTTCCCGGCCCTCGTATAAACATTCAGATCTATCAGAGAATGCGGTAACTGCATTCAAGAACATTCTCTCGATTCTCGATGGAATTAAGACAATCCAGTTGAATCTGGAATTTTTATACCGGAATAACAAGGCTGACATCGCGATTCTGAACAAGATTCGTGACAGCCTTGAGGCTCGCAATTCCATCTTCCACACTGCTGTGACACTCTCAAATGCTTTCATGCATGCAGGAACAACGCACGATAAGTTTTTCCGTGACAACCTAGAGTGGCTGGGCAAGGCTGTGAATTGGTCCAAGTTCACTGCTACTGCTGCCTTAGGCTGTATCCACCGCGGCAACCTCAGCCAGGGCCAGAAGCTCCTCCAGCCTTACCTGCCCCGCGAACACATCGCTGGAGTTGGAGGCTCAGGATCTGTCTACAGCCAAGGTGGTTCCCTTTACGCCTTCGGTCTCATCTACGCAAACCACGGTGGCATGGCGGTTGACATTATCCGCAACCACTTCAAAAAGGCCACGGAAGAGGTGGTTCAGCATGGTGGTGCTCTTGGTCTTGGTGTTGCGGGTATGGCAACGGGTGACGAGGGCATTTACGAAGACCTGCGGAGCGTTCTTTACACTGATTCTGCTCTCAATGGTGAGGCCGTCGGTCTGGCCATGGGTCTTATCATGCTTGGCACCGGTAACATGAAGGCTCTTGAGGACATGATCCAGTACGCACACGATACCCAACACGAGAAGATCGTTCGTGGTCTTGCTATGGGTATGGCTTTGATCATGTTCGGACGCCAGGAGGCTGCCGATGAGCTCATCAACGGTCTCCTCGGTGACCCCGACCCAACTCTGCGCTACGGTGGTATCATGACCATTGCCCTTGCTTACTGTGGCACTGGTAGCAACAAGGCAGTCCGTAAGCTTCTGCATGTCGCTGTCAGCGATGTTAACGACGATGTGCGCCGAGTTGCTGTACTCAGCTTGGGATTCATTTTGTTCCGCAAGCACCAGAGTGTCCCTCGCATGGTCGAGTTGCTATCCGAGTCATACAACCCTCATGTCCGATACGGTGCTGCCATGGCACTTGGCATCTCCTGCGCCGGCACCGGCTTAGACGAAGCCATCGACCTCCTAGAGCCTATGCTTAAGGATTCAACTGACTTTGTTCGTCAGGGTGCCTTGATCTCTCTTGCTATGGTCCTCGTTCAGCAGAACGAGGCTATGAATCCCCGTGTTACCAGCCTGCGCAAGGCCATGATGAAGATGCTTGGTGACCGTCACGAAGATGCCATGGCTAAGTTCGGTTGTGCCATTGCTCTCGGCATCATTGATGCTGGTGGCCGAAACTGCACTATTAGCCTGCAGACACAGACTGGTAACCTTAACATGCCCGGTATTGTTGGTGTTGCGGTCTTCGTTCAGTACTGGTATTGGTTCCCTCTCACACACTTCTTGTCGCTTAGCTTCACCCCAACATCAGTGATCGGTGTCGACCAGAAGCTCGAAGTACCACACTTCAAATTCCACAGCAACACCCGTCCCAGTCTCTTCGACTACCCCCCCGAGCAACAGGTGAAGACCGAGGAGGCCCCGGAGAAGGTGAAGACTGCTGTTCTTTCTACCACTGCCCAGGCCAAGCGTCGCGCACAGCGTCGGGAGAAGCAAGCACGCCGTGAGAGCATGGACATTGACCAGGCGCCCACAACACCAAAGGCTGCCGATCAACTGGACGCAATGGATACAGACGATGTTCCTAAAGAGGACGAAGAAGGCAAGGAGACGGAGAAGGGTGCTACTGAGGTACAGAAGAAGAAGGCTGAGCGGGAGAAGGTTGGGTACGAGCTGGACAACCTGTCAAGGGTACTTCCAGCTCAACTCAAGTACCTCACTTTCCCCGATCCGCGATACGAGCCGGTCAAAAGGGTACGTTAATTGCGTTCTGTCCCCATGCATCCGATGCTAACAAATTTGCAGCCCACCGGCGGTGTTGTCGTTGTTCTCGACAAGCAGCCCGACGAGCCTCGCGAGGTTATTGAATTGAAGGCCAGCAAAGAGGCTCGCCAAGCGCCTCCTCCGACCGAAACCCTCCAGGACCGCCTACAAGCTGCCATTGGAACCGCTGCTCTGCAGACCCCTCAACGGGCCGATGCTCGGGCTGCTCTATCCGCTGCCACCTCAGGTGCTGTGGCTGGTGCCGGTGTCCTGACGGCGGTTGACGAGGACGAAGAAGGCGTGGAGGATGCACCTGTCCCCAACGAGTTCTCGTACGAGTCAGATGGTGAAGAGCAGTAGAGAGTTGTTGCGGCATAGAATCTTGATGCTGGATGTATTACTAGACTAATCGGGCTGTCTACGCCGACGTGATCTATTTGGGGGCTACTAAAGCTTTCCGTCACTGTGATTGATACGAAAGTTCTTATGTTACTTTACATCGCCCTGTAATTTTGTCGTATCTTATGCACTCGGTTAGGGCATTGCCAGCTCGCCTTGGTTTTAACAGGCTGGTTAGACCGGCTTGATGCAGTGATCTCGGATGAGGTACTTCCATATGCATGCCGTACAAAGAGACGGAACCATAAACCCAACCAAGTAGTACAAAATGACTGATCTTCTATCTTAGAGTTGCATTTTATATTTTTTTAAGTCTCTTCATCCGAAAATTTTCTCGCAGAATTATACGAAGTAGCAAATATGGAATATTCCAATTGCAAACCAGCCGACAGTTGACTAACTCATCCTGACATGTTCACATGTCTCGTAGGTCTGTTTCTGACTCAGCAATTCACGACATGCCTCGGCTCGTGTTGAAATGACGTACGAGCCAATAACCTGTCTGTCAACGGCGATGACCGAAAAGAACAACAGCCATTGAAGCACCGACTTCTACAACGTCAAGTCCCAAAGTCGACTTTGTGTAGGAGCATGTGAACTGGTGCTATGATGCTCCGAGGCCCCTTTTGGTGCATATTCATGTCTAGAATTTGAATGTCGCCTGAACTTGGCGGAAATGGTGTGTTACCCCATAATTCACATGTCTCCCAGCTTCCCCGGATTTGAAATTTTCTTTTTTTCCCCTAAATTACTATTCCTTGAATTCAAGATCGACCTTTACTGTGTGCCTCTTTTCCCTTTATTCTTCACCCAACACCGCCATGAGAGAGACTTTTAGCAAAGAGGACGTGGCCTCGCACAGCAAAGGTGACAGTCCCTGGATCATCATCGATGAAGATGTCTACGATGTTTCCAAGTTCCAAGATGAGCACCCTGGTGAGTGATGCCCTGCGTGCAGATGTATGGGAATCACGTGTTAACCTTTTTTTTCGAACAGGTGGGAAAAAGAGTACGTTGGTCCGAAAGTATCCGCTACGTCCGAATATTGACAGTACCTATGTAGTTCTCCAGCGAGTTGCTGGAAAGGATGCTTCAAAACAATTCTGGAAGTACCACAATGACGGTGTTTTGAAGAGGTACAAGGCTCAGCTGCAGATCGGTTCGTTGGATACGAAGAAGGCGGCACCTGCGCCAGCCCCGGAAACGGCTGACCCAGAGCCAAAGCCTGCTGTCTCTTCTTCCTTGACGCCGCGTGCCACTGGCGAGCCCCAGGATCCTTATGGAGAGTTGATCCCCTTCGCCGATCCCTCGTGGTACCAGGGTGTAAGTTTTGCTTTTCCTGTCTGCTGCAGATTCGGAATTTTTGCGCCGTGGCACAGAAGCTAAACTACATGTCGCTCATAGTATGCTTCCCCCTACTTTAATCAATCCCACGCCGCACTGCGAGACGAGGTCCGCCAGTGGGTCGAGTCCGAGATCGCGCCATATGTGACCGAATGGGATGAGGCCAAGGAAGTGCCCGCTAAGATTTACAAGCAGATGGGGGAGCGAGGCTACCTCGCCGGACTTCTGGGATTTCACTTCCCCAAGCAGCACACTCCTTACCGCGTGAAGTCTGTGTCAGCAGATCGATGGGATTTGTTCCATGAAATGCTGCTGACTGACGAGCTGTCGCGTGCCGGCAGTGGTGGTCTGGTATGGAACCTGATTGGTGGTTACGGAATTGGCTGCCCGCCACTGGTCAAGTTTGGCAAGAAGCCGCTGGTTGACCGAATCTTACCGGGTATCTTGGCCGGCGACAAGCGCATCTGTCTCGCCATCACCGAGCCCGATGCGGGAAGTGACGTCGCAAACTTGGGTTGCGAGGCCAAGCTCACCGAGGACGGCAAGCACTATATCGTCAATGGCGAGAAGAAGTGGATTACCAATGGTATTTATTCTGATTACTTCACTACCGCCGTGCGCACCGGCAAGGACAGCATGAACGGCCTCAGTGTGCTGCTCATCGAGCGCGAAGCTGGCGGCGTCAGCACCCGTCGCATGGACTGCCAGGGTGTATGGGCCAGTGGCACGACTTACATCACCTTCGAGGACGTCAAGGTGCCTGTGGAGAACTTGATTGGCAAGGAGAACCAGGGCTTCAAGGTTATCATGACCAACTTCAACCACGAACGCATTGGTATCGTGATTCAGTGTGTGCGCTTCTCGCGTGTCTGCTATGAGGAGTCTGTGAAATACGCCCACAAGCGTAAGACGTTCGGCAAACGTCTCATTGATCACCCAGTTATTCGCATGAAACTGGCTCACATGGCCCGCCAGATCGAGGCCACTTACAACTGGCTCGAGAACATTATCTTCCAGTGTCAGTCCATGGAGGAGACCGAGGCTATGATCAAGCTTGGTGGTGCCATTGCTGGATTGAAGGCCCAGTCTACGCAATGCTTTGAATTCTGCGCTCGCGAGGCTAGTCAGATCTTTGGTGGTTTGAGCTACAGCCGCGGCGGTCAGGGTGGTAAGATCGAGAGACTGTACCGTGATGTGCGTGCCTATGCTATTCCGGGCGGCAGTGAGGAGATTATGCTTGATCTGAGTATGCGCCAGAGTCTGCGTGTCCATGCCATGTTTGGCATGAAGCTATAAGCATTTTCTGGGTGTTTCGAGTGCGGTGATAAAGCATGCCCAGTTTTGTTCATTTTAATTTGCTGCTTTTGGCTACATATCCTGTCATCTGTGACGGCCTTTAGTTTTACTTTGTGATGATCTGCTTTGTACGATAACATTACATTGGCCTTCCATGTATATTTCACGATTAACGGTGGATGTCGCCACTGTGTTGGATAACCGCTACAGTCTAACTGGTTCTCATCATATCTAAATTCTTGGTGTCTCCACGATTTACGATATTAGTCCGCCATTAGGTTGGAAAACAGACAACGAAAATCACGACTCAAAGAATCCACCGAAGAAAGGGGAAATGGCTTAGCCAAACCCCCAAGTTCTCCATCTACCGAGATCCCTACTCACTTCAGACGACTTAACTATGCTCGAGAGCCCAAGCTTCTACGTTCAACCTGCTGGGTGTCTTTTCGATCTCACTCCTTTTTTCTCATTCTCTTTGATGAGAGTCGAGCCGTGATTAGGCAAACCAAGGGAACTGTTACCATTGCATCCGAAGCCTCTATGATGCGAGTCTATAATCAGGCAAAATCAGTGAAATGGCTTCCTTTCGGGCCCAAGGCCAGAGATTCGATGTGAGAATATAACATTGAGAGGTTCCCGTCTGCCTATTTAGTACTCTTGAGGCAACTTATTTGTCCACACCTTTCCTTGAAGACAAAACGCCAATCTCTTTCACAATGTCTCTACTATCTTTTGAACTGAATGACGATGCATATGATCTTGCAAGCGATATCGATGGAATGATTCAAGTTGCATCCGATGAGCATTCCACCACATCGCTCATACTTGTCAATCTGGTGGCCCGCCGAATCCGCGAGTTCCAAGACAATGATGATGATTTCACGGGCTCTGGGACTGCTCCAGCAGATCTCCTGGCAAGTCTTTGCTCAAATGATACCGACGACGTTAGTCACGAATTCCTACGGGGTGAAGCCAATTCCATGGACCTTGCGACCATGCCTGACGATTTGTTGCTTCTGGTTCTCCCTATGCTGCTGCATATTGATACAAAACTCCCAATCCCCGAGGACCTTCATGCTCTGCATGAATTTGCCGAAGCGTCGTCAAAGCACCGGGAGCATGTGGAAACATGGTTGAGATCTGATCCGGCCCAAAGCACACTTGAACAAGTTTTCAAGCCATGGATGAACTACTACAGCTTCAAATCCGCGTACCAATGCAGAAACGAGACTGCGGCTCAGAAAGCTAGCCGAGGTGGTGCTGGGTTTAACTATACGTATGATTTCGTGAAAGAATGCCAGTGCACAAACTGTCTCCCACTTCTCAGCAATCTTTGGTTGGTTGATTTCAGGAACTACGACCAAAATGGGAGGAGCTTCCTCCATGCAGCCGTTGAGGGTGGAGATGTCGAATGTGTGATGTTCATTGTCGCTGTCTTGCTGAAAGGAGGCTTGGATCCTCGGCACTTTCCTACGTCTATCGACGGGATGTCTAATCCTCACCATGTCGCTTTGATGCACGACAATGATGTCTTCAGAGGGATCGTTGAATTTCTAGAGGATGCTGGCTACCCTTTATCTGTTTGGAACGATGATGGCCTCAAGCTCGAACTGTGCAGCTTCATCACTGCTGATATGGCCGAACGCCTCCTGTCGAAAGGATTTAACATCACCAAGCTCCCCAGAGATACACTTCCGATGTATCTGCCAAATGACGATGACCCCAATTACGACTCCGGCGAGGAGTGGAACCGCGATGCAGAATATGGTGATCCTATCATCTGGGACGAAGACTTCGACCCCGACAATGACAAGCTCGACCCAAAATCAATTTAATATGATGCTCTTGGTGTCAACCCCATTGAACTCCATCCCACGTCTCGAACCATCTGGCACCGGGCAATCGAAACCCCCGAAGGTCCACGAATCCTCGACTGGCTGTTAGATCACTCGTATACCCAGCCAGGGTGTCGTACCGACTTCGACCGCGATACCGGTGAGACTGCACTGGTAGTAGGCGCAAGAGGAGACGAGCCAGCTGGTATTGATTGGTTCTGTCAACACTGTGATCCGATGGCGGGGCGGGTCCGAAAATCGCAGGACATCGAGGGCGATGAGAGCAACGGTGCTTATGCGTTACAAGTAGCAGCTCACAACCTGCGGCCGCATTGCGATATCATTTTCACAAAATTTTTGCGTCATGTCGACCAGCAATTTTACTGGGATGTTTCTATGATCAAGGGTTTGTATTGGTTGATTATCAAGAAGTATCGAGATATGTACCAAAGGTTGGGAGATCATAAGGAGCCGGGCCGTGAAAAAGCTCAACAGATGGCTCTATTGCGCTCACTCGCTTCGTTCAAAACCAAGGCGCTGAACAACAGACTAGAGCCTTTCTGGGATACATGGGGGCCGTCTGAACAGCGGAACTGGCTCATTCAGTACTGTACGATTCTTAGGTTGAATTTCCAGGTGAAAGATTTGAGCTCGGATGTTTGGGGCGATTCTAACTAGCTTTTTCAAGAGGACTATTGAATCCAATATCCTGGTAGGAGCACACTTAACATCTAATAGTGCAATGAGGGACTGTTTTTAACTTCTGGCTCCGACTTTTGGCATGTATGTATATATATCGCATGATCGGGACATTCGCTCCCATCAGTGTGAATACGAGGAAATTGTGATCTGTATTGTTTCTCTAGTCAAATCGGTATCAACATATCCAGGTGAAACTTTTGACCTTCTTTGAGGATTGCCAATCGGTTTAATATATGTTGTATGGTCCTTAAGGTAACTAAGAGAGAGTTGCGAAAGAAGAGAAACGCCAGACTGAGGTGGCCAAGTACGGTGCGCCACAGCGACCACATACGCAAGGATCATGCTTCTGGGCAACACGACCTCCACGCTCCGGCACTCCAATTCCTCATTTGCCTTTTCACAAACTACCCCTTAAAAGTAGAGCTCTAAATCGCACCTGCGTCTTGGTGTGGTTGCTTCTTCTGTCTAACAAACCCCGAGATCTCCATTCCGATCCGTGTTCCGTGTTCTTTGTAGGCGGTCGCGGAACTCGGTGATTGCCCGCAGAGCTCGACAATCTGCTGTGCTCCCTCTCAACTTTCCAGTCGCTATTCTCTCGGCTGGATCAACCTCGATTGACGTGAAGCTACTAGGAATCGGCCGCTTATTGCAAAAATAACCTGAGAGCTCGCATTCTGGTATCTACGTCTTGTCTCCCGACCCGCAAGTCGTAGCGCGGTTTCCTTGGACACGGTTTGTCTTTCTTCTTTTCCCAACCACTCTTTCTCCTTTCGGTTTCTAATTTGGCTTGTGATTACTAGAAATCTAAATTTCAACTCCAAACACGTCGTGCCGAAAGTGGCGCGACCCGATCAATAGCCCGTCAGACACCAACTGCCAAAATGTCAAACTTTCTCAACCACGACTTTGGGTCCGAGGACGAAGAAGATGATTTCAACCCTGCTCCCCAAGAAGACTCCGATATTGAGGAGCCAAGAGCCAAGGTCGGTCTATAGGCATCTATCAAGCTTTGATGGACAATGCGCTAACATGAGTGCGAAACAGCCTTCCAAGAAACAACACTTAAGTGGCGATGGCGCTAATGAGGAGGATGTGAAGTACTCTCGCAACACACATGCATTTGAGGAGGAAGATGCCAAGGATATCGAAGACGACGAGGAGGAGAATGAACTGGATGACGATGATGAGGAGGAAGAGGAGGAAGACGAGGAAGAGGATGTGGTATGTTCTCTATGGAGACCCTGGTAATTTAAGAGCACTGTGTTAACTCTTGGTCTCTATTTTAGGCGCGTCCACAAAAGCGAATGAAGCGCGTTGCCAATCCTTTCATCGAAGACGAGGCCGGTGTCGATGATGAGGAGGACGAAGGCGATGATGAGGAAGATGAACTCGCCGAATATGGCATGGAAACACATCCGGATGATCTTGATGCGCTACCCCAAGGCACCGAGACAGACGACCGTCGCCACCGACAGCTGGATCGCCAGCGTGAGATTGACGCCAGTATGGACGCAGAGAAACAGGCCCAGATGCTCAAGGAACGATATGGACGCAACCGTGCTGCGGCAACAGATTCCCTTGTGATCCCCAAACGGCTCCTGCTTCCTAGTGTAGAGGACCCTAGCATTTGGGGAGGACGCTGCAAGCCTGGCAAAGAGAAGGAGGTTGTATATTCAATCCAGAAACGAATTGAAGAGCGTCCAGCAGGCTCCCGCAACCCCATTCGAATCATCTCAGCTTTCGAGCGCGGAAACATTATGCAGGGCTGGTTCTATTGTGAAGCGCGCAGGCAGGCCGATGTCATCGAAGGCTTGGATGCCATCAACTTCTACTACCCATCCCAGAAACTGACCCTGGTTCCAGTGAAGGAGATGCCAGACCTTCTTCGTGTCCAGAAATCGGAAGAGCTTTTGCCTGGTGGCTGGATTCGCATCAAGCGAGGCAAATACATCGGTGATTTGGCCCAGATTGAAGAAGTCGAAACCAATGGGTTGAATGTCACTGTGAGACTCGTCCCCCGACTGGACTATGGCATGAATGATGATGCTTTCGGTGCCCCTGCTCCCGATGCTAAACGCAAACGAGGTGCTGTGAGTACCGTCCGCCCTCCCCAGCGCCTATTCAGTGAGACAGAGGCGAAAAAAAAGCACGCAAAATATCTCTCGTCTACTTCTGGTCTAGGCGGAAAATCATGGAACTACCTGAACGACAATTACGTGGATGGGTTCCTCATCAAGGATATGCGTGTCCAGCACTTGAATGCCAAGAATGTCAACCCCCGACTAGAGGAGGTTACAATGTTCGCGCGTGGAGGAGAAGACGGAACTGCGAATTTGGATCTGGCATCGCTGGCCGAGACTCTGAAGAATTCCACCGCTGAAGACTCATACCAACCGGGTGATCCAGTGGAGGTTTACAGGGGTGAACAACAGGGTCTTATTGGTCGCACAGTGTCAACTCGAGGTGACATTGTTTCGTTGCAAGTCACCGAGGGCGAGCTGGCCGGTCAGACAATTGATGCGCCCGTTCGAACTCTCCGTAAACGATTCCGGGAAGGCGATCACGTCAAGGTTATCGGCGGTAGTCGATACCAGAACGAGCTGGGTATGGTCGTGCAGGTCAAGGACGACACCGTCACTCTGCTCAGCGATATGAGTATGCAGGAAATCACAATCTTCAGCAAGGATCTTCGACTTTCTGCTGAGATGGCCGCCGATGGACAACTCGGTATCTATGATGTTCATGATCTCGTCCAGCTTGATGCCGCTACTGTTGCTTGTGTCATCAAAGTGGACCGGGAGTCCCTCCGCGTGGTGGACCAGAATGGTTCCATCCGCAACATTCTTCCTACGCAAATCGCAAACAAGATTACTCCCCGTCGCGATGCCGTGGCTACTGATCGCAACGGCGCAGAGATCCGAAGTGGCGATACGGTTCGCGAGGTTTACGGAGAGCAGCGCAGTGGAGTAATCCGCCACATCCACCGTTCGTTCCTTTTCTTGCATAACAAGGCCCAAGCAGAAAACGCGGGCATCGCTGTGGTGCGCACAACAAATGTTGTTACCGTATCAGCAAGAGGCGGTCGGCCCACTGGACCAGATCTCACCAAGATGAACCCTGCCCTTGCAATGCGAACTCCCGGAGGCGGTGCTGCAATGCCACCACCTCGTCGCGGCCGTGATCAGCTTATCGGAAAGACTGTGACTATCCGTAAAGGTCGTTACAAGGGCCTCGTCGGTATTGTTCGCGATGCAGACGACAGCTCTGCTCAAGTTGAACTTTACACATCTAACAAGCCCGTACACATCCCGCGTGATATTCTGACACCTAAAGAGTATGGTATTCGTCTGTAACATTTGATCACCAATCCTTCTAACCTTGAATAGTCCTGTTTCCAAACAGCCTCTCTCCATGGGCCGTGGAAGAGGAGGTGGTGGTCCTGGAGGGCGAACTCCGCACACTTCTTCCGGCGGTCCTCGGAGAGACAGTTGGGCCGGTGGTAGAACCCCGATTGCCGCTGCCGATTCATCCAGAACTCCCGCTTGGAACGGTGCTGCTGCGAGAAGTAAGTACACTCATATTACGAAAAATCAACGAAGATCCTAATTATTCTATAGCTCCTGCTTGGGGTGGCGTGAGTGGCAGCCGTACTCCGGCCTGGAAGAACGACGGCTCTCGTACCGCGAACCCCTACGATGGAAACCGCACCGCATATGGAGGAGTTGGCAGCCGCACCCCATCCTGGACCTCAGGATCTAAGACACCATACGACTCTAGCTCCGGCTTCGATGCTTTCGCCTCTGGATCTCGCACTCCTGGCTGGAATGCTGGTGGGGCTAACACAGGAGGCCGTACTCCCGGCTGGAACAGCATGTCTGCCAGCAGAGACCAGCGTGAATTCGACGACGCCCCGACTCCTGGTGGAAACTACTCCGCCCCCACTCCCGGCGCATACGCTGCCCCGACCCCTGGCGCACCTACCCCTGGTGGATGGCCCGAAAGTGCTCCCACCCCAGGTGGAGCTTTCAGCGCCCCCACTCCCGGCGGCCCCTCAAAGCGAGACTACGACGCTCCCACCCCCGCGGCGTTCGATGCGCCAACTCCGACGATGGGTGGGATGGCTGCTACGCCTGGTGCTGGGTATGGTGGCAATGACGGCGGACCACGGTACGACGATAGCCCAAGTCCGTAGTTCTTGTTCTATCTTTCTTTCGGCACCAAAAGCTTGTCCTTTCCACATACACTTTGAGATGTCAAACGGGATAGGACTGGTTTCACATATGTATTCTACCTATTGAATTTCTTTTCTTGCAAAGCAGCAGATGGCGCCAAATGATATTTCCTAGTCACTGAAATGTTGTGATCTAAAATGGTTCCTCGGTGGAGATCACTCTCTCCCTAAGATTAAGCAGAGCGACATTTTCCATGGCTCCCTCGTTTGCGACGGAGCTGATACCCCTGAATACCCCGAGCGCAACGAAATGACCGACCTTCTGCCTGTCTACGAGGGTTGGCACATGACTATCAATCATTAAACATTCCATCACTTCTTGCCATTAGCGGCTAAAACCTGGTCAATGATGTCCGCCGCCCATAGGCACTTTTCATCTTGGAAGCGCGGTGCGACGACCTGGATAGCGCACGGGACGCCATCTACCTCATCTGGGTGATCTGCTATCTGTCAGCAATCTTTTCGACGAGAGGGGATGGGCTACTGACAGTCCGGCTGCACATCGTCCGCTGTTGTCATAGGCTCAGGATCAAGCTCTTTGGAGACTTTTCCAAATGGAATAATGCACGCGGGATACTAGATTGGCAGAGGTCAGTATATACCCTAGAGAGTTAAAGAATACAGCAGAGCTATAAAGGGGAACTTACATCCAATACGTTCCATATCGCCGTATAATGAGGCCATCCGTATGTATCATGGCTCACAGCTGTACTCTGAGCTCCAGGAGCCAGAATAACATCAAGCTCCTGATCCACCCACATCTGCCTCCAGACATCAAGAACCCGCTGGCGAGCCACATGTAACGCCTGAATAGTCTCAAACGGTCCCAGACCTTGCGGAACAGGGAACGGGCCAGATGACATTGGCCCCCCCGCACCTCGAGCAACCGAAGTCACCGCAGGCTCACCACTCGCCGCGAGGTGATCCTCGAACGGGCCATAGGTTAAAATCTGCCACGACATGCGCGAGGCATATGCCACTTTCTGTACTTCATCATCAGCACCAAGTCGGACAATGCGATGTCCTGCACGTGTCAAGGCCTCAACCGCCTGATCTAGAGCCCTCGTTACAGGCGGATGGAGCGGGAAATGCGGATCCTCAGCAAGCACGCCGATAATCAAGCTTTCGTTGGCGTTGATGCCAGACGGGCTGGTCTGCCACGGGACCCCGACAGCAGAAGAGTCATACTTCCACGCCTGGCCGTCAGCGACGACGGAACTCACCAGTAGCTTGAGATCGGCGATGTTGTGTGCCAGCGGGCCTGCGACTGGAATGAGCCCCGGGATTCCCTCCATGACGCCGGAGACTTGTCCTCCATAAGGGATCCGGTCGGTAGTTGGCTTGAAGCCATACACACCGCAGCAAAGCGCGGGGATGCGAATCGAGCCGGCGATGTCAGTCCCCACGCCCAGAATCGATCCCCGGAATGCTACTAGTGCCCCCTCGCCGCCGCTGGATCCACCCGCTGTCAGGGTTGTCTTATGTGGATTCAAGACGCGGCCGAAGATGTTATTCTCTGAGTCTGCTGTCTGGGAGGTTGTTAACTTGCGTTCTGGGCATATCACGAGCCATTTGGCATCTTTTACCATCAATGTCTGTGGGATGTTGGTCTTCACGTAGAGCACCGCACCAAGTTCCAGCAGCAGCTTTACGAGCGCTGAGTTTGTTTTCGAGGGTTCATTCGCGAGAAATGCGACATATCCGATGGTGGACTGCACCCCCTCGACACAGAAACTGTCTTTTATGCTGATTGGTAAACCATGCAGGGGGCCAATGGGTTTTCCCTCCCGCTGGAGGTACTCGTCCAGGTACTTTGCACGTTCCAGCGCCTGCGGAAAGAAGGTCTCTGTGAGACACGAGATCTACCCCAAAAAAGATGTTAAGAACTTTGCTCTTTCGTCCTGCCAGGAAGAATATACACTCACAATCTGCTGGGCAATCGCAGCCCTTTTACAAAACGCCGTTGTAACAGCCAATGAGCTGACCTGCCCCGACGCTAACTTGAGCACTAATTGATTTGCAGTGTAGTTTTCCGTCAAGTCCAATTCGACTTCGGAGAGTAGACCACTGCGACGAGGAAGATCAATGTCTAGTAGACGCGGGTTTTCATGTGCAAGCGCCAGCAGGTCTGCACTCAGAAGCCAGTCCTGGGGGATCTTCTGCTTGCATTCATGACGCTTGGCGGCGACAAGATCTTGCCAGTTGCTGGGGGGTGCTATGGATGCCATTTTGAAAATAGGATAGAGGTGAGATTTGGTTTCACGGTTTCACGTTTGCTACCTTCTTCCCTTTTATGTGCCTGGGAACCTTTTTACGTGCTTTCCGTCCTTCGGTATCGCGGAATTTCCCCGCCACTAGATTTGGAACTCTCTGCTTCATCCGCTTGTTGTGTTATC